GGGGGGGTGCAGAAAATAAGGAAGATGGGTGGAGAGGAGAATATCTACGAGGGAAAACAGGTAACGCTTTGGCGGATTCACGGTAAAAGTGCCCATTTAAAAAAAAAAAAAGTCACCCCCCCAATTTCAAACTTGACGAGTTGCTCGTCTACAAACATGGCTACTGACACCACTGGTCATGACTGCGTTTGAATTGTTGCAGACGATGAGACGGCGAGTCGATCTGTGCGTGCACTTGATATTCGCAACGATATCCGGGCTGCACGCCGCCATCATCCCGCCCCCGTGGGGCGACCCCACGACCAACCCTTGCGTCACGCAGCCTGGAGGATGGCAACTCATCTTCTGGCCCGCCGACAAGAAGTGCTACCGCATCTTCCAGAAAGGTAACTAACTATAGGGACACTTTGGAGCCGTTCATAAATACGTAACGCTGAAAATCTGACTTTCTTACTCCCTCCTCCTTCTCGCAACGCACCCATAGCTCGTCATGTCCTCATCCCCGTGAAAAATCACGCGGTGCTTGGTTCGACTCTTTACCCCCTCACTGGAAAAAAAAAAAAAAAAAAAAGTTCAGGATTTTCTTTTCGAAAAAAAAAAAAAAAAAAAACACATTGGATCTGGAGTCAAGACTCTTGAAAACATTGACAGTAAAAATACTCTTGATTCAATCAGATTTCTGCTTAAATCAAAAGGAAATCCGCTCAAATTAAGAGGCTTGGTTCTTGATTGAAGCAAAAATCCGATTGAATCAAGAGTATTTTTTCTTGTCGATGTTTTTAAGAGTCTGGAATATAGATCCAATGTGTTTTCTTTTCCAGTGCTGAATTAGCGTTTAAGGATGACTTAGAATGAAAAATTGCCACCTCGCGTCGATTCAGCTTAGATTTTCAAAAAGTAGCTATTCTTGCGTTACGCGACGTAGCCCTGAACGTATCCTCCTCTCCTGTAACGCAGGCTCGAACCCTCCTTCCCCTAAGAGCGTTACGTATTTTGTGGACGCCCGTTTTTTGGACGACGTGATTAGTGTGACGTGAGTAGCGAACTATAATCTCAAGAAAAAAAATAAAATTCTGATTTGACAATTCAATTGCTGAAAAAAAGTGACTGCAACGTATTAACGTAGATTTTACAACAAAAAATGCTACTTCAACCACTATTGTAAGCTATTTCAACCACGGGGGTAGTTAAAGTAGCATTTTCTTGTGGTAAAATCTACATTGAAACATTGCAGTCACTTTTTTTAGCAATTGTATTGTTAAATCAGCATTTTAATTTTTCCGTGAGCTTGCCTAGGTCGTTATTCGCTCCAAAGATCAGGACCACTTTTTTAATAGTTGAAATTAAAAACTACCTTTCATCCCTTTTTTCACAAAAACACTGTGGCTACGCTGTAAAAAAAAAAGGCTGTATTGTGTTGCTCAAAAAGACTCGTGTACGAGGTTATTAAATGCATCATTCGGACAACTTTGATCTCCCAAACTTCGAAAACGCCTTCAGTTGATTGAATATGCAATGTTAACATCAGGCGTGTGCCATAAATTGCTTTCATCCCTAATTGAAGGAGGTCCAAAGGAGTGCTTTCGACAAAGATGTGACGAATGGTTCAAGCCGAAGTTAAAAAAACGCACCTTCGGTGCTACGATTAAAAAGTTCCGTTTCCGCAAGCTATTTGGACGTATTTCTGGAAAACGGAACTATGTGCATTATGACGTGAGCCCTGTTAAGCCTTTTTTCCTATGGGCCTTAGGGCTCACGTCTCAATGCACAAAGTTCCATTTGGCAGAAATACGTCCATTTAACAGTTTGGAAATGGATGGATATCAATTTAAAATTTCCAGAGAATATTCAACACCCTATGGGAAATAATCACATGGGAGACTTTGAGATACAGGAGTTCACAGCGTTTATATATTTCTCCAGTTTCGCCATTGAATTACACAAAGAGTTATGTTGGTTGAGAATCGGAAGGGTTCAGATATTTTCATGGACAGAAATCTAGGAATTATAAAACATCATCATTTTGTTCAAAATTGAGATACTAAACATCTGAGAAATTGAGAAAATGTTCATTAAAAACTGTATCTCTTCAGTCTCAACACCTATTGCACTGAGGGATAGAGTCTTGAAGTGACGACCATCCACCACTATTTTCAGGTTACCCATGTCCAGACACAATGGAGTTGGTTCCAGGGACAGGTGGTGGGCCTCCCATTTGCCAATGTCCACCAGGATCTGCCCAGAGTGCCAAGGATGGCCGTTGTCATCTACTCTTTCAGACAGCTCCCTGTGACCCTGGACAGTACTTTGCACCGCTCCCCATTGAGTAAGTGTTTCAGAAACTTGTCAACTCGAGGACAGTATCTACGGTTGGCTAATTTAAAATGATAAATTACACAGTCTGTACATGCCGCTTTTACAGCGCTCTCTGACGCTCTGCAACACCTAGCCGCCAAATGCAGTCTGTTTACTTTGCAAACATTATTAACATCATAGCAGTACTTAGAAAGTACCAATGTACTTTACTTCTGCCCTTTCAGGGTCATTTGCAGATATTAAGGATATCATGTGTTATTGCGTGATATACTATGTACGTAAAATAATATATCTTTTATTTGATAAATTATGTATTTTCATAAAATGGGCATTATGATGCATGCACAGACCTACTAGGACTCGGTTCTTCTTCCTTCCCTGGAAATGAGGGATCCAAAAGGCCAGTTTTGAACAAATATACTTGTCACAATGTCTTAATTTTGCCCCCACCTCTGTACACAGGAAGTACAGTATCAATAAGTTTTCGGATTTTAGTGTCTTTTAGACCTCTTTTACAGCTTTTAACTCATTAATCCTCTTTATCTTTATAGTAAGGTACTATTTCAGAAATACTAAAAAATTTACATTGCAGTGTTTCTAACCGTCTACTCCCGTCTTCCTTTTTTCACATAAGTTCAAATCACTTAAACGATGACAAAAATTCATTTAAAGCTCTCAGAAATCACACTGTTTAGTTTTCATTTAAAATTAAAAGCTAGGAGGAATTCATTGACTTAAAAATGCATATAGTCCTTATTTAATTGAAAGCAACCAAATTTCAACCCAAGTATGATATAGTAGTGGCAAATGTAAAATACGTTCAATATTAATTCAAAACATTATTGAAAGAAAATATAAATCCAATTCATTTCCCTTCCACACGTTAACTTAAAAATATGATAAAGGTAAACTTATCATTGATAGAATTTCTATACTCCTAGGATCAGCGCTTAATGATTCCAATTCATATGTTCAGTTTAGAGGGACAGCGATGGGGAAAATGTGTGGATCCTGAACCCTGTCCTGAAGACCACTTATTCTGGGCTAAGGACAAGCAGTGCTATTCTGCCAACTCAAGAGGGCCCTGTCCAGAGGGACAACTGCTCATCTCTAGCAAAACCAGTCCATCGATAGGAGAGTGCCGCTGCGAAAGTACAGGACACTTGTCCCAATATTACTGGAGTCCCACAGGAACTTGCCATGAGCATTACACAACAGGTAAACACCTTTCCGAAAACACTCGAAGGAAATGAAGAGACAAACGAATTGATGAAATTGCGACAACCTGCCAAAATTTTCCTCGTGATCTTGTAAAAAGCTTACACGCCTTGAGACACTTCCCCAAAATGCAAAAGTTACAAAAATGACATGCCTATCAACACTCTTATTAACTGAGAACTTGACAAGTCGAGTGGTTTAAAATTTTACACAAGAAAATGACTAGGTAACTGTAAAAAGTTTTGACTGAAATGTCTAAAATTTCTGATTATATTTTACATTATTAGACAAAAACTCAAGTTTCAACATGAAGTTAATAACAATACTGAGAATTAGGAAAACAAAAAATGTCCCAGGTTTCTGAAATAGGGGAAATTTGGATTTCTTACTCACTGACAGAACATACTTCTTTCATTATTTAAAAATTGCTGCACTACCACTTAGAATGGGTCTGAGAAAAATTATTCTGGTTTAGAAAATCGAATACCTCTTACAATGTAAAAAGGGATATGAATCAGAATTTAAAACCCTTGATTTTTTCCAACTTTGAGCGCTTCCATTCTGATTAGCCAAGTTTTTCTAGCCAAGATTATGTACTTTCATTTGAAGGTCTCTTTTTTCATAGCTTTCTATTGTTCTGCAGGTCCTTGCCTAGAGAGAGGCGGAATATTTTTGCCAGGAGGTAAATGTGGCTGTCACCACACTCTTCCACATTATCATAACTTGACAAACCGGTGCTATCCATTAGGTAAGTTTTTGTTGACGAAAAATTTAAATATTGAACTTTTCCTCACATATTACAACAGTATAAAAGAATCGGAGAAATTTGTAAGCATTTATAAAACAATAAGAATCGAAAACGTTATTGTTCAACTTCACTCTTTCACTAAACTCATCAATCCTTTGTGGATTTTACTAGGTACAATGGATTCTCCATATAATACTTGAAATTTGAAACTCATCACAAGGTAATTGAAAGATCGTTTTTTTAATAATTAGCCTAACTTAGTCATGAATTAGACCAAATTCAACAGATACCCACCAAACTGCATCAAGTTTGCACCGAGAAAAAGTCGTTGAAAGTTTTACTTCTTTGGAGGCCTCAATGTCAAGGACAAAGTTAGACAAGTACTTTCTTGTTCAAAAATTTTTTTTTTTACTTTGCGGTTTTGCAAGGTGAAAATTTACAGCTGGTGGAATTCAGAACTGCTCCCGAATTTTTTATTTTTTCTCCAAACTGGCAATGGCAATTGTTGCCTGGGACTGGTTGTAGGGACGGAGGGGGGATGGGACTGAAAGGATTAGCCCTTGTGGGCTATTTAAAGTAGAAGAAGAAAGAAAAAAAACTGCGAGTAGTTGCAAAACTCTGATGTGGATGTGACTCAGTTGAACTCCGTTGTAGGAAGTGGATATCAGCATGTTAGCTTTGTGTAAAGGTAGTTTTAAAAAGGAAGTACAGTCCTCGTACAAATAGTGTTATTCTTGACCAGACCGCTCTAATTCATCAAATGATAGATGCTAAATTAATTGAAAATTGCAGATTGATTAAGGAGTTGCAGAGACTTGAGATTGAGAGTGTCTGAGTTATGGTCTCAATAGTCACATACACACAGGAGTAAAAGTTTTCATAAAATTAAATTTGCAGGTGGAGCTGGGCCCTGTTCGCAAGGGCAGCAGTTTATAGTCCAAGTGCCTGGAAACAGAGCTGAATGTGTCTGCAAGGAAGGCTACGTCCGTTGGGTGGGCGATAATGCCTGCTACCGACCATACACCAGAGGACCTTGTCCCCCAGGTCAACTCTACAGCGTAAATTACACGGTAAATACCTCACTGTTAGCATCGTTGGGACTAATACAAAAATGATTGACTCAAACAAAAAAATCGAAAATGAGGGGGAAAAAAAGCTCGAGTACATATTAAATTATAGAATTTTGAAATTGATAGATAGTGGCGCTGGGATAGTTTTTTGTGCATAAATAATTCCAAGCAATGAATCAATTTTTCTTTTCAATAGATTAAGGGACAAGATAGGGTAGAAGAAAAAAAAAACAGGAAAGAGAAAATTGGAACTTCTGAGAAAATTCTCCTTTTTCTTCTCATTTAAATTTTTCCATTTTCTGCTTCAAAGAGGTTAAATTATGCCAGCTAGATAGAACTCTAGGAGTGAATAGATACTTTCACAAACAGGATACTTAGTATGTGCATAAAGTTATGAATGGTACTACTGCATTTACTTCTGTTTTTGCAAAAATTATGGCTTATGGTTTGAATTTATTTCTACTTTGACTTATGATAGATAACTGGAATGGAAATTGGATGCATTCCTCTACCGTGCCAGACAGGGAGGCTGTACTTCCCAGGCGGCAAAGGTTGCCACAGGGTGGGATCTCAAGGACCCTGTCCACCCGGTCAAATTGTTCTGTTTCAAGACAGCGTGAAAACAAGCATTGAGGGCATATCATACCAAGGGATGTGCGGCTGCAAGGCAACGTCTTCTGATCCAAAGTAAGCACAAACACATTACCACTTCTGCTTAAAGCTTAAAAAATTTACATAATAAATACAAACATGAGAAAATCTTATTACTGTACTCCTTGGAAGGGGGGGGGGATTTTGTGGCAAGGACTTACATGAATTGTGAGGAAAAAGTTTTGACTTATAAAAGAACGTCTATGGACCAGCGATTTATTTTCCAGTGCTGGTAGTTCTTAGTTGAATTTTTAAGTAAAATTTGTCTTATATGATTAGCTAGGACACCTGGCGGGCTTCTATAAAAGTTATGAATTAAAGCTCTACGTAACATGTTCTCCCTTCAAAACTTCGCAAGGAAAACGAGTCACACAACAGAAAGCCAGCGAATCAACTCCTAAACGCTATATGAGTGTTTACAATCAACATTGGTTGTATGGCAAAAATTAAGACTTCTATTCCGACTATCATAACCAGTTCAAAAATTAGTCAGCTTCCTAGAGAACTTTGTCCAGGAGTGACCAGGAAAAAAACAAAAAAATCAAATCCAAAAAATCAAAAGGAAAAGGCAAAAGAACATCTAGAAAGTAAGTCTGGTTAAAGACTGGTTTTTGACACAAAAAGGCAAATTAATTACATCATTTTGTACTCAAAAAACAATCAAAAAATTCCTCAAAATTAGAAAAAACAAAAATAACATTAAAAAACTGTGGATACTTAGGAGCCACTGATCCATGTTAAAGTTTCTGAGAAGAATGTCACCTCACCATTAATTTAATATTTTTTCTGGTAATGAATTTTTCTGATTTTTAATTGCAGTACAATATTTCCCATGCCATTCAGAGGAGAGCCTGGCAACCCTCTCAACCAATGCGGGGCTCAAGCACGCCAGTCGAACTCCAATCTGATCTCTGGGAGTGAGGACAACTCCGAAATTCTGGAGGATCTGTGTGGCTCTAAGCGTGGCGTCATCCAATGGGCAGATGGAACATGTCGGCAACTTTACACACAAGGCCCCTGCAATGTAGGTGAATGGATAGTGCCTGATCGAGGCAAAGGTCAGCGCAAAGGCAGAGGGTGGAAGGTTGGGAAATGTGAGTGCCGCCCCGGCTTCACACCCAATCGAGATGAGAAGACCAACATCACTACATGTCTACCACCAGTCGTTACAATTGCAAAGTTCTTGAACAGCAAGAGTTACCAATTCAACAACAGTTTTACTAGTCCGCAACAAAAGTTCAAGCCGTCAACCACCTACAGATATAAAAACCACAAAGAGCCTACCAGCACAGAGCGGAGCACTGAGGTTCTGATAAAAAATACTTTGAGCGCCGAGAACGAGGCGCGCAATCACAGGAGCGACGATTCTCTGAAAGCTAGAAAAGAGCTAAAAGAGAAGAGACTGAGAGGATCTGAGGTAGAGATAACCGAGAGCAGTAGGCGGTCGGCTGACGAAACATTAGAAACGACGACGAGTTTCAGTGAGAATGTGATTAAAGGTCTGAGTGAGGACAATGCTAGAGCTTTGAGGGAAGATTTGAATGAGCCAGAAAAAAGGCCGTCAAGTACACTTGTGCCCATAATAGATTTAGAAACGCTATTTGAAGAATTGAGTTCATCTAGTGTTGAATTGCGGTGATAACAATTTTTTTTTTAAAATTTGTCCTCCGAAGGAAAAAGTTAATTTTCTTTTGACATACTTAGAAAGAGAGAAAACATTGCACATATGCCCATCGGATTAGTTCTTATTTATTTTGTAAATATTACTCATGAAAGGTACTTACCTGTAAGGAAAGACTGATTTAGAATTTTTACTTCCCTTTTTTGTAAACTTCAATGCTCATTAAAGTAAGCATGTAAATATGAAGAATTATTTATTGGAAATTTTACTCCTTGTTAAGCGTAATTGAAACAGCTGATTCATGAAATCCACTCTCAACCAACCTTTATCAACTATTTTAAATTATCACTTCTAAGGATAAAAAGAAGCAAAAAAACTGATCTGAGTTGTTCATATTAGCATGATTTGTACAAAGGAATAATTATTGTGAACATATCTTTTGTTCTACATAGTTTTCGTACTATTTGAAAAAAAAAATCGGCTCTTGTAAAAACCGCTGATGTCGATTTTTACTAATTAAGAAAAAGCTGCCAAAAATTGCACAAGCCTTTCATTCGTACAATTACGTAAGAACTGCTTATACAACACTCTCTGATGCTCTATGACACCTAAATACCACAGATCCCTATCCCCAAAGGTCCTTCTGGGAGCAGGCATTCCCTCATTTCTTGTTCAACTACGTATCGCCACGCCTTCATGGGGCATTTTTTTTTCTCCCCCCAGGAAGATACCGATCAAAATTTTTTCGCCAGCCTTTCTTCTATCATTCTGGTCACAAGACCATACTAGACTACCTGTTTGGTCATGATGTTGCATACACACAGGATAACATTTTGTTAAAGAAATGTCCTTCAAAACTCCCAAACTTATCACCAAACCCTAAAAATCTCCATACCCAAATCTTGAAACCTCCAACAGTTTTCAAGACCAAAAATTTCACAAGATAAACAAATGAGCATTAGCTGTTTTTGCAAAAGTCGATTTAAAGGAAATGTACATACATATGTTTGTGATAAGTTACCGACTTACAGTTACAGAAAGTGATAGTCCGTTACTTCACATTAATATTGCTCGTTAGATTAGTCCAATAACCAATTGAATTTTACTTAAAGAAAAAAATAAATGAAAAGGTTGAAAAAGATAGTGTGTTCTCATTTAATGTTCCTAAAAAATGTTCAGCTTAATTAGTTTCACGCTTTCAACTCCTTCAAACCAGAAGCGTGCAAAATTGCGGCTCTAGCCTTAGAAACCATTTTGTCTGACATTTTTTATTTGTAGAGCCCTCCATTTCAGTAACCTTTCTGAATTGATGCAAAAAAATTTCATCACAATTTTTTAACTAACTGGTAAAAGGAAATGATAAGAATATGTTCAGGCATCCTCTAATCAAAACAGGATTTCAGCATGGACCAAAAATTCTTTGAGCCACAAGTATAAAGGAGAAAACGTAAATGTGACTTGCAATTCTTGGACGCTAACAGAAACCGAAGTTCTGATTTAGCTTTGAAGTCACTCATTACAAGTTTGACATTACAAATAGCAGAATAGCACAGTAAATGTAAAACATTTCTTAACAATTTAAATGATACAGGTAATAAAAAATAATACATGGATATTGGAAGGAATTATACATTATTTTCATTAAACTGAAAAGAGAGACTGACGACTGTTGTGAAAGCTCCCTGACAATTGAGGCACTTCAGGATGAGAGATAGTAATTTTAAAAATTACCAATCTGGCTATCAAAAAAGTATAAGCTTAAAAACGCGAAACGAAAACATGACGTGGCCGCCTGGCATAATGTGGTTATAATTATTTCACTTGACACCCATTTAAGTATGAGAGAATCAAACAAAGAAAGACGATCAATTTTGGGAAGTTATATCAGTTATTAATTTTTATGAGCAAATACTTTGGTGAGCATTGTGTTGTAAAAAAATCATGCAGAAAGAGAAATCAGCAAAATCTTACTTGTATTTGGCATGAAGTTCTGCGATAGTAGTCTCGTACTGCCGCAATACGGTTTCATTCTTCATAATTTCCTTTTCCATTGATGCGATTCTTTCAGTTTTGTCATCTAATTTACACTAAAAAAGAAAAAACTGAAATGAAACGACTTAATCATACAGTTAGTTTTGACACTTCAGAATGGTTAAGCTTGGTTGAATGCTGTGAAGTATTTTTCCAGCAGTAAATAATCCCTAATAAAACAGTTAAGACTCTACCCAGAATGAGTTGAGTTTTATTGCAGCAGTTATACGGCAGACATACGATGTTGTGCAAAAAAATTTACAAAAAACTGAGACAAAAGATGGGACATTTTTGTGTTTGATAGAAGCAAAAATCCAACTTTGTTGGCCAATTTTGCTTGGCAGAATCAGGATCAATCTCTTCGCCGGAAAAAAATGTGACTACCAAGAATCAACTTCTTCGAAAACAAGGTAAGCTTCCATCTCTTTGAAAATTCTTCATATTCTCAAAGAAAAAATTCATTTATATTTCAGTGACAATTTGTTAGGATACCATGACCCGTAAAGCAAGTTCGGAGAAATTAAGCAGGGAATTCTTACAATTTTGGCAGATACATCTTTTCTTTTTCACAAAACTGCTTAGTACTACATTTTTTAGAGTACATATTAGTACAGTTAAAAGGCATGCATTTCCATTGATAGTATTAAGAAAATAAGAAAAATACAGTGCCAACAGCTTTCATGACGCCACAAAGACAGTTGGCACAATATCTTTCCATTTGAAACATGGTTAAATTTGGACAACTTTGAAAGTCTTTTCTCAGCTGAAATTTGATTAAATTAAAGACGCAAAAAGCAGGCATTCTTAATTCTACGCACTTTCCTGGAATAAATTTTGAAACAGTTGTGTTACAGCCTTATTATTACTTGTTCATGCGTTTGTACACATTTATTTTTAATTTAAAGCTATCTACATTGGAGGGGCTACACAAAATTCTTCTGTTTTTCTTCCACTAAAGATGAGACGCAAATGAAAATAAAAAGTTCATCGAAGGAGGAATTTCAGCGATATAGCTTAGTACCATGATGCATCTATCTTTAAAGAATAGTGAGCGATAAAAAACTCAACGTTCATAAATGTGCCAATTATGTAAACATTCAACTAAACTATTCAATTGGGTTTTGTGTGAGTAGATACTTATAGGATGACATGCAAACATCATGCAACAGTGGCCATTTGTTCGCCCTTGGTGGAGTTTTCCTGAAATCTTAGGGCAATAAAGCAAGAAATCAGAGGACAACATTATAATAAGTAACGCTGTCGTTGGTAAAGCCTGCCCAATTGGGACAAAACAGTTACTTTTTGAAGAGATACAAAGAAATATGTACATAAAAAACATGAAAACCAGCTAGTGCGTCAGATCATATTTTTCAAGCCAAAAAGTAAAATGAGAAAATGTTTACCAGTAAGAAATCTTTTTGTTGGTCCAGTTGTTTTAAATTGGTGCGAAGAGTATTCCTCTCAATTTTTACATTCTGCAATTCTCTATCTAAAGTGGTAACTTCACTTTCTAAGGCTTGAATTCTATCTAGGTTGGCAGAAAGCTCTTTGTTCAGGTGGCCTTGATTACTATGACAATCTCGAAGAGCTCGCTCAGCTTGCTCATGTGCTAGTCTGAAAAACAGAGGTGGAGAATCAAGGTAAAATAATATGTGCGGCATTGGTGCCTGACTCATTTGAAAATAACTGTGAAGAAAATAAGGAAACAATTGAGAAAAGCTTGGTATACTGAGACCATTGTATAAAAAAAGTGAATATGAATAGTAATAGGAACTTCATTTTTTATTTCTTAAAAAAAGATGCTAGAAATTTCTGGCAAAACGTCTCGATTTTTGTTTTGAAATTAATTTACATGTAAGCCGTGTATTGACAGGCTCAGAAGCAGATATGACATTCCTAAAATAAGCTAAGAAATGTGTTTTTTTCTACTACAATTGATCCATTTAAGACAGTCAGAGATTGAGAGAGAAGATACATATTTACTTCAAAATCTTTCAACTCTTCAAATGCATTAATTGGTGGAAAAAGGCGTTGGAATCGAACGTTTTGTATTATTTTATTGCAGCCAATTTGTCTCGACCTGAAGGCAGAGATTGTGCAACGAAAAACAACACTTACTTCATATGATTGTACAGAGCTTTTTGCTCCGTGAGGTCTTGCTGAGACTGCACAAGGCTCTTTCGATACTGGTCAATTTCTCGTTCGAAATTCTCAATGATCAAAGTTTGCGATGTTTGCTTATTCAGAAGTTCACAGCGTTCACTTTCAAGTTTTCGGAGTCTATCTTCAAAATCAATAGATAACTGACTCATCCTGTTTTCGCCAAGCCTATGTCCTTCTCTGATATTCTGAAAATCAAAGGAAACACTTTTAAGAAACAGGAACCGATGAAATTACACAACTTCCATGAAGGATATCCTGGGGTTTATCAGCATGCAAGACTGCAGGCTGAACGGAAAATGCTCCCATAGACATGAGAGCATATTCAATGGCTGATACAAACTTTTTTCTCCGAAAAAATGTTTTCCAAAAATGCCCTTCCCTTCATAGGAGCCACAATCCCCCAATATTCCTGAAGAACTAGTTTCATCTCATATTCTGCCCACAATTTGCTTTGCAAGGGACCGTTTGAAGAATATTCATGTATTATTTCATTTTTGAACATGAGACCATTGGGATCCCAAAAATTGCAGAGATGATTTGAAGACATTTTTTTTAAAAATTTGCTAACATTTTTGGGAAAGAAACATACAAACCGAGAAAAAGAGAAAAAAATTCAGAGATCAGAGGAGGAACTTCAAAGTTTTTGAAATAATGTGCCTTAATTCATTACATTTAAATATTTTGCAAAACGCATAACTTTGATTTCTGTTTTGAAACTGCACTGCGACTAACAAGTTGCAATCCATAAGGTCCCTCTAAGAGACCTTATTGTAATTGTTAGGACGTTAACGTCAATCACTCGCTTAATATCTTTCTCTATAATATAAAATCATAAGAGTAACACATAAAATTTACCACCTGAGGCGCAAAGCGGTTAAGGGGCGTAGCCTCTTAGTGATCAATAAACTTTCGAGCCAATTGTATCACAGATGGCATAGCAGGGCATAGATATTCCAAAAAATGACTGTTTATTTTTATTTATAACGCAATGCTTTTTAGAATGTCTCAAACCCTATAGTTTGGCACAATAAGACAAAAAAAAAAACAAGACAAAGCCCTATCTTAACCATGCAATTCATCGCATTTCAATGTTTCATTAAACCATTTTAAACTTTCAATGATACGCCCGCAGTATAGGGAGAATAAGGGCAAAATGGTCATTTTGAGGATCCGTTTGATCAGTTCATGGAGCTTTTAGGGCCCAAAATGGAGTCCAAACAATGAACTCAAATTATCCATAATTACTTGTTATTCCAAATAATACTACTTGTCGTTTCAAACATTATTGAAGCACTCATTAGACTTGGTTTTTACCATACGTTTCCTCATTTTTGCGGGAGGGCGCTCATTTAAAAACATTGTTGGTTCGACATTTGAAAGTGAAGAATAGGCAACATTTTTCTGGTATTTTCATTGTGAGAAGATTGACTGCCATTTAGGGACCTACGAGCTCCATGTTCCGACAAGTCCATATTCTGCTGTCTAGAGCCTATTGATTTTAACTTACTGAAAGCTGACTCCACAGGGCTGCTTTTTCTTCTTCCAACCTTTTGACTTCTCTTTTAGCAAGGTCCCTTTCTAGCTCCAGGCTCCTGATTAAAGCCTAAACAATTAGATCAAAACGTGATTATGAGAAAAAAAATGGGCACAATACATTTCATTGCGTTCTATAAAATTATTGCTGAATTATAGGAACTGATGGACTGAATTGAACAGAGAGGCACAAAGTCAAACTTTTGAGAAAAATGAGTTGGGAGTTGTGAGCTTAACTGTCTGCATATTTTCTCTTACCCAAATGTAAAGTCAGCAAAAATATTTTGACTTGGAAAAAAGCTGGTAGACTTAATTTCTGCCATTCATTCTTACGAAGGAACACAACTTCAATCCTCGGTTTAGTCTGGATCTGTTCTTCAGTTAAACTTGGTCCAAATTTAAAGTGGAAAAGCTTGGTCTCAAAAAGAGAAGAGAAACAGCATCAGATGGTGGAAAGAAAATGGAAATTTTCTTATCTTCTTCCACGGCTGTTCAATAAGCATGCATGATGGTCTTCACTAATTACCTATGATCCAGAAGTTAATTTCAAAAACTCTAATCCTTTTTTACTTAGGATCTTGATCATTGCCCATTGACAAAATCATATTCTTTTGAACTATCAACACTTATTTCTCAAAAAATAAGGGCAAAAACCACTTTTAAAGGTACTTACATTTTGAGTATCTAAATAGTCCCCCTTCCCTTTTTCTAAAGAGGACTTCTGAATTGAATACTTCAAGTCCATAATTTCCTTGTCCTTCTCATTTAGTTTTGCCATTAGTTCCGCCAACTAAAACCAAAAATATAACATTATAAAAAAAGAAAGAATAATTTTGATAGCAACAGTCATTTTTGACAAATATCTGTTCATGTTTTATCCTAGTTACTGAGAAACAGAACTTACGTTTTGACTGTTGTAATAATCTCCTCTTCCTCTTTCGGAAGAAAGTTTTTCTATGGACAGTTTCAAATCTATGATTTCTTTATCCTTCTCATTCAGCTTTGTGATCAAGTTTGCCAGCTGAAACAAAAGAAAATTAAATCTAGCGGCAAAATACAAAGCACGAGTCTAATAACTTGGAAAATCATCAATTGTAAAATGATTTTAATTGGGTTTAGTTTATTTTTACTAAAGAAGCTTGTTTTTTGTAACTTCCTCTCTTTAAGTTTGACCTTCAAATTTCCAAATGAACAGAGAAAGAGGACATTTTTTTTTAAAAAAAATATCCTCCATTAACATACTAAAAAGAGTAAAATGAGGATATATATATGGGATCCAAGTAATATGCAGAAAAGATTAAATATTGAGATGATTCAGGGTCAAAAGACTTCTATTATTTTAAGAGAACAAAAAAAGAGTAAATGAAAGGTAAAAGTCAATTATGTTTAAGGTTAATGCCCTATAGGGTTTAAAATAGTGCGTGTCATTCCAAATTAAAAAGAACATTTTTGATATTGATGGACATGCAAAGCAAATCCAACGGAAAACTCGAACAGATAACAAATAATACATATAAAGGCAGTACAATAATATTGGTTGCACTTTCAATTTTTTTTACCCTCCCCCTCAAAAAGATGAAGGAATTTCTCACGAGGTGCACAACCTCTTCATGAGAAAATTAATATGAATCAGCAAATTCTTGACCAAATAAATTCAACAAGGTCTTGTTTGAAAGCTGTTAATATAATCATTATTAAGCTTGTAAAATCTGCATTTTGCTACCTTCATCTTTTTGCTCTTACATTATTGTGACTTGACTTTTGGGACAATATATCATTGCAAAGCTCTCATCCGAAGTCAATGACTTTTGTTTAAAAAAAAAAAAATCTTTACACAGGTCAGGAAAATCACGGTTCATGCAAGTGTTAAAAACAGAAATTCAAGCATATTCGAACATTTTCCAGTACACGTTTGCAAATTTTCAAGTACAGCCACATGCAAAAAATTGAATATTTTCAATTCAATAATAAACCAAAAGTAACAAAAACAAAATGAAACAAACGGGAAACCGAGGCATCAAACTGTGGGCTAAATAATGAAAATAAAGAAAGCCGAAACTAATTTTTGTGAGTTTGAGTTTTTAAGTTTAGGCTATTTTCATTTTCAATTCACTTTAGAGAGATGAATAGGCTTTCTTACCACTCATTGAGAATACTTAAATTCATCTGGTCCCAAATCACCACAAACACGGTAAAGGTACTGCACTTAAGGCGCAACTCTGCATTGCAAGTTAGCAACCGACAGTGGCACAACGCGCTGTCAATAATGAAACTCGGTCAGATTTTCTTTGAAAGATTGTTATGCCACATTCAATCACTGACTGGTGCGCCTTGAAAGCTGTGCCTTAGGTAGGAGACAGCACTGCGTAACAGCTGCGCCGTTCTGGTCATGCTTTGCGTTTCTTTTCTCATGAAGGTAAGCAAAACAAGAGATCTTCACCTCTTCTCTGACCGCAAGATATGAAACATATTGCTCAAGCAAAATTGTGTGGCAATGGGAGGAAACAATATAGATCTTGTTCATAAATTATCATGGAAGAATATTTGAACTCTTTCCTTTAGGGAATGTTTTTCATCGTTTATGGGAATTTTTCATTTTTGATCAATGGACTAGTAGACAAGGTACAAATTTACGCATTCTAATACATGTTTCTATACCAAAATTTTACGTAGAACACGATTTGTGCAACAAAAATCACTGAAACTAACTACTGTCTAAGCTATTTGACGTTTTTCAAAGCGGTCAAACCTCTCACTCATGAAAAAACAAAAGTACACTTGAGATAAATTGCGCATTTAACATTTCTGAAACAGTCACTGCGGTATAAAAAGATGGCAACCTCGATTTCCGTACTTTGGCTCAGCTGTTCCAGGTCATTAACACTAAGGACAACATAAGATGGGGAACTGGGGAAGGAACATTGCTCGACTAAAAAGCCTACCGTACACAAAAGCACAATTCGATTCAGGTAGGTCATTATTTTTCTTGTGCGCAGGGAATTCAAAATTCTTGTAACCAATGTAAACTAAAAATGTTAATATCTTAGTCAGAAGTTGATTTCAGTGATTTCTATAATGCAAATTATGCTCTAGAAGAAATTTTGGTTAAGAAACTTGCATTAGAATGCTTAAATTTGTACCTTATGTATCCACTGGTCCACATCAATACTTATCCCCCCCCCCCCCAAAAAAAAAACGTACAAATACAAACTTCCTGAAAGTTTAAGAAGAACAGATCATTACATCTTAGAAAATGACAAGAGACAAGGGTTGTATAGATACCAGTTTATACATTCTTTTTTTCTTTTTGGAAGTTTATACACAATAGAAAAACTATAAGACAAAGAGCACAAAAGATTGCTAATCAATTCAAGAAAACACCACAGAGTTAGAAAGACCAATCGGAGGACGTGCAGATGCAGGTGAGTTGCATGCTCGATGACTTGGGTCATGAAAATCTTACAGTTTCGTTGGTTGACTTTTGAATCTCGCTTTGAATTTGCTCAATAATCTTCTCTGAGCTCTTACTTGTTGGACCTTGATTACCATCACCGACCTAAAACAATGGACGATACCCGATTAAAGTGATTATGACTCATGAAACTTGTCTGTTTCGATGATGTTGTAACTTGCTCACACAGGAAAATCAAACATATTTTTCAGACTGAATTATTTTGAACTTTTTTTAAATACATATTGCCAGAGAATTAAAAGATATATTATTTAGCGGACATATTTTCCATATTATCAATATTGATCTACTTCAATTTTTCCACAGAGAAATTGGTGCCACTTGGTGAGTTGTTTTAAAAAAGACTTCAGCGTAAAACATCAAAGAATGTCAAACTAAACATAGTAATGCCGGTTTGAAGTTTGCAGTTCCTAAATCCTGATCTGCCTGAATGTACCTTATCTGCTTTCTAGATGGTTTAAAATTCTCAGATTAAAATCCATGTTTTCGCACATTCATTGCAGAAAAATGTGATTTTCAACCTGACTTGGCTAAAACTGCTCAGCTGAAAAGCTTTTTGCCAAGTGAAAAGGACTTTTCCCCATAAAGGAAGAAAAAAAAAAGTTCTTTGATTATAATTAGATTGATGCAATGTAATTTAATATTTCTCAATACTTACACCATCCTTTTCATTTGCCAGCTGTTTGTCCAGCAATCGGTGGTACTCCTTCTGATAGTAGTTCTTTTCTGCTAGTAAAAGTTCTAGAACTGCAGATGGTGCCTGGTTTATAGTCTGTTTATTAATGAGCAGAAAAAAGGGAAAAATTCAATTATCAATTTAAGGGATCAATAAAGCGAAAGCAAATAAGCAATGAATTAAATATTGTAACACAATTATAGATTATTTTTTGAGGAGAAAAATTCAGCATATGGAACAGTTTTTTTGTTCGCTTTACAAGGCTATTGTGCTTTGCTCAGAGGGGGTTTGTCATTAAAGCAACAAATGAGTCTTAAAAAAGAACCCGCCACAGACCTTATGGGAAATGGCTCTCTTTACAATCTAATGAAACTTGGATATGCTGCTCAGCTAGTCATTCTGATCAAAAGTTCTCATGGGCCGAAAGAGATCCGACAAGCGGTTTTCGAGATATTCCCTGTTTTATGTGCGTAAATTGAGGTTTCACTGACCGGACCATTGTGCGGCGCCTCTTGTACCCTTCTCTTCCAGTCCACTCCGGCCGCTCTCCGCTTCCCCAGCACCCATACCTGAGGCTCAGACTCAGACGCCAGATAAGACAACCCGGCTCGGCGACGATGAGCAAAGCCGCGTGAGCATCAGCGTCCGAGCCTCAGATATGGTTCAAATGTATGATCAATTGAATTCAAAACTTTTTTCTCCAAAATGCGACTTGGTACATTTCAGTTGAATTCGGTCCATTTTTGGTTTTTTCAACACTTTTTTGATGTGAGATTAAAAACTTAAGTATGGAGTTGGAAGATCACAAGATGGGTTATGAGCAGTTCCTGGACCATCGATTCAGCACTGTACTATTCACTTTTAGGACAACTTACATCAACATTGTAGCGATGCTGACTTAGCTGTTGTTTTAGACTTACTGTGGGCGAGTAACGCACTAAAAACTCATGTTAATACATAGGATCAAAAGAGAAAAAAATCTACAATTATAGAAGAAAACAAAGCTGGATATTTCCTAATTTTTACTAGTTATTTTTTTACTATTATTTTTTTTTTTTTTGTCAATGTGGTTTTCACTGACAGTTAGCAATCCTGAGGTTCCACATTTATATGAGTTATACTCGGCGGGTAAGATAGTAGTAAGGCTAAATTATGTTACACTAGAAAAGCGCAGTAAAATGAAGGATTTGAAACAGTCAATTTGCTTAATGTAATGCTATTAAATATATCAACTAACCAATGGCGTAGTTAAAAATGATGAACCCTAAAAAACATTCTTGTATAGACTTGATCCATTTAAAAAAGATTCTGAAGAATCTTCAGATGAAGCTCTTACCTCTTTGATTTTATCAGAAATAAGGTAAGGAGGAGGATGAAGTCGAGCACAATGTTCTGCTTGTTGCCGTCGTACAAATTCTATTTGCTCTTCATACTTTCTCCTCTCTTCTTCAATTAGTTTCTATAAAAACAAAGACAAAAAATAAAATGGTGCAGCAGACAGAAAAACAAGACAACTTAATCAATGAAATATTTCTTCCTCGGCACTTGGAAATCTTCAACAAAATATGGGCGCTTCTCAGATTTTTCTTCCAACTAGGGTTGCTTCTAGCATAATGTAGCATAATGATACAGAACTCAACAGAAGGCATAACCAATACTGGCGTTTAAACATCAAATACAATAAAAGAGACATATTTTTAGGCTGCCAACTCAGCGCACTAGAGTACTCCGCAAGTCTCAATTGCCATAGGAACCTTTCCTCCCAGAGATAATTAAATACATTGATGCTACTGTTACTTGCAATCAAAGTGACTTCAAAGAGATGGTTCCTTCTGCAGGCAACCTATCTTTCTTGCTCTCATTTAATGTACATTGGCAACTATTTCTTCCTCAATATAATTTTAGATACATACTAAGATATGTTTCGCAGAATAGTTTTTTTTTGTACATACTTGCAACTAGACCTGAGGTTCATATCTACGATAAAATATGGAAGGGGCAAAACACAGAGGAAAAAGACTACTTTATGTACGATTTCAGAATTTGAAAGAAATGACAACACACACAGGTCGAATGAGTGCTAAAGAAATAGGTTACTTTCACTTGGAACCGATTCCATGGTCAGAAAAAGCAATGCTGGCATGATATGATCACTAAAAAAGTTTGTTGAGGCTTGAAAGTTTTAATTATTAAATAAATTTTTGATTTTATCATTTGAAAAGCTGATACCGACTGGCAGAGTGGCGACGTTTTGAAAAAAATTTGATCTGGCTCTCAAATTCAAGATTGCAGATATTCTCAGCTACATTTGATGGGAAAATGAAGAAAGACATAATCGTCTTCTCTTTTTTTCACTTCCTCCTATGTGAGTGTGACATACTTTAAAGCTAGGTTGATCATCAAAGAGTACACATTAGCAGGGGTGGGGGGGAGGGGGAATTAAAGACATTGAATCTTGTAGACCGTGCGTCCGGCTCGGTTTAGTACAGGCGGAGCGAAGCAAGTCTCTCGGAGCCCCATGGTGGGCGGGCAGGGAAGGGGAGAGAGCGTGTGTCCCAAGCACTCGAGGAGACTGCAGAGAGGCAATGGAAAATTCATTCCCGCACTCGGTTTTTCACGAATATCTCATTTAGAGTCCATTTTAAGACGAAATTCCTAAGAAAAAAAGTTTTAGAACACATAATTTTACACCCGAATAGCATTGTTTCATTTTCCCGAACTAATTATTAACCAAGTAAAAAGTCTCACAATCCGACAGAAATTCACTGGAGCCGCTACTGTGCATGCACAGATGTGCGCAACTGGGACACACGAACTCATCGATGCGGGTCGGTGCCACCACTCATCGGCATGCGAATTTTTAGAAGTTGTCTCGCCTTCCGTAACGCAGGATGCACGATCTACATGATTCAATGTTTTTGGGGGGAATTCATTGCAAAAATATACCTTTACCGTGCAGAAATTAATTTGCTGCAACTGTTTCTAGTTAAAAAAATAAGATTTAGCAATGGAGGGTGTGATGGTTGATGCTTGTTAGCGCTCACCTTCTCATTATAGCCAGTCTCATACTCTGTTTTCAAACATTTTCCCAAGAGACTCTCTTTGGGAAGAAATTCACACTGCGATAAGGCCTTTATCTTGACTATAAAAGGGGCATGGTAAAATTAAAAGCTTGTAGGATGTATGGGCTACAACTTAGTTACATCAAAATATTGAAAAGGCAAGTTAAATTACTCCTGCAAGTTCCTGACAACCTATTAATTGTAAAAATCTCTTCCCCTGGACTCACCTTGACTTCATCATGCAAGGAAGTGGATTCACCATTGCCAGTGCGATACTCTTCAGACGCAAGCAGATTGCCTAATTGATCTGCTGATTCGGAATCTTCTTTGCTCTCCAATGAATTCATGTCCGCGCAAGATTTTCGTCTATTTCCTGCCATATTGTACAAGGATTTTGGTGCACGTGATCCTACTTTGTGGAGCACTTTATCGTTCTTTCTGTAGGTTTTTCCTGGTGATGTTTTTGTAGGTTTTGAAACTGTAGGAACCAAAAAAAACAGCTTGTATTATATACTGAAGAAAAACCATTGGAATGATAAAGAAAACCTAGTATTGGCATGAAAATAGCAGAGGCTTTTTAACTTTCACAAAAAATGGGATGTCCAGTTATTCTAACAGTGAGAAAAAATACTTGATTGAAAATATAAAATTACGGAACAAGAGTTTTGATGGGAAATTTAATGTGAGGCTTTTATTTCTCTGTTTTCATTAATCTGAAAACGAAATCTGTGAACTTGCCTTCTCCTTTAGAAAAAGACTACAAACCTTGGACGAATTTTTAGCAAGACTCCACAAATAACTATAAATGGGTATTTCCTTTGACGATGAGTTTTCAGTAAAAAAAATTAATAAAAAGAAAGACACAATTTGAACTGATAAGTGGGTCTCCTGCATACACGAAATATAAGCGGGAGCATAGACTTCTCAGAGGTAAAATCTCACAATTGTCCGATGGGAATTATTGTAATTCACCCCTAACTGCACAATCTGCAGAGTTTATGACATGCTTCTGCAAATTTCTCTAGTCCGCTGGTAGCTTCCCTCAACAACCAGCAGACAGGTTTGCCCAAGAAGAGATGCAAAAGAACCTGACCTAAATAAACAAACAATCTCCCACACTGTTACGAACTTCCCTTCCTTATGATTTTAGTTGATTTATGTATTTTGTTTTTGTAAAACAAACAGCTTAAAAACAATAGAAACCACATGAGAGAATAAGTTTGCAAAATTTTCTGTTTAATTAGGTTAGGTTTTCTTACGTCTCTTTTGGGATAAATCTGGTCGCTGGCGACTGAAAAATTGCCGAAGAACATCAGTTATTTGGATGAGCAAGTTGCAAGCTACGCTAAAATGTAGATTTTAGACTTTTTTGTAGTGCCTATTCGGATTTTTCTAGGATTTTACAAAGTAAAAGTCTATTTACTTGGCTGTAAATCTAGGACGCGGCAGACCCATTCACTAATATTTAAGTATGAATGTACTCCAAGTTTAGAACAACTTAAAACTCATGTGAGGAGTGCTTTTTGGATTTTTCTAGAATTTTACAAAGTAAAAGTCTATTTACTTGGCTGTAAATCTAGGACGCGGCAGACCCATTCACTATTATTTAAGTATGAATATACTCCAAGTTTAGAACAACTTAAAAATCATGTGAGGAGTGATTACACTTGGAGTGAGGGAAAAGAAAAGAGTGAAAAAATTCAACTAATAAACAAGAACAGCAGAAAAAAGAGAAATTTTCAATGCCTTGCCAGACAAAATCAGGGATTTTTGTAATGGAACATACGCTGCTTTCCATCGGTTGACAAAACTGATCCAACAGAATTTGACTTCTTGAAAGGCGCATTTGAGGGCATAAGAACACGGAATTTATGTATGTGACGAGTCGGTCCATTCTTCAGGCCACTACTTGGAGGTTTGTAGAAAGAATCATCATGATTAAGGAAACTTATTTTTCTCCTACACTCGACAGACTTGGTACCTGACCTGTGCTGGTCCTGGCGATGAGTTTTACATCCAGAATGCCCATTTGAATGACTAGACTTTGGTAAATCTTCGCTTTTTGGATTCCCATGTGGCATATTCTGTTTGCAATTATTTTGAGAACTGCGAAGACAAGAGGACGTTTTTGGCATTGTTTTTTCAAAGGAACTATACCTTGGGCCGAATCTATCATTTGGGCCACAATATCCTCCTTTTTCACGCTGCTTTGGCGCACAATCATCCAACTGTTGAGATCTTTGACTTGACGCTCTTGCTTGGTGTGCACCATTGCAAGATCTCACATTTTCACTGTTGTTGGAGCAACCTACATTTAGCTGACTTTCATTCTGAAATTTATTTGTGCTACATTTACAAGTCGACTTCCTATCCGAGTGATAGCACTTGGTGCAGGTTTGCCGCACGATACTATCACTGCTTTGGGCCTTCGTTCCGATACGCGACAGGTTTCTTTTAGAGCAGTTCTCCCGTCTGTTATTTTGGCAGTGTGTTGGAGTTTTTGCCTGTTCACAACATTTTGGGGTGCATGGAGAAGTCGTTGAAGGTTTTGGGCATCCTTGAACTGTATAGCTGGCAGAATTTGTTATGCTTTCTTTCTGAGGTTGGGTCCGAATAAAGGATTCTGCTTTTTGATTTTCATCAACATGTGGACATTTCTGTCCGATCAATGCTGCATTATTATACGGTGGAGGAGCTAAGTGAATGGAGGAATTATGAGTGCATTTGCTATCTTGTCGAGCAGATTTGGCTCTGGTGGCTTGGGAGGAGGGGCAAGGCTCGGTAGCTTGTTTGGAACTGACTGGGGATGTTGTCTTATTTGCACAGTGAGATTCTAAAGATGCGTTACAACCAGAGTGAAAACCTTTCATGTCTGTCTCCAAAGTGTAACTAGCTGAGCTAAGGACAGGTTTCTGATCCTCCTGCTCAACTGTAGTTTTCAGTATTTCATCATCTGGAACACATGGTGGTGGTGGAGGTAAGTTGCATCTGCGGCCTTTCTCCTTAGGACAATGAGAATTTTCGGTTTGTGAATTTGAATTTTCACAAGCTGTTCCAGTAAAATCAAGCACTACACTAACTGAGCGTTTCATGCTTTCACTTTCAGGACTAGGTGATTTTTTAAAAGTTCCATTTGCCACGGATTTTATAACTTTTTCAATGGTGGGGCAAGATTTGTCCACTGTTCCAATCTGAGTGCAAAGTCTATCCATGCTTGGACATTCATTAGGGCAGGGTAGGGTACTTTCAGGGGGGCAAGGCTTTTTGCTAGTATACACACAAGTGGAAACAGACGCAGCCATTGGGACTCTACTATCCGGGTAGGACACGGCTGTTAATGTAGTACCAGAACGCAAACAGGTGCCGGGGGAAATACAAGGAAGTGACTGATTGTTATCCCTGGCACTGGCAGCTGAATCATAACTTGAGTTGTGAGAAAAAACTTCCGTCTTAACAGCGCTTGGTTCGAGATTATTTGCATTGGAAGTTGAGGGACCTGTGATTACTTTCTTATCATTTTCTTTGTTATCTTTATCGGTTTCTGGCTGCTTTTCTTCGGGATACACATATCTACTTACTCCTTGGAAATAATTCAGAACCTTTGAGTTTTTGAGACCAAAAGACTGACTACTTTGCGTGCAAGGATTGGGATCAGGACTCTTTTTGAGGTTGGCGCAGGGTGAGTTATGGGCCGCAAACCGTGGCTTTTCAGGAATACTTTGACAAATGTAATCGCTTGCTTTGCTCTCTCTTCTATCTGTGCTCAATATGCTACTGCAAGGTTTGGTGCTGCAAGGGTTGGAATTACACGATGACAAGTATTGAGAGTCACAAGACTTGCTGTTTCCAACTTGAGATCTGTGCTTTCTGTACTCTTCATTCTTATTTCTTCTACAAATACCTGAGGAAATAAGTAAAAAGGAGAGCTAAAGGGCCGTTCCAAGTATTATGTAAATGACTTTTACCAAAGTTTTGACCCCCCTTTCTTTTAAATTATGTAAGTCTGGCTTGACAGCCCACCCCTTCATTTTACCAAAAATTAACCTGATGGCAAAAAATTAAAAAAATTGCTGGAAAAAATGATTTGTAGAGGAAAATATAATTTTTCCTAGGAGGGAGGCTTGCATTAGCCTGAGCTTCCCTCTTTTCCTTGTTGAACCCTGTAAGTCTAGCTCAGACTTCCTTAAAAAAGCTTGCATAGTACTTAGAATCCTTAAAAGGAACGATAGAATATACAATAAGAATTTCAAATAGGGGAAGTTGCATGAACTGGTCAGAATGTATCGGAAACCTCAGTTGTCCTGTTGATGTGACTTGTGTCTGAACAGAGCATTGAGATGCTTTATGTGATCTCAATTGTCAGCCTCAAATAATTGAGAAGGTCCACTCTTCTCTATTCCACCCATTCTAGTATGGTCGAGTTTTCCTTCAAATATTCTTCCTGACTGCTTCTTCTTGGGCAAGGAGAGCAACTTTGCCCAATTATAAGAACGTTTAAATACGCTCTCATGTAAAGGTCCACAATTTCAGAATTTATTTTGGTATGTGTGATAATAGTAAATGAGTTGGAGTAAGAGATGAATCAAGTTGTGAAAGGGCGATGCTGTTTAAAAACATTTGAGCTCTATAAATGTCACTTCATTAGGTACTTAATTCTCTTTTTTAAAAGCCAAAAAACATTGCACCTTGACACAAAATGAACTGGTAACGGAGGAAATCAAATTTTAAACCTGGCAGACGTCGTAAAATCGAGTTTCAACTTCCAATGAATATTAAACCTAAAATTACTTGCCTGAGGAGCATTTTGGCAGATCCTCAGTAGAAGTTTTCCGACAACTACGACAGAAAGCTGCCTTGCGTTCTTCAAAATCAACTATCTTTGCCTTTTGAGCTGCATTAACTCTAGATAATTTGGTGATTTCTTGCTGAAGTTTATTTTCTGAAACAAAATCAAAAGATTACATTTTCTAATTTCAAAGAGAATTGGTATTAAATTGGTGATGATACATAGCAGATGTATTATTTAAACTTAAAAAATCATTTTTTCTGAGGAAGGGATATTTAAACTCCATTGAAGTCACTTTTAATAAGGGAAGATAGAGTACGTTAAAAACCCACTGAATTGGAACACATTGACATTGAAAGTCCGTTCATACCGTAATTTTAGTCCAGTCCCATTTTTATGTCCATAGGAACAATGTCAGAGAATCCTGTGTACATCAGTGCCACTTCAAACGAAAAACTTATGTCAGAGCAAATTTTCGGTTCCAAAACAATATAAACAGGATTTTCACCCAAAATCCTTTGTTGAGTTTCAGAACATGTGCGCTTATTTTGTTAGAGGTTTTTCCAAGGAAGTCAACTAATAATGGCACCAATTTTTCACTTCAGTCATAAATATTCTCCTGCTATTGGTACTTAATAATTATTATGTTTCCAAAAAAAAAAAAAAAAAAAAAAAAAATTCAATGGATGTTTTAGGACAAACATAGAATGTTTTCAAAACACTTATTTCTAACTTAAATATGCAAATTCAGTCTGGACCTTGAGATTAGTTAATGCTAGACCCTTATTTCTAACATTGTAAAGAACGCCAAAACAGCTGATGCTGGTTAAGACATAGTTACTTCAAATTAACAATATCCTTTGTTTCACTTGAACTTTTTTTCAATCGTTTATTTTTTTTCTTTGTTTTCTTTCCTTCCTTGATGATTGCATGCTACTGATGCCTTGGAAAATTAGGATGAGGAAGGACCAATCAATCTTGATCGGTACTGACCCATATCTCACAATATTAAATTCCTTCCAACATGCCCAATTGTAATGAAATTTAACTTCATTATCAATTTAAAACAATAAGTGAATGATACTGAAACAAGACTTACCAATAGCTGTCAGTTCATTCACTTTGTTCGTCAGTTTTTTCCTCTCCTCTGCACCTTTTTCTGCACATTTCCTTAAACTGTCATTATCAGCCATCAATTCATCGACTCGCCGATTCAATTCAGTCATGCATTGTAAAAAGTTTTGCTGCACATGCTCCGTCTTCTTTCAAATTGAAGGGAGAAAATAAATTATTGATTAGCAGTTCAAGATGAAAGTGCGTATTTACTCAGTTGGTAACAAAATTAGCTTGGTTTATTTGTTAGTTAAAGTAAAAACTTTACTCTAGTGATATCAACAATGAATTAATTTATCAGGAATAACACTCTAATTCTCTTGCAACTTGGGGTGAAGAATCTCTGGATAAAATTGGAAATTTCTCTACAAATTACTATCAATTATCAAGAGGTGATATATGGATTGGGAATTCATCTCTTGACCCAAAAAAATCATTACACATAAAATTCAAAATTTACCAGCTTATGATTCTGATTGATGCTGTTAAATGAATACCTCTACAAACTACTGAGATAAGTCCTCTGCAGGCCCTGAGCACACTTATCTTGTTGTTGAAATTTATAAACCACACTGAGTTTCATTACATTGACAATTTCCTTGCAAACATATACTTGCACTTATGCTAGAGTGTCTTTCTTTCCAATTTGAAGCTTTTCTTCTCCGTCTGTCTTGTAGGCAAAAAGGTAATAGGACATGTGTGTTGAATGTGCAAAGAAAATTGCACATACATATTATTTTCCCTCCGAACGTTACTGGTAATTGACTAATTCAGGATGATAAGTTTTCTTAACTTCCAAGCTGACTTTTCAATGGTTTTCTGTGCAGGATTTCTCATAAAAATTCTTTTCACCAAAAAGTTTAAGAACCAAGTTTCTTGAAATTGAAAAAATTCAATTCTTTAGCTGGAAATTTTTTTTCAAAGTTCCACTGCAATTATTAATTTTCAGGGTTGGACAAAATACTCTGACTTGCCCAGGTTTTTTCTGATTTTTCAAGAACTCATCACCCTACAAATCAAAGTGTTTTTAACTCTTAAATATGAATAAATGGCCATTGATGAATATCAATTTGAAGAGATAAAGTATGTTTTTCAGAAAACTTGATCCTTGACATGAACCATTACCATTAGTCTCAAATCTATAGTTTAAGTGAGTTTGACACCTCAAATATGAAAAGGCACAAATTAAACTGTTCATAACACTGTTTTGTGAATCTTAGCTTTTTTAAAAATTGTATTTTACTAAGTGAACAGTGCAAACCCTGTCCACCTCCTGGGGAATGTTACAGGAATTATAGAAAATTACCTCAGTGGCATCTGTTTTACAGCGTTCACTTGTTCCGTCTTCAGGTGGAGTACTGCAGTGACATCTGGACTCGACTGCACACTTCAACTGAGCTTCTAGGAGGCGATTGTGGTCAGCTAATCGCACAGCAGTGCACATAGCTTCATGTTGTTTTTCTATTGCTTCTGTTAGACAACCATTAAAAAGAAAAATTAGAATAGATTGCTCTATAAGATAGCTGTACTAATAAATGTATAAAAAAAGACCTACTTAAATCTGATCAGTAGAAATAAGAGAGAGAGAGAGAGAGAGAGAGGAATTAAAAATAATGATTTCATACATTGTTACCTCTGTGCTTGTGAAGTACAGAAATATTGTGATATTTTAAGTTGGGCTGCAGCCTTTTCAGCAAAGGCAAATTGTTGAATTTTCATCAGTTTCTTCTTGAATGTGTGAAAACATGCATTAGATGATAGTATTTTTAAAGGTGAGGAAATAAATCATACCCAAGTTTGACCCTAAAAACTAAGTATTGATGAGAAAAAATAACAGCTTTTTCCAGATATGCCGTTCATTCCAGAAATTGTATCTCTCAGCGTAAAATTATAAGGTAACAAAACTTAACACAACAAAATGTTTGCAGGACCAGAAACATCAATTTTGGTTCTGTCAGAGTTTAAAGTCCCTGAACTAAGGGGTCACCTAGAAAACTGGCTCTTTACAGATTCTGAGTAAGTGTTGCAGAAATACTTCGTCTCTGGATGATTTTCCTAACCTGGTGGGTCATAACTGTTCTGATTGAACTGGAAAAAGGAAGAAAATAGATTGGCTTGTTTGAACGTTGCATTCACATAGATTTACTCAATTCTATTCAAATTAAAACATCTAGATTTGACTGATAGAAATGGGCACTAAAGGGACCCCAGGAGTAGAGGAGCAGATAGATGTCAATTGATCCAACAAAAATAATGGAAAATATTTGTGTCCTAGCAGATGTTTAAGTCACCTTGGACTGCCTTAGCTTAATCTCAGGCAAGACTTGATTGACATGTGATAGGGTCTACCCCTGAGATACTTGATAATTAGTTTAAAAATCTGTTTGCCACTGACATTTGATCCTCCAAATTATTTACAGCACTACCTTAGCTTTCTGAGGAATGGAGCAAAATATTTCCTAGTATTGATTTATAAGTAAAAAAATCGATTTACCTATGCAAAAACTTATGGCATGTGTGAAATTTTGAGAGAAAGAAAAAAAAGAGCTGATCAACTACATACATCATAGATAGGAGTTACTAGTGACATCAAAAAAATAATTATTGATTTTCGCATGATTCGCTCATGAAAACGTATAAACATATAACTAGGGGATATTATTTCCAACATGAACAAATTTGAGATATAAACCTTCCAGTCGTTGCTGCAGGAAAAGAGTCTTGCTATTTACAGTGCTATTGCTGCAGTTGTCCATGTTTGCGTTCATATCGCTAGCACCCTCTAAAGTGCCCTCTGTGTAAAACTCACGATTCACAGCTTCAGCAGGGCGACCACTGCCTAAAAGTTTCTGCAATCGGTCAATCTCAACATCTCGATCAGAGATCTGAAAAAGGGTAAAGGGTTACTTATTGAGAAAAAAATTGAAAGCTAATTCAAAGATTACAGAACCAACTGCTAAAACTAAGGAATGGCTAGGGTCAGATTAAATATTTTGTGCTAAAATTTCTGTAATCTAAAAACCCACCGGACTAAAAAGTCACTATGACACCCAACCAAACTATATTAAAATAAAAATTGCTCAGCAAAAATGCCCGAGCATAGCATTTAAAAATTGGTTAAAATGGATTACCATCATTTTAGCATTATGGGAACCGATTCCTCAATGATGCTTAGCAGTCCTCTTTGAATGCTGCTTTCTTTGAAACATTCTGCACCAAATATCTACGTAGCGTAGTACTAACCTTTGTGGCACATAGTTCTAATTCTTCTTCCAGGTACTGTTTTTCTGCTTCAACATCATTTATTGTTTTCTGCAAGCTCTCGATACGCTTCTCTGTCAATATTACAAGATCGACTACTACTGGATCCTCATTTAGTCGGTTGATTTCTGAGTAGTATGTTTGCCAATCCTTGACGCTTTCAACACCAGGGTCTATCTCCAAACGTGTAAAACTCTTCTTTTTTGCAAGAGGGGCTGACCGCTTTTTACTACCAACTATAGGACAAATTATTCAGCCAATTAATAACATAGGAGTAACGATGAGGACAGCCAACTTATAAAATACAGGGTGGCCCAAATTTACCCTGTTTGAGAGTTTTAACTATGATTTTACAATCATGATAGGTTACTTAGTTTTCTTCATTTCAAAATCAGCAAAAATTGTAATGCAATGTCTGAAAGGTAGTAGCACTGAATATATTGGTATTTGAAGTGTAGCCGAGTGCTAGAAATAATGTAAAATTTTCTTTAAAAAACTTACGTTTTATTAACAAACTTAGACTGAAGCTTTTCGAAGCAAACGCTTCATTGTCAGGGTCACAAAATCGATATCACAAGGTCCATAGTTTAATTTCAAACAAGGTAACAGATTTCATTGATGGTAACAATTGATAACAAGCTATTAGATCAAAACACTCTTAATAATCAAAACATGTTTTTATTATTAATTATGTTACCATCAATGAAATCTGTTACCTTGTTTGAAATTAAATTATGGCCTTTGTGATATCGATTTTGTGACCCTGACGATGAAGCGTTTGTTTTGAAAAGCTTAGTTTGTTAATAAAATGTAAGTTTTTTAAAGAAAATTTTACATTATTTCTAGCACTCGGCTTCACTCCAAATACCAATTTCTTCATTTCTTGATCACGTTTTTAAATTCTTATCAGGCTATCTTCAGGTCACTAAGGTCAGGATTTTCAGAAGTTCTTCATTTTCAAAGTTTCTGGCTTCTTCTGACTTTTCCTAACCTTTAAACAAAGCTTTCACAATTTGTTTTTTTTAAGGGAGCCACATACCTTCTTTTAAAACAATTTTAACTTTCTGTCATGCTTTACTTCATTGGAAAACTGATCCTAGAATTTATTTGAAAAATCTACGCGAATTTTCTTCCCTGTTTAGGGAATACTTTTTTTTTCCTTTTTCCTTTGGCTTTAAAATCCTCTTTTCCTTCACATTCAGTAAGACTGACTTGAATTCAAGCTATAAAAAAACGTGGAGAGATCAATAACTGAGCATACCAGCAGTAGTGATGATAGGTTTTAAATCAAGGCCTTGAAGCTGCAGTAATCTCTCATTTTTCAGTTGAGATTCATGTTCCAGCACCTGAATACGATTTGTTTGCAAACTCACTAGGTCCTCAAGGTCAGATCTTTCAGCTTCTACTTTTTTCACTTGTAACTTCAAACCTGTGGAGAGGAAGAGAATATTACAAGAATTGAACAGAAAGGTAACATATTATATAAATAATTAAGGTGAAAAAAAACCTCAAACCAACACCAAGAACCAATTGATTCCTCAAATTTAATGACCACCTTTAAGATAAGAAGAGAAAACTAGGATGGGTAAATTATAATTATGAAAATGAGAATGGAGAGAATTTCCAAAAAAAGGTCACACAGCAATTTGTAATCAAGCTATAAGTTTCCTTTATTTTCAATTATATGTGTGGATTTTCATGTAAAGACAGAACCGCCAGGAAAGAAAATTGTTCACACCTTTTTTCCCTCGTGTAAAAAAGTGACATATTTAAATCGATGAGAGTCATCAACTCACATTTCAATAAATAATTTGGAAATCGTTTAAATTCTATAATGCCACTGATTTGATTTTGATAAAAATAACAAATGATAGTTGGCTTGCAGCAGATTTTCAAAACTGGGGGAAGATGAAATCAATTCAAGATGAGTNGGTCGAGATTCATAAATTTTGGAATTGTAAAGTTTTGTCTAGAGCACATATATTTCGGTACATAGATAAAAAAAAACCAAATATTTGGAGCTTAAAAAAAAAAAAAAAGTACTGACATGGGTGATAATCTCAGTTTAGAGAAAATCCAAAGCACATTTTAACGTCAGATTCTATTGATGAAATTTCTTGAACACTTAACATGGCAAAGGGAAGGAAAATATTCATTGTCTTGAAGAAGTATCAGAATTTTTAGGATTGAATGTCAAAACACAATTTAGAAGAAACAGTAAGAATCGCCATGAAATCTTTCTGACAAAATTTGCTTTATTTATAATTTCTGAAAACCAAAAGATTTTCTTAAAACCAAAATGCTGCAAAATGATTTAAAAGGAATGAATTCTAGTAGACAAAATCAATAGTATTAAACTTTTATTGAAATCTTAAAACATGCATAAGACCACTTTTTGGTCTGTTTTGTTTAAATTATAAGGCGCTATTTTAGGTATTTAAGTTATAGGAGATCAAAATTAAAAAGTAAAAAATAGTACTGAAATCATTCAATGTTTGAACTTCAGTGGGATTGGGATATCTTACTTCTTTCCAGATGATTTGAACTCTCAGAGGTTTCAGTGTTAACAGGAGTGTTAAGTTGCTTAAATTACTCCAAAAATACAGAACAATATAAGGCGAGAAATCACTTTAACTCCTCTAATACCAACCTGGACACTAAAATGTGCAATTGAAAGACAGAGAATTTAAGAGAAGACCATTAAAGCCTGCCTACAATACTGCCGCAGTATTTTTGACTCCCTCCACAAATTAAAAAGGTAGATAATCAAGAAAAGCTGTATTAACTGGGAAATAAATAANAAGGGGGGGGGGGGGCAAGGGATGGGCAGGTGAGGAATAAACACAGACCAATTAAGTGAGAATTATGCAGACAGGCTGACCGAGTAAACTGCACAGTGAAAAGTTTTGCCACAAACTAGGAACACTAGTGGGAGGGAGGGGAAAGAGAGAGAGGGTGTGAGGGTTGGAAGTTGGAGATCGCATGCTTTGAAGCAATATTTGTATTTCATAACTTTGAGGTGATAAGAAAGCACCCTCTTGTGCTCACTGCCAGGAAGCCGTGTGCAGTTGGGGTAATATACATGTTATGAGCTTGCCGTAAAGACCCCACTTCACACTCAAGGCATGCTTGAGGAGGGGGCAAGAGCGAGGGTTCAGGGATAATTTATTTCCTTTGACACTAACCGTTTTCTCTTTGGTTTACTCTCACAGCAAATACCAGTAACAAAAATACCTAGATTTCCATGGATTAGGAATTCAATAGAGTTAAACCTACTAGTAACTCTGGTTGCTAAAAAAAAGTCAAAAGACCTGTTCATTTCAAAGAGGAATTTCCTTAAAAAAACATTTAAAATAGCTTTCCAAGTTTGAATGCACTGTTTGTTCTTTTTTACCTAAAAACTTCATTTTCCACTTTTAAAAGTTTTCATCACATAATTATAGTAAATTTTTACGAAAATTTTACAAAAAATTTTAGTTTTCATGTTGCATATTTTGTAGATTACTTGGTGTTCAGCATCAAAAGTCGTCAGACAGGAATGGTGAAGCATCCATAATACTTCTTCACACAGAAACTTGTTGGACGTTTCTTTTTCTTTACTTTTATTTTTAAAATTGTAGTATGAGAAGTAATTTAAAAAAAAAAAAAAAAAAAAAAAAAAAAAAAAAAAAAAAAAAAAAAAAAAAAAAAAAATATAAAAGAATTGATTTTGATGGTGTTTTAACTTGGATACCTAGAAGAAATTAAAAATAAATTGGATGACAATATTTTTTACAATACCTACATAGTACTATTCGTCATAAAATAACAAAGTTTTGGACAATTTCTTCAACTCTACCCATTTCTCTTTAGCAAAAATTTGAATACAATAGGCATTAGAATTACAATTTATGCTTTGAGCCAACATTTAGTGCAGTATTACCTAACTGCACTTAACTGCCAAAATTTTCAGAAAACCTTGTTTTGAATTTTAAAAACTTAAGATTTAGAACAATCACACAAACAGAGCAATTAAAATTGAAGGTTGAGAATGTTTGCTCACCATGGATTCTTTCTTCAAAATGAGTTTTTTCCTCTAAAATTTGATTATGTAAGCAGTTCAACTGTGTAACGAGTTTTGCATTGTCACTTTTGTAGGGTTCAACACTTATTTCTAAATTACGACATGCCTGAAACAAAAAAGACACAATGACTAGATAGGATACAAATTGAGATAATTCTTATTTAATCAACCATTACAACTCCTGATGCACCCATGACCACACACCCTATCTCTGATCTTCAACATATCTAAGAGCTTGTATTCTTCTTACATTGTACGTTCCCTCAATAAAGCTGTTCGGGTTTATTGTCAAGAAAAAAAAAATATTGCAACACACCAATTCAAAAATAAATACCCTGATAATGGGGAGTTAAAATTTTCTTTTAATTTCAATGATACATATTAAAAGCTCAAATCAAAAATAAATACAGGCCTGGTAGGGGATTAAAATTGACTAAAACTTTTTCTAATACATGTCATTAATTTTCAGCTGAAAAATAAAAAAATCCAAAATTTCAACGACTTAAAAAAGCAAAAACCATGCTTGCACAGGGTTACCATATAGAGAACAAAACAAAAACGATTCCAATGAGAAAGTAACCATTGTACCTAGGCAAAGTTTTGGAATGTGTGAGTCATAGAGTGAGAAGAGCAATTTCGAAATGAGCTTTCAGATTGCAGTAATATCAATTGTATTATAGGAAATTTTGTTAAATGGTAGTCAGTTGAGCAGAGATTTAAGAAACCAAAGCGGTTATTCTACCGTAGGATTTGGTGCGCACTTGGTAGTTAGTAGTGGAGAAAACACCAAAAAAACTTGTTTTTTTTTTGTTTTATTTTTTTTGTTTTTTGTTTTTTTTTTAACTTTGCATCTAAGTACAAATGAAAATTAGAAATTGCCTTCAATCAAGAAGACACAGCCCCCATTTTACAGAAAATATAAGTTATTGCACAATTTTATCATTTACCGAATGAATCTTAAGGGCTACACAATCCACTTCTTCTTTTTCTTAAGAGCTTAGCACACCCTTGTTAAAGCCCCTTAGCCTTAGTTTTTCAACAAGCAGCCACCGAACTGAAATTAGGATTAACATGTAATTTGATTGGTTCTCAATTTTGATACTTGCTCCCATCTGAACTTTCAATAATTCACTATTTTAAGACTTAACTGTTCTACTTCTAATGCAGCTGAAGTTGGCACTTACTTCTAATCAGTGCTGACAGATGGAAACTTTTGAATTTGATTTCTGGGACGAAAATTTAAAAAAATACTGTCAGGTACCAAAAAAACCAGTAACATATATTTGAATTAATTCTTTTTCTAAACCTTGACATCCCTTTTCAATAAAATTTCAGTGGTAAACAGAATTAACATAAGCACAATTTTGCAGATTTTAAAGAGGTTATAGCTTACAGTGCTAGGTTAAAAAACAGCTGACTTGTAAAGAATTTTATATGAAAACAAACCAGAGAACCAGACATGCTGAAGAAGAAAGGATGAAAATGGGGTCCCAGAAAAGTGAATTCCTCTCACAAGCTGCTACAAGGACTCAATTATGGTTCTTGTGACCTATTCAGGAGCTTGATGCGGACTTGGGTAGAAAGAATTTTAAGTTAATCTCAAAATAAACAGATAATTACCACAAGAAGAGAAAAAAGAGGCACTATTTTTGGCTGCTGATAAGAGCTGAATCATGGAAAAAACTAGGCGAAAAAAGAATGGGGAGCAACCTCAGCAGTTCGAGGCGAACCACTTACCTGAATACTGTTATGGGCAGTTTCCTTGTAGTACTTTAATTTTTGTGATGTGTGAAGGTAGTCAGCTAGTAGATGCTCCACTAACAGCAACGAATCTTTGCTTAGAGGTTGAAGATAGCCAAGATCGTTCAACTGCGATCTTAGTTTCTGATATCGGAGGTTTTTCTGAGTATCACAGCACATATTGATTATCTGCAAAGCAAAAAGTAAGGATCAGTAAATGGTCAGATTGGTGAGCTCTAACGTTTACATGAATTTTCCTGTTTAGATAGAATGAAAACTTGATAAATGAGGATTTGAGAGTTTATTTGATTACGGCAACCAACAAAAAACAAAACAAAATGAGCAAATGATGATGACAGATAAGCCCGATAACAAGTTGCTTCATTGAAACTCAGGATCAATTTTTCTTGATTATTTTAAGCTTTTAAAGTTACTTGAGTACGTAGTGAGAGGCTCTTCTAAAATAGAGCTGGCTGTGATGCACTCTGCATCTAGGGCAAGAATTTTCCATGAATGGGCATTGAGATTGGGGAGGGTGAGGACTTCACCATCAGAAATATGGTCAGAGAAAAAACCTCATATAGCACAGAGGGCTCAGTGGCTCCCGGTAGATTTTGATGAAACTTTAATAGATTAACATAAAGTTCATCATTGGCACAAAGCCAAAAAATTAACTCATTCTACCGAGTAGAAGCCAAGATATTCGCAATTGGACCCAGACTATTTTCTATCATGTCAAAGCATAGCGAAAGAATTACACGCTCTCTCTCCTCTGGTTATTAGGCGTTCTCGATCAGACCTCGCACGCTCACTAAACTCGGCCAGTGTGAAGGCAATACTCCCTTCTTCTCCCCGCATCTGCCAATTCTGTTTCAGGGTTTATGCAACTCTTTGTCATTTTGGACTCCAGCATATCACACAGCCCAAGTTGGCGAGAGCGTACATATGGAAGGAGTGAGTAATGACAATTTGAGATTGTAGTTACCTGGAGGAATGAGGGAAAGGGTTTCCTGACTGTGTTCTTAGCAGGCAAGGAAAGGCGGCTAGGAACACAAATTTACCTCCACCGCGCAGAAAATAGTCTGAGTTCAATAGCGCATATCTCGGCCTCTACTCATTAGAATGAGTTAATTTTTTGGCTTTGTGCTAATGATGAACTTTAAGTCAATCTATTGAAGTTTCATCAAAATATACTAGGAGCCACTGAACCCCCTGTTCTCTGCAGGGTTCTTTTTTAGATTCAGGATGTCTGCAAAAAAAATTAATTACATTTTTTTGTCCTGGCCATCCAGCATTTAGAAATTTTATGGGCAATTTTTTCTGGCAAAAATCCTTCTTCCACTGATAATATAATATCACAATCATGCAATTTAGGTACATTTGTTTCTGCTCTTCTCTCTAAGATTTTATTTCTATTGCCTCAGTTTATTTCTGATTCTTGAAGGAATGACAGTCCGTTCCTTGTCTACTTAAATACCTGATATAAGTTATGTGGCACACAGGCTAAGATGATTTGTCCCCAATTCTTGATTTGGTCAAACTAGCATGTTAAATAGCATCAATTAAGTAAGTCAAAATCTAGGTAGACTTTGACTAATAAGTTGAAAAGAACAAAAGCCCTTGCGAAATTAATCTAAAGTTTTGATCTTCACAAAAAAAAAAAAAAAATTCAAAATTTGAAGAAATGAAAACAGGATTTTCTAGGGGTCAAGAGAGTTCCTGGCTTTCCACGATTTGGCGCAAGCCAAAAAAGTGTTACCATCAGAAGTGATGACCTTTTTTTTCCTTTTCCTACTTTTATTTCTTTTCCTACTTTTTTTTTTTTTTTTTTTTTTTGGTAATCAGGTTTTTCTATTGAACAATGGGAAGAAAATTTTAAGATGATAGTAAGAAGGGCTTAATCAACGCCTATTTTATTACTTCTAAGCCGAACGTCGCTAAAGAAAAAAAAACAGAGGGCTTTTCACAATTTCAGCACAAGCATAGTCGGGAGTATTATCAACTCCTGGATTTCCTACAAAACAGGGTCTCATATAATACAGAGGACAATTACTGAATTGATTGTAACATTTTTTTCACAGACAAATCCTGCATTCATTTCTAAAAATTATGCTATTACTTGTAAAGGTTGAGAATGACTCTTTAGACTTATAAGCAGGTGCTATCATCTTATTGAGAACTGCCATGATTTTTTAAAGCGATGCGATATTCAGGATGTCCAAGAATTAAGTACAAATATTGAAGGAGTCAATTCATTGGGTCAAAAAAAAAGACGTTTTAGTGGTATAACTTTTTATTCCGAAAACGCTTTCCCTCAGGGCCTGGGCCAAGGCCCCCCAAAGTTGGAGAAAAAAAATCGTCTTTTTAACACTGGTACAATGTTTATCAACCATTATTAATAAAAATTGATAACCAAGCGGTAATTTTTAGCGCTCTTTTCATTTCTTACCTCCAAAAAAGGAACTCATTTTAAGGGGGGGGGGGTATCGAATTTCTAAGTGGCTATAATTAATGTTATTAGCAACAAAAATTTATTTTTGACGGCACCACTAGATTTAGCGTTGAAAAATATTGGGAAAATGTATCTTGCGTTTTTTCTCTGTGACTCGTCATTTTCAAGATGATAGGGACTAATAGGAATAGCTGGGGGATAGTGGGGCCGACAGGGAAAACATCCTTGGAAAATAAAGTATACCGCAAAAACGCCTTTTATTGACCCAAAGAATTGACTCCATCAATATTCTTACTTAATCCTGGGACACTCTGTAGAGCACGCCAGTTTTATCACTTCACCTTTTCACCACATCAATCACCGTGCGTAAGGCAGGCTATCATGAAGTTATGATTTCCTAAAATGACCCAATTCAAACTGAAACATAATTCCATCCGTATCAGGATCCATCCTCTTTGTTATCAAGAAAATTGGAAACAGTGTGGAGCTAATGTCAGTTAGAATGGCAGTTGTAAACTTTCAGTTAGTATGCGTTTGTGCTGCTACTGTTGAATACCAGTCAAGGAATAGCTAAAAGCAGCGCCAGTATGTAGAATAGTCCACTGTTTGCGACCATTAAAATCAAACAACTGCCCACTCACCTGACAAAAACTCTGACGATACTCTTCATCCTCAAGTAATTTCTGTTATCTAACTATTGCATCAAACAGTATTCATTGAAGTATGCACTTAAATATGGTGCCAAAATGTTTAGAAGCATAGCAAGAATGATTGCGATCCATGGTTACGCTATATTCGCAAATATCTTTTAAAAAACAATAATCGAAGCATTGGTACCTGTTTGACGATCCACTTATTTCGCAGGTCGGGTCAATGAAGAATCCATGGTGCTAAGTGGTAATGAATTCAGTAGATCAATTGCTGAGAATTTGAAATGAAAACCATAGTTGGAATAAAGTTAACAAGGCAAAAAAGACAGGAAATGATACGACAGTTCAAGGAAACCAAAATCTCCGGGCAAAACAAACGAACAAAACACAACAACTGCCTAACCTCAAAATCTCATGCCATTTTTCCCGCTCAACAGACAGCCAATCAGGTGTCACTGTCACAGCGGTAAATTTGAAAGCGCAGAAATGATTTCTGTTCCATGGCGCGAAAGGGAAGTGAGCGTAAGCAGCAGCGGAATGATTTCAAAGCTAACGACGAAGTTTACAAAGTGATGAAAAGCAAAGAGTCTCCAAATATTAGATATCCTAGCTGCTTCACTCGTGATGCTTCTCAAATCCTACCTGTAATTCGTGATTACGAAGTCAGGAAGACTCCGATGTGTAGAGTGGACGAACCTTTTATGATGCCATGTCAACAGAGAAATTCCCAAACCGTATGTAGATCTCGGTTTGCGACTTTGCAAACTTCCTGCTATACTTCATTCTTTAAGTGGAGAGCTGTTAAATGGCAAATCTCGAAAATTTCCGAGAATTTTCATCTCTGCGGAGCGAATTCTGAGAAAACTTCAAGGAATGATGTTGATTTGTTCACCTTTAAAAAAATATAACAGAAAAACTATATATTTAAGTTAAGAAGCACCTTCTTATTCCATTTTGCGTAAAAATGCTACCATGTGTTTTCCCAAGTGCCTTATCATTTCATTCTTGTAAATTTTACCTAAATTTGTAGTTTTGTACACAGCATAAGGTATATTTTGCAGTTTGTACCTACTTCATGTTCAGCATCTACTTATACACTTATTGTGATTTTTGGTATTTTGATGCCAATTTTTTTTTTTTTGATGTAAATTTCACTTAATAGGAACAAAAAGGGCTTCCAAATCAGTTTTTCTTTTTTCGTACTTTTTTTAGGTAAAAATTTAACAGTCAATCAATGCTTGTTACTATAAGGATTATTCCACTTCCACTGGGATTCAAAAATTGGAGGACGAGATTATCTGATTATATTTGCACATTTACTCTTGGCACAAGGCACAGTCAAATAAATATTTGACACAGTGCATGAACACGGAGTCAAGACAAACTATCGTTTCCATTTTTCTGGGAAAACTAGCACCAGTGAATTAAGTAAAAATCAGAACTTCGTAGTTCTATATGCAAGACCCAGTTGATGTATCATAGGATCGCAATCCGACTGTCTGATGGTCATTTGAGAGCTAGAGAAAGTTGCAATTTCATCACTGTGATAAGAATTGAAATCTTTAAGAATATTTTTTTGAAAATTTGCGTTGAATGGAAAAAAGTACTGCGAAGTCTCTTGTCAATACCAAAGTAGCACAGTTACAATAAATTGCAATTATACGGTAAAATTGGTTAATCGTAACGTATTGGAATGTTGTCTGTTCACTGGATGAAGGGGCTTCTCTTATTGTTCATTACAATGAAATTTGAAATAAGATGGATTTTTTGTGTGTGACAAATTACCAATGCCTTTCACATATGTAGGTATATCTCTTTCTTCTTGCTAGTTTAAAAAAGGCATTTATGGACCGTTTTAAAAAGTTTTGCAATTTAATTGCAGAATAATTTCAATTTATCCATTAAAACAGTGCTACTTGGGTAGGAAATGATGATTTCATCATGATTTTATACAATGATGTAAAAATGATATCTAGATTCGGAGTCTTCCTCATTATTAATGAAAAAATAAAAAATTAACTTTATGAGTCGCTCAACAGGAGAAAAGGCCCTAGCACTGGAAATCCTCACTCATGTGGGTAAATGATCAAAAAGATAACTTTGTGAGCTGAGGTGTTTAATTAAATATAATGACATACGCCTTGGGGGTTTGTACCTAACTAAGGAAGAGCTAAAGCATTCCTCTAATATTATGGTTTTTGAGGCGAAAAATCTTTGAACGCTGTTGCTCCAGAGACCTCTTTATGGTTAATAGGGAAGCTTAGGAATGCAAAACTCATTGGTGCATCTCTTTTCATTGACAGAATTAGATCTAAAAATAAAATAAATAAAACAATGTAAGTATGACTATTATATTTAACAATATTGGCAAAAAGAATACAGTTGAGTGTGAGATTCAAGAGAATTAAAGAATTTTCCGATGTATTAGATGGTGGACTTCGAGGAGGCGAGAGGGAGTATCAAGGAATGACCAAAATACATAAACTTTTTACAGGGTTTGTGAGAATAAAAAAAAAATTAAATGTGTGTGTACTTAAATCATTCTTTTAATTTTTGAACATATTGTTGAAGCTTCTAACTGCAGCTAGGACAATCACAGAATATGGTTTTGATACAGCTGAAAGAGAAACAGTATACACAAAAATTGTTCTTGAGCCCAGACTAATTACAAATAAAAAATGTGAAAACTGACAGAGACTGAAAAGAATAAAATACATAAAATAATGCGAAACTATCACATTTAACAAGATTAGCAAAAAGAATGCAGTGAGGGGTAGAATTCTCGGAATTTGAGTAGTTCCGATAAATTTTACCAGTAAGAAGTTCCTCCAAAACCATCATGTTCAGACGGGTGAAAAAATGGATAGGCTCTTAAAAATATGGAACAAATGAAGGGTCATAAGTCAAAAATCAAAGGAAACAAGAAAGAAAAGGTCCTCACATTTGAAATGGGAGGGAGATTTTGTGGGAAGCAGGCAGGCAGGATTTTTGAGAACAGGGAAGTCTGAAAAATTCTGCATCCCTACTTACAATTATTAAAACTGGCTTTTTCTCAGATCTAGTGTTATTTGCACCTATCAACTTCAAAGGAATATCACTTAACAACAGCTCGAGATTTAAAACTTGAAAGAAAATGGAAGTTGTGCAATTTTGGAGGGATTATCTTTCATTATTATTTACAGAGATATCACTAAAAAATATTAATTGATGATATAAGTTAATAAGAAATGAATTAACAATGATTTAGCAACCTGCAACCAAAGAGTGGTCCAGCAGATAAGCATATGTGGTAAGAAATGGAGTTCTAGGTTCAGCTATACCTTTGGCATTTACTTTCAAGATGTTTAGCTGACAACAGTTACCGTGTAGCTGTTAGACAAACTGTAGAAGGTTAAAAAGAACAAATCCTTATCAAGAAAAGCGAGGTGAGACATGAGAGGTTGGATAAGTGCTCCTGCATTAGGAACGAACCACAGTATGCTGCAATTTGCTAGGATAAAATGTTGGTCCTCCTGAATTTTGCCATGATTCTGGTTTTTGGACAAGACAGAAATACTATCTACCAATCTGCTTAATTACTCAATATGTCAACCATTGCAAATGTCAGTAACAGATGGAACAATTTTTATACCGATATACTACATTTTGAGGTAGTTCACTTTGGAGACCATCTGGACCTGGCAGAAGTAGTAGCATTTTTCAGGAAGCAGGCATAGAGAAAAAAAAGGAGGTGTTCGCGTCTTGAGGATTGTGTACCTTGTGACGTAGGTCGGTACAACTTGGTCAGCAAAATCCGGAATTTGAAGTATGAAACACGAACCATGACGTCCAATTTTTTTGCTTAAATCAACTCCTGATATAATCTCAAACACTTTACATAGAGTGACTTTTTTCCATCAATTACACCATTTCCGAGAAAATCGATGATGTAAGTCGCCGTACCGACCTACGTCATTAAAAAAATTCCAAAATGCCCAAAATGCAAATACCTCCTATTTTTTTTCTCTATGAGGGGCACGTAAATGAGGAAGTGACTGGAATTAAAAGGTTAGAAATTTTTGGGCGGTTATTTTAGAGGAAACCACTTTTGTTGTGTTTGCAGCAATTTTTAAAAAACTTTCCTTTAAAATTGTATGCTTGAAACTGTTTTCGAAGCGATCACTTTAATATGCATCAGTGTCAGAGAAAGCAGTGACTGATGGTGGCAGGCATCTTTCCTGATTGCTTTAAGTCTGCTTTTTGACAATTTAATGATTATTTTAGATCAATCCTCTTAATTTAAAAGACTGATATTACTCTTTTTAATTCGTTTGTACACTGTTATTCACAACTTTTTAGAGGTAAAAAATAGGGATGGAGAGATTGTCAAAAAATGCTACTCTCACTTCATGCTACTAACAATGAGTGAAATCACATGGTTGAAGTGAATATTAGAGAAATATCACTAAATATTGGAAAAGCTCTACAAATGTGTAAAATAGCAGAGAAATCAATTTTTAGGTGCTCACAAATGAAATCCAAAAACATTTTAAAGAAGAAGGTGGAACCCAAGATGTGGCAGTTGGATAGCTGAACTCTTGAGGCTTGAGACTCAAACCTTAATGTATTGTACTGAGCTGAAAATCAATTTTTCTCACAAAAAGTCGTTGTCTCATCGTCAGTTTCGACGATACTCGGTAATACTTAAGCCTTGAATAAACGGGGTACAAGTCTCATGCATCAGAGGCTCTAGGTTGCCACATCTACAGTGCACCACCTAAAATCATTCAAAAAAAAAAAGTAAAATTATTAACTTAAAATAGAGAAACTATAAACAATTTAAACATACAAAACATGTGAAATGACACAGGAAAAATGACAAAAATCACAGAAACAAAGAAAAAAGGAGGAGAGAGCCGGCTGGAGTAATTAAAATACAAAGTAAAGTACAAATGTAAAACAGAGATAGGTTTGCTGTTGAAATGCTCTCAAAAATAATTACCTCCACAATTAATTAAGAATTGAGTTGGACTCAAAACGCAATAATTTAAAATACTTACTTAATAATATTGAAGCAATAGTGAATAAATATTAAACAGGTACCTAGAATAATAGGACAAGGCTAGACAATGAAAGGCTCATTGTGGAGAAGTTGATACATAAGATAAAATACTATTACCAAAGCGTATCATCAGTGGAACTACAAAAACGCAAATCTCCGTTTGCAGTTCTACAGACTTCCCGTCACGATTTATTTTTTGATGGAAAAATAATCAACATCATTTCTTGAAAACTTACCTGATTTTGGTTTTTTATGGGGTGAGTATTCTGTAAGAGTTACGAGCAAAAGTGTCGGTTCATTTTCTTTCAATTAAATAAAATCCAAGAACCAAGATTTTTAAATACAGAATACTTACTGCAAACAAGATTCACGTTTTTGAAGTAACACCATCGATGTGTTGACTGTAGATAGCCTTTCTTTACAAAGCATTGGTCGTACTAATTCATAAATTAACAAAAAACTTTAAAAATAATAGTTTATTTTTAGTTAATCAAATTGATATTCTTCAGACAATTCTGGAGAAAAATAGGACCAATTGGATAGAGTTCATCAGAAAGGAGCCAACCCACAATAAGTTGAAACTGAGAAAAAGAGGTTTAAAGTTTTATTCCTGCATATGGCTCAATGTAGAAAATAAAGTTTAACTCCTTTTTTCACACACTATTTCTGTTTTTCGACTTTCAGTTTTTAGCGGGAGAAAATATACAGCTAGTGGAACTAAAAAAACATTTTTGACTAACTTTCGCTCTCTGTGAGTTGGTTCCTTTCTGATAAACTCGGTCCAAAAGAGAATTAAAATAAGCATACATACCTGATGAAATTCGGGGAATTTGTACTTACAATTGACAGAAAATAGCTTTTAAAAAAGCTTGGGAATCTGAATTTCACCAGGAGTGGATAATTTCAGATACAAAGTAACATTAACGATGAACTTAAATTTAACTATTTCCTATAACATCACGGGTAGAGGACAAAAAGGCTCATATCACTTTAGTGCTAACAGAAAAGGAAAATAATGTCACCTATTTTGGATTTTTCTTCGTCTTGGCGGTTGATGGCTTGGAATTATTCAATGATGCATCAATTTCAGCTTCAACCAAACTCTTCTTCCTCTGCACTGGAAAACTTGAGGTATCCTCAGTTGAGGGAATAACTTCATTTTCTTTCTCTAATTTTTTCTTCTTAGGTTTTAATGAGTCAGGGGCATCAATATTATTTCGTTTCAAGTTCTTTTTTGAAGAAATAGTGGGCTCAGGGGTATCCTTGAGCAGCTTGATTTTTTCTTCTTTTTGAGTACTCTTTCTGCTTGGTGATCCTCGTTCTGATTCGGTCGCAGTGGCTCCAATTTTGCGAACCCTTTGACTTCTACTATTTTTCATCGGACTTAGCTTTGAGTTATCGATTGTGGTAGTGATTGAATTTTTTGCTTGAGTATTGTTTTTTTCAACTGATAATTCAGTGAGATCTATTACCTCGTTAATATTCTGATTTTTTTTTGAAGGTGATGTTTGACTTGAATTTTTTCCTGACAAATTACTTTGGTTTCTCTTCTGTTTCTGTATTTTCATTATACTGGCTTTCATAGTGTCATCAGGATTATTTAAAGTTTCATCGTTGGACTTTACTTCAACTGTGGAGGATTTAGAAGAAACTGTTTCAATTCCATTTTTTCTTTCAATTTTCTTCTTTTTAGGTGGAGAGGGTTCTGAATTGGCAGAAGACAATGTTTCACTCTTTCTCTTTTTCAAATTAGAACTCTTTGCATTACTTGTATTGTCAGCTCCTTTTTTTCCTGCCTGTTGACTCTTCCTCCTTTCTTTCTCCTCTTCTTTTTCCTTCAGCTTCCGTTCTTTCTCTTCTTTCCTTTCCTTTTCCTTCTTTTCTTTTGCTTCCTTTCTTTCCTTGTCTCTTTTTTCTTTTTCTTCTTTCCTTTCCTTGTCTCTTTTTTCTTTTTCTTCTTTCCTTTCCCTGTCTCTTTTTTCTTTTATCTCCATCCTTTCTTGGTATTTCTTGGCCTTTTCTATGTCATTAATAGGTGGTTGCAATTCTTTGTTTATCATCGTAATCAAGTGCTTACAGCGTTTCTTCAAATCAGAAGGTGAACTTTTCTTGAAGATGCGGCTATGCTGGAAACCGGGTGCTGATTCAGTGGCCTCCTTTAATTGTTCCCAAACATCAGAATAAAATTCGGAGTTGAGAAGCATATGCAATGTGCTAATCAAAAATCGATCGTCTTCTTCAGTAAAACCCATGGCTCTGGTGGGTATCGATTTTGGCTTTTTCTTACCATACACGATTTGCAGCTCTGTGAATGGATCTTGATACGACTTCATCTTGTTATCTAGAGTTCTCTTGATTGCTTTCAATCGCTCAATTGATGCCTCACCAAGCTCAATTTGTGACTGAATACGATTACAATTGCGTAGCTCTTGAAATCGGTCCCAAAACACTGAGCAATATTTCAGGACTTCGTCTGGTGTTTTGTCTTCAACTGCCTTACAAATTTTATCAAGATTATCTCTTCCATAAACTTCATTTGCTTTAACAAACTGACGGAAATCCTTTAAGCTCCAGTTCATGAATCCTTGAGTTGAAAGCTCTTCTTTTTCCTCGATTTCATCCTCCGTAAGTGGTTGGGCTTCATCAATTTTTAACTGTTCTTCATACTGGGCTTTGGCTGCTTTGTCGCCTAATCTTGCGTCTAAAGGAGCTTGTAGCTCATGGCTTTTTTGCCACCATCGGAATGCTTTTCCTTGAAGCTCATACAGACGCTTTGGCAAAAATTGAAAGTCAAAAATCTTTTCAGGCTTTGGAAATTTAGGCTGTTTGGGTTCTTTAGGTTCATTAGGTGTTTTGGATCCGTAATACGCTTGATGCATTAGCTCTCGCTCAGAATAATTGGATTTTCTTTCTCGTCTAGGTGGCTCAATCCAGTTTTCAATACTGACCAATTTTTGCTTGGTTCTGTAGTCCTGGCCTTCAAACATATAGAATGATTCTGTGGGAGCATCAAGTGTGAAGTTTTTTAGGTTCGATTCTCCAAGAGCTTCCATTTGTTCTTTGATTTTTTCTGTTTTAGCGGCTCCTTTCTGTAAAATTGTGTCGATATCTTCATCAGTTATTTCTGAATCTTTGGAAGATATGACATGCTTAGCTCCAAACTGGATCATGTTCAACATTTCGCCTTTTTTCAATGTCTTTTTTTGACCAGCTAAACGACCTTGCTGAATAACGAGCTTATCAAGCCGTAGCTTGACCTCTGCCCTTTCAATTATTTTTTCTTCAACAGTGTTTTCAGTAATCAATCGGAAAACTCTCACTTGTTTCTTTTGACCAATACGATGAACTCTATCTATGGCTTGTAAATCTACCTGAGGGTTCCAGTCAGAGTCATACATGATGACAACATCTGCAGAGGCTAAGTTGATACCAAGACCACCAGCTCGAGTTGACAGTATGTAGACAAACTTGTCACTTCCAGGTGCGTTAAAGGCATCTATGTCTTGCTGCCTATCTTCATGAGGTGTACTGCCATCCAACCTGCAATATTTGTATCCTCGCAAAAAGAAATAATCTTCTAGGATATCCATCATACGGGTCATCTGACAAAAGATCAAAACTCTAGAGTCTTGTTCTTTAAGTTTGTAGAGTAGTTTGTCAAGAATGACCATTTTTCCACAATTTGTTATTAGGTGTTCATCAGTGGTGAACGGAGGACCGTCTTCGGCTCCATCAAATAGGTATGGATGGTTGCAACATTTACGCAAATGCATCAATATGTTCAAAAGTCTCATTTTTTCCATGGTACCAGCACCATTTATTATATCGATGTCTTTCAATAAAATTTTGGTGTACCACTCTCTTTGCATTTTACTTAATCCGATGTACACTTTGGTTTCTAGCTTGGGGAGCAAACTTTTCTCCACTTCCGACTTGATACGACGCATCAAAAAAGGACGAAGAATGGCATGGAGTCTTTCAACTAATGCATCATCTCCAAAACATCTGTTGAGGTTAAACCATGCGTCAAAATCTTCTGCAGACCCAAATACGTCCGGAAGTAAAAAATTTAACAAGGACCACAGTTCATGAAGATTGTTTTGTAAGGGGGTGCCGGTCAAGAGAAGTCGATTAGCAGACTCAAATTCTCTCACAAACTCAGAAAGCTTAGAATTTTCATTTTTAATTCGATGGGCTTCATCAATGACCACGTATCGCCAATTAAACTTTTTCAAAGCACATTTCTCTCTGAGTACCATTTCATAAGAAGTGATACATGCATTCCACTTACCAGGCATCAACACATCTTTGATAAAAACTCTCCTGGTTTCTTGATCTCCTATTAAACAAATCGCTTTAAGAGAGGGACACCACTTTTTAAATTCATTCATCCAGTTAGATAATGTGGACTTGGGAACGATTACTAGATGCGGACCATTAATGTTCCGATAATGCTTCATGTAACCCAATAATGATATTGTTTGAAGGGTTTTGCCTAGGCCCATCTCATCAGCCAAGATGCCATTTATCCCGTTCTCAAAAAGAGAGATCATCCAATTAAGTCCTCTGACTTGATAATCCCTCATCTCTCCATTTTTGATGTACGATGGTGATTTATCAAAAGTTGTAATTACCTTCACTTCCGAATTGCTCTGAGCAAGAAGTTCTTCATCTTCTTCCTGCTCTGTTTTACGATGTCGAGTGTCACCGATGCTTTTGGAGGGTGAGCTTGGGGCCGACGACTCTCTGTTCTCAGATTTTCTTCCTAATTTGCCGATCGTTTCATCTTTGGCCTCCTTCGTCATAAAGTGAGAGAAAATCTCAGTCTGCTTTAACAAATATTCAAAACGTTTGCTTTGGTCTTTCTTCACTTTCGCATCAAAATCAGTTTTCTCCTTGGAAGAGCAAGAAGGCCTTGTCGGTTTGGTAGATGCTTGCCTCGCAGTGGATTTTGTGGGAGATTCCTTACCTTTAGCTGGAGAGCTAGGGTTTGATTCACGCTTGGCTCGTAAGCTCACCATGGTTTCTCACAAAACTGGACACTTCACAAAACTAAGAGGAGGAATTGATTCTGATACTGAACATGTAGGTAGGTAGAAAAGCAAATGTTATCAGGCATGAGCAGGCATACGGTATAACTAAGATAAACTCGGCACTGATCACAAACCACGGAGAAGTCTAATGGAAAGTCAGAAGACTACAAACTTCACAGTGACAGAATTGTCAATCAAGAACTCGTTCTGAAAATATCTAATGATCTAAATCCCGAGATTTGAAGTGAAACAGAAAGAAACATGCGACATTTTTATTTTGGAGGGAGAATTGAGCGTCAAACGAGCATGCCCATGAACTTGCCCAAATTTTAGGTGGAAGGCTGGCCGAACGAATCCAACACATAAACTTTGTGGAACTTGTTTGCCGAGAATAGGTCTAGCCTGTTCGGGTATTTCTCAAAATTTCCCGATCATGTTGGCCAAATGCGCCGCGTCGAGTCGAACCGAACAAACGAACAAACTGAACAAGTGCCGAACAAGCATAACCTAACCTAGTCCGGTGTCAACACCAGCTCAAAGATCCTTATCTCTTATCTTGCATCCTTGTAATATTGATTTATTGCAGTTTATATTCTTTCTATCCTATTACAATCTTGTTAGTATGTAGCTTTTTTATCCCATATCTAACCTAAAATTCTTCATTTCATAAGATACATATTACTTAGCTCATCTTTAAAGATCTTTCAAGATCCCAGACTGATTTAATGGAAGGTGAGGATGCGGGAAGAGCCCCCAATCTTCCAAATCATGGATTCATTGGTGTTCATGTCGGTAAGTGTAGAAAATGCTGTTTACGAGCAATGATTATTTTTTAGAAGAAAGGCGTGTTCACACGGCCTGTCAGGCCGCCTACGGGCTGCTCGATGAGCCCTCTGCCGTATTCTTATTTATTATATTATATTTTATTCTTATTCATATTTATCATATATTTATCCTCTTGGTCCATCCTACAGTGACAATAGCAAGAGCTTTTGAATATTTAGTGGGGACTCGCGGCCTGTCAGGCTGCACATCCAGTCGCCTGTCAGTCTGTACATCAAGTCGCTTGTCAGGCTACTTCTCAAGTTGCCTGTTAGAGCTCACGCATCGTATGTTGAGACAAACGTCAATCCCCGATTAGCTCTGAATTCGCATCACTCAATAGGTTAATACATGCAGTCAGGTGGCACCACTGGTGAATGGTGACTTAATCAATACTATGGCGTCAGTCTCAACATACGATGCGCGAGCTCTAGACTGCCATCAAGTCGCCTGCCAGGGTGCATGTCAAGACGTCTGACAGCTAAACCTCATAAGACTGTGTCCTTTTTTTTTATTGCAATCCTGCGGTAGTATAGCAATTGAAAAGCAAGTGAAGCACACACCTTGGTCACTTAGTTTCGAAATCTCTACTCGTACTTTACTTTTTCAAGAGAACATCACTGCTTATTTTAAGCAAGGAATATCAGAGAATATTTTTGATAAGACAAGTAAATCAAAGTTGCTCACAACTTTGATGATTAGCCATCCTTCTAAAAATCTGCTCTACTAGTCAAACTTGACTCATTAAGATTGTTTTCTTTATTTGTACAGGTGCTGGGTTTTTCTCCAAAAAACTGCAGAAAGAGTACCGAGAACTGTGTGAAAAAGCATGCTCTAAGGTTTGTAAATTTTGCCTCTGAATTCTGTAATCTCCAAAATGAATATTTGAAGTGATAGTTCATACTTTTTGCTAGGTATCCCCTACAAAAGCGGGGAAAATGTCTGTGCAAGCTCAAGAGTCTTCCCTACGATTCTATATTCACCTCTCAAGATTCCTTGGAGACCTTTAATCTTCATGCTGACTTAGTAACTTGCTTTCCAGAAAAAACACTAAGAAATGGCCCAAACTGTATGTAACAAGGTGGAGAAATGGTGCTGGGTTCACACCATTTTGCGGGAAAACAAAGCCAAAAATGGCCACTTATAGTCTATGCAAGCGCCATTTACACTCAGATACCTTGTTGCTAAACATTTCAGTATTGCTTCAAGTTTTTCTTTGCACATTGTTTCATGAAAATTTCAAGGATTGATGATAAAAGAAGTATTAGGTAAAATTTTCCTGTTATTCTATTCATTACTTTTTCCGTAAAAAATTAAACAAGTTTAAGAGGTTTTGCAGCACCATCTTTAAATACAAACAGCTTTTGTGATATTTTGACCAGAAGGGACAGTTTAAGGTCCTGAAAATGACTCTAGGATTTCCTCTCACATTCTGAGGTTTGTTGCTTGCCTGACACAATCAGCAGTTCCTGAGACCGAGCGGTTTTTGCATCTCCGTGACTCAAACTTATTTATGAATAGTCATGTTGATTATAGGAGCCATCGAGTTTTTTCTCATTGTGCTTCTTGTTGCTACAATTTTGCTGTCAATAATCTCTTTCCAGGGTGTTGAAATTTTAAGAAACGGAGGATCATCGGTTGAAGCTGCCACTGCTGCAACAATCATTCTGGAAGATTCAGAGCTCACCAATGCAGGAATTGGGTCTAACTTATCCTTCACTGGACGTGTCGAGTGTGATGCCAGTATCATGGATGGGCAGACTATGAATGTTGGTTCTGTTGGAGCGGTCCCTGGAGTACAGAACCCTATTCTTTTAGCGAAACGAATATGCGAAAAGCAACAGCAAAAACTACCTTGCGGACTTGTTCCTCCTAGGTGAGTAGTCTTAAAATCTTGAATAGTCAATTTTTTGTATTGCGAAATGAGTTCTGGAGAAAGAGCAGAATATATCTTTCACTACTCTTCTCATCAAGAGAGGTTAGCAACAATATTAGATCTAACAACTTTGTCACACTGCCCCTTTTTTCATCTATTGCGATGGTGTCAAGCAATGGATCACCAGACAAAATACGAATTTAAGCATTTGATATTTGTTCCCTCATTGAAACTTATTGTAGAACACGATTTTTATGAAAAAAATTGTTGAATGTACGAGTAACATCAAATGAAGGAAGGTTTTAAATTTTTTGATGCTTAAATTCAAACTCTCCTCTCATGAAAAAAACCATAATCTACCTAGTGAAGTTCAATCGCATACTAAACGTAGCTATCACAGTCTCTGTAGTATGAAGTCTGTCAATCTCTGTGCTAACCGCTACCTGGCATTTTTTTTATTGGATCAGGATTTTCAACATCGTTTAATCGTCATTGATAGCCTATTTTAATGAAAGTTTGTTGTTTCCAGTTTTTTGGTTGGCAAAGGAGCATATCTATGGGCAAAAACCAATGACATTAAAACAGTGGAACCTCGATCAATGATCTCAAGTAAGTTTTTGTATGTTTTGTGCTGAAGCAATAGTATGTAGACTCCACTGTGCAGTTTCAGTTAGGGACTGACAATGAGAGTGCTCATGGTGGCAATGTGGGTCTCTAAAAATGCCTTGTTGCTCGCTTCCAGCAGGTGAATAAGTAGTTCAAGTATAACTTCACTTTTTGTCTGAAGGCAGGCTGTACATGTACATTTCAGAGCTCTGAAATATTGAAGATTATCATTCAGTGCATACTTTTTACCTTTTCACAAAATTCCTTGAAGATGCGGTAAAGTGAGGAAAGTGAATCCCAGAAGGCCAGGTAAGGTAGAAGGGAAATTTTTTTGAACCCATAATGAAATTTCACTAAATCTGATACAATTTTTATCAGGCAGCATGCCTGAAGGGCAAGCCAAATCAGCATGGCAGGCGCAGTAGGAATTGCCATGTGCTATAGGGGAAGACTAAGAGAGTCCAATGGAAATGGGAATAGCAAGAAAGAGAGAGAGGAATAGAGAAGGCAAGTTGGTAAGAAGTAGAAGAGAAAAAAGGAACAAGTGCTTTCTCCCAACCACCTACATCATATTATTTCAGTGTTGCTGTTGCTATGACCTTGCACTCCCTGTAGAGCGTCTAGGAATGTCACTGGACAGCCTGTGATGGGATTTTTTAGGATGTGATTTCATTCTTCATTGTTTTTATACTCAGAAAAAATTTTCATCTCTTTGCAGAAAAATCTTTACGTCAGTACAAGCACTATAAAAGGAAATTGAAAATGCACTCAGAGTTACCAATATTGGTAAGTTAAGTCAAATCTCTTGCTCACAACTAAAACAAAGGCTAGAGAAATTTCACATTGTTTACAATTAATTTATTTAGTTATTTTGATGAAAGATGCTGGCATGTTTACGACGAAATTACTCGCTTTTCATATTGTTATGCCAGAGACCATTCCACGGCAAGGGAAATATTCTGAGGTGAGCTCATTTCCAGCATTAAGCACTGTAGTGTTGAAGAGAAATGCTGAATTCGAATGAAATGAGTCATGGCTGCTAGTCTGCTGAAGTTTTTTTTTTTTTTTTTTTAATTTGCACTTATGAATCGTTTGTAAATAAAATGTCTTTTCGTAAAAATACTTAATTTCAACCGATTTTAAGACTTCAAGCTAGGCAGCATCTTTTAACATCCATCTTCTGATGTTGTCAAGGTGTTCTTGCACTTCATATCGCATCATATCCTTGTAAATGATCAAAAACGACTGAGTACAAGTATCATCAGCATTCACTCCTAGCCTCCTTCATACTTTTGGACAAAGGTATACTGATAAAAGTATGCAAAACCTCATCAATAGTCCTCAACATACTTCAGACCATGTCAAGGTTGCTATGTGTTGGAATTTCACTGCCAATTTTTTGCACTTCTTCGGACGGTTTTTTTTTTCCCAAAAAATTTACTCAGACTGAATATGACGATAGTTTATTTTTTTTTCACCAGTGCTCTCTCCAACCTTCGTTTCAAGATTGTGGCATTAGCTGACGAAAAAGGGTTCCGGCTCATCGTTGCACTGGAAGTGAGGATAGAATGAACTAGAGTCATCTTGCACCCATTATGATAGGTCTCACTGCGAACTCATGCTTATGAGAAGTAAATCTAGGTAGTTTTTTAAAAGATGTCTTCTTCCCTAATTTTTGTCGACCTGTTACAGAAAAGTTCCAAATTAGACACAGTTGGAGTTGTTTGTGTTGACAAGACAGGACACATGGCTGCAACCTCATCAAGTGGTGGAATAATTCTGAAACACCCAGGAAGAGTGGGACAAGTAAGACCACCAAAGTCATTAATTTCTCCTTTAAAAGGGGATATAGCCAGTTTGTTGCATCATGGGATAATTATAGTTTCGCCGGGAGAAGAGCCACTGAAATCTTTTCAATAGACCTTTATTTTTGTCCACCTGGAACAATCTTGATTAATCAAGCTGACCATGTCATTATTGCTTGTTTCTAACACTGTTTACCATTTTGTAACAGTTTTTTTTTTTTTTTTTTTTTGATAATCTGGCATATGAATAGTGCATGATCCTCAAAGATAATCAAAAGGTGAGTATTTCAAGGTCTTGGGGTAGAGTTTAACCAAAAGCAACCAAGTTTTATCAGGTTTGTTCCAATGAATAAAGGTTTGAAATTGTATCTTTCCATCAGATTTGATGTTAAGGATAAAATCAAACCAATACTTACACATTCAAAATATTTTTTCTCTAATTTGGATTTCTGTAAGCAAAAACTAAACGACCAGTAGATCTCGATACTACAAAGGGTCACCCAGAAAGTAAAGTTCCCTACAGATTCTCTAGGAAACCAATAATGCTAGAAAAAACGAATAGTGACGTTAGAATATTAGACTTTAGAATTCAGTATTTTTTCATCTTTAATTTTAGCCCTAATTTTTTGTAAAATTGGACCACAGAAACGCTCAGGAGAGTTGTGTTCCTATGCTGCCGTCATTGTACTTACCACAGGATCTGTGTGTGCCCAAAAACTGCTGTGAAAAAGTGTAGAAACCCCTAGTTTATTTCATGCCATGATTGTTCTCCATGTTTCTGTCAGCATGAAGGACATCCGTCCAGTTAGTGCTGGGTCCCCCTTTGGAAGACAAGAACTCTATTCTCGCACTGAGGTGCTCAATGGTAGTTGCCAGTGTTGCCACTTACCCTAGGCCTCTGAATTCATGTAGAATCCAGAAAAAACGAAATACCAGGATTCACCAGTGAAAAAAGTTTTCAGAAAAACAGGAAATTCATGTTGAAAATCAGAATTTCCCCATTTCTCCATTTTAAGATCATTTCGTTTTCAAAGGTGGAGCGACTTCAATTCTAACTATTGAACTGGTGCTGGAAAAGTAGCCAAAAGATTAAAAAGTCTGATTATTTTCCAGAAAATTGTGGGTCTATCAGGGAATCTGCCTCTGAAAATGAACTCTTTAGAAATATCAGGAATTGAGAAGCTGTAAGAATTAAAGACACCATCATGTAAATGTGCCACTTACTTTGCTGCACCAGTCATAGAGCAGGATATTATTCCCATTAATTCTGTAATATCTCAATCTGTAGGCACTGTGTTTTTTGCCATCTAATCTAAAGATTCTTTGCTCTGCTAATCTATAGATTCTTTTCATTTTACAGGCTGCTGTTTTTGGATGCGGTTGCTGGGCGGAAAATGGGACCATAACTGAACCAGGGGTGGCAACTTCTACCACAGGTTGTGGAGAGCACTTGATTAGGACAAGCCTTGCTCGCACAGTAGCTAATGCTGTTAAATCTGACTGTTCCACACAAGGTGTATACAATGCTCTCTACAATGGTTGTTTAAGTACGTTATATTCAGTTGAGTAATTCATGATGCAGTTCTCATTGCCTACTCTTGTTTGCAATGTCAAGTCTTTAACATCAATGAAAGATCACAGAATGCTCCATTATTTTGTCTTCGCATTTAAAAGATTTTTATGAGCTTTGGAGTGATTTTAGACAAAACTAGCAGCTTTATAAAGTTTCTCTTCTTTAACAGAAGAACAGTTGACTAAATTGCAAATCTGAGACTCTGGCTGGCATAAATTGTGATATTCTCCAATAATAACCTGGTACCTCTGGTTGTAAAAGTATTATTATCTGAGGAATAAAACTTTGTATCACATCTTAACATCAACATAATAGCTCCACCAGCAGTTAGTACGGTAGGTCTCCCAAGCCTAATTACACCATCTGATGTAGAAACGTTCAAGTGTAAATTTATTGGAAACAACTCAATTAATCACTAGGGTTGTGCGAATATTCGGCGATTATTCGCTTCGTATGCCTCGGGCACTATTCGCAAATTGCGAATAATCGCGCCGTCGCGAATAGTGAATTTTTGAACTGACATTTTCAAATATTCGCGCTGTCACGAAGAACGAATTTTCAAATATTTGCGCCATCAAAAATTATGAATTTCCGAGTGGTAATGGTGAAACGTTGCGAGGACCTGCGCAAGGCTTCCGCTTCCACCCGAGACATCGCGAACCGCGGATCTCCTTTGATCTTTACCGACGCCGAGTTTACGAATAGCAAGCGCAATTGCGATTGGGGGAAAGCAAAGAGCCCAAATTAAAGAATGAAAGACACAGAAATGTCTGAAATAGAAAAAAAAAGTTCATAAACACATTTACATTTACACAAAAAAAAAATAAAATACTAAAATGTGTCTGGTGATCCTTCGATACTAGCTTGACTGCCCGCGCAGTTAACTTCAAATCCTGGGAATGCATACGTAACTGTAGGGACAGTCAAGCCAGCATCCAGGGATCTTCAAACACATTCTTAACAGCCTCGGCTACTATCATAGCTATTCATTGTTTTCTGTGCAAGTGTATGAGCAAATGGAAAATTCTTAAAAAAATTTATCACATTTTTTTTTGTCGACTTTTGTAATATTCGCGAATTTTCACACTTAAAAAAGTCATTTCAATTTATTCGTTTTACTACTCGTAGCTGTGAATAATTGACTTAAATTATTCACTAGTGGCGAAGAGTTACAGAAATTATTCGCTATTCGCTTCGTTCGGAAAATTCACTATTCGCACAGCCCTATTAATCACTAAGGTTGAAAACATCATTTTCTCATGAAGGACTGGTTGTGAAGCTTATAAATAGGTGATTGCCCGCTGTATCTGGAAATGTTCCTATTGCGATCTAAAGATGTAGAATTGCTCAATACTATATTCTGAGACGCTTATTATACCTTAATTTTCATCTCAATGATTTCAGACAGGAAAACTATATCTACGGCAGAACGTGCCTGTGGTGTGATAGTATTAAGATACAGTGATGACGAAAAATTTGAATTTATGTGGGCACATTCGACCAATTCCATGTGCATTGGATACATGAGCACTGATAGCAAAAAGCCTTATGTAAGTTTTTTTTTTTTACCTTTTCTTCTACTGGTAACTTAAGTATCTTCCATCCATCAGTCACTGTCTTTTCTTCTTCACATACCTGAGATATTTTAGCAGTACTCCATTGCCTACCATTGCGTTTCAGACATATTTTTTCTCTTACCTCACGGTAATTTCTTCTCCTCCCCAAATAACCATTGCAAACATTGATGCTTATTCCTGCTGGGGCCATCTCAGTTGTGAGCCATAAAAACAATATTTCTCCAATGACTGCTGGCCTCATAAGAGCATTAGAGACGACCAACCACATCTTAGTCGAAATGATTGGCCCCCTTCAATACCGGTCAGGCAGGTCAGCATGGCAGGCAACTGCAACATGCTAATAAAAAACAAGAAACTTTTCTTTTGTTAAAATGCAAGACTAACTTAGTAATTAACAGTAGCACAGAGCCATAATGAATATGCAAGTATTAAATGAAGAGTGAATGAATATACTGAGTACTACATTTTTTAATTTACCATTTTTCTTATACCTCGTATCTCTCATATCCCTATTCTTAGATTCAAACAGTTTGGCAAAAATGCATGCACCGTTTTTGATAACAAGTTAAGGTACAACGCATGGATTGCAATGAACAAAAGGGAACCAGCTCGATTTGTTCTGCTTCCTTTTTGCTTTGACAAGTGCCAAATATTTATACTTACAGTGACAAAATTTTGACGATTATTTTTCTTTAATATTTACTATTTTTTTGTATAAAAACACAAACTATTTGCTATTCTGGGTATTTCATAAGATAAAAATAAGACGCAGATTTTTACAACTCTGCAGTGATGCTGGTTCTTTTCTCTCCAATACAATCCAAGTACATAACATATTCAGGGTTGCCACAGAATTTAGAAAATGAATTTCCCTGATTTCTCCGACACATTTCATCAAATTTCCTGATAATTGAAGGTATGCCACTTGGTTAAAAAGATACCATTTAAAATAGTTTTCAGTCAAAATTTACTGTGCAAAACGTCAAACCCTTTCTTGAAAGCAAAAAGAGGTAACTTACGATTTTTCCCTTTTGTTTCCAAGTTTCTCCTAACATTTCCTGGTTTTCCCTGACTGAGCCAACCCTGATATTTTGTTTAAATTATATTATTTCTATTTGGAATTTTTCTGAACACATGCAAAAACAGGCAGGAATCTATTATGATTTGTATAGCGTCTATGGTAACTATAGGGATGTTAAGTTAGTCAAATGTCATGTAATTTTTAGGGGTGAAACCAGGGCAGCATTACAGAGTAATTCAGAAAGTGTAAATAAAACCCGAAAAATTACCATCAAATTACTTGTTGATGGCCCCCATAAGATTTTCAAAGATTCTAGTGTAATAAATAGTGATGAATCCTCCCTCCTTTTTCTCATGAAGCATACCACTCTTAAATTTCAGTCGATGATGACAATTCCTTGAAAGATTCAGTCTTAAAAAGCTCATTAAGTTCTGTGTAAGCTTTTCCTATCAAATTTTCCTTGCTCTGATGAAGTTTTGTCTTTTTTTCAAATTTTCAGAGTCGCTTAAGCCGGTTACCTCCAGAAAAACAACCTGGCAACACCATTCTAGTCGAAGGAATTTGCTGTGATGCCAAGTGATTCTCATTCTAGGACTTTTAACGATCCAAAATTATCTTATGTCTAGAACCCTGTGAAGATTTTCTCGTGATCTCCATGAGAATAGAATATTGCTGCTCCAAGACTCATGAAAATTGTTGGAAGAAAATTTTAAAATTTTCCAATAATGAGCATTGCATTTAAAGTCTGTTTCCTGAAGAAACCATATTTTTCTCATTTTTTGCGCCTATTTCTTTTGATACTATTAAGAAAAATGGCTAATGAGACTTATCATAATTCCAGTGTTTAGTTCAACGGTCAATTTTTTTACTTTTTCCTGTGCCGATTTTTTTCTGTACTAAACTTTATGAACAAGCTCGAAAATAATCGTTTAAGTTCAGAATTTGACTCAATGCAAAGCACTTTCTTAAGTAAAAGAGAAGTGCAGCAATACAATTCGAAATAGCATATCAAGAAATTTTCGAATAAAACAGATATGCCTTGAATATTACAATCGTAAAATTTTCTTCTTGATTGGCTTTTAGAGTCCTCGCCAAATAAGTTTACGCATTTTCAGACTGGGAGAAAACATTGTCCGATTTCAGCTCAGTATGGAAAGTAAATGTAAGAATAAAGATGGCGGATCCTCTGTCACTAACAAGGACTCTAATTATTCATTAAATGCCCTGTCTTGATCATGAAATGTCAAGTGATTTTTCGTGAACCTGAACAGTCTTATTGTTATACGGTTGAAAATGATTATGTTTCACACTTTTCTGATGGTGATGAGTAATTTAATTGGAAAATAACATTGAAGATGTAAACCGAAACAATATAATTTTGAAATTAATTTTTCGAAGATTGAATGTGTTTTTTGTTTTGGGAAAAGAATTAGGAGAGTTTAAAATCAGTTGAGCTGAAACATTTTGCCTTCAAACAGTGTGACCAGCCTCTTTTTTATGTACTTTTATTTGATTTCGCAAATCAGAGTTGCATAAGGAATGGAATTAGGTATCATAAAATGGATATATTGTGACTTTATAACCATACTACCTCATCACTGTTCAATTTAAGAACCCTGCACACCGCCTTACCTTCACCGATGGGTGGGGACTTTCTGGCTTTCTGTACATTTTGATGAAACACTAATAGATGATTATGATGAGCTAATGATGATTCTAATCCAACCTAACTTTTTGAGGTTCATTATTGGGCACAAGCCAAAATATCAGGAGATTTAACCGGGTAGGAGCTAAAATATTTGTGATAGAATATGGTAACTGGTTTGCTTTCTTGCGCAGACCTAACGTACATGTAGGTGCTTATCAGCTCAGCTACCGCAGACACCTCCCCCCTCTCCCACCCGTCCATTCTGTAGCATATTTGATTTGCGCAGCGAGTACCTTGTCTTTTTTCTTATATTAAAATTAAAGATGTCGCACTTTGTTCCGCATCTTATTTTCATTCTTCCTTTGCCCGGCTATCCCTCTTGATTTAGTTTTTCCCACCCCCTCTTTGATGCAAGTCCAGTTATGAATATTTCACCTCCCATCCTACCAAATCACCTAATTTTTTGGCTTCGGCCTAGTGATGAACTGCATAATTACCTACTAAAGTTTCAACAAAACGTACCCAGAGCCTGTGAGCCTTCACTCGCATTCAGGGTTCTCTGGAGGCGTGGTTCTAATATTTCCATGTAGTTTTTAAGAGTATCAAAGATAACACATTACCTCAGCCTCAACATCTGTAAGCAATATTTTTTTAAATCCAATTCCCTTTGTCTTTCTTTTACCGCTATTATTTCATAAATTGCGATAAAATGAGCTTCTTATCTGAATTTTTGCTCATTGAGAATGTTCTTTGTAATCAAATTTTGTCAACTACATACTCGTTTGGCTGGTCAGTTTGAGACTTCAACAAATAAGAACTAATCCTGAACAAAAAAAAAAAAAACCCCGATTCAATGTAACTGAAGATGGAAAATAAAAGAAAGTTCTACATTCATCAAGCTGTATTTAAATTCTTTTTTAGAAGTAAAGAATTATTCGTTGGTATCCAAGTGAGCAATCTAACTTCTAGCTTTCATAATCAAGTTCATCTATGATGTAACATGTTTTTTCAATCCTTTCTCTGCACAAGAGGCTAATAGGCAGTAAAAAGGTTAGAGTGCATTCACAGTCAGGCTATTCTAGACATCCATTAAACTCGTTGCACTTATCAAGAAGAATTATCACATTTCATTATTGTAAACTCGGGCTAACTCTCAATTTGCTCGAGACTAGAATTTTCTGAGGCTTCTGATTCAACACTGAAGGAGAGTTTCTGAAGTTTTTGTGTTCGTTCATAGAGAAAAAAGGAGGTGTTTGCATCTTGAGGATTGATAACCCTGTGACATAGGTCCGTACAACCTGGCCAGCGAAATCCGGAATTCGAAGTAAGAAAAACTGACCATAACGTCCAATTTTTTTGCTTAAATCAACTCATGATATAATTTCAAACACTTTATATAGAATGATTTTTTCCATCAATTACACCATTTCCGAGAAAAGCGATGATAAAAGTCGTCTGTACCGACGTACGTCATCGAAAAAGTCAAAGATGCCCAAAATGCAAACACCTCCTTTTTTTCTCTATGGTGTTCGTTGGAACAGGAAAAAAGAGTAGTTCATCGTTTCAATACAGCCTCCGCAACGAAATATACAAGGAAGAATAAATTCTGAAGGATAAGTATATGAAAAATTAATTTAAATTTAATAAACCAAAAGTGAGAACAATAACATAAAATAAAACAAAATTCTACACAAAATTAAAATGGTAAAACTTGAATAAAGAAATTGAAAAGTGGATGTCTTAAGGTATTTACATTCATACTTCACCTAACAACTAAGCAACGCACACCTGAGCATTATAATGCCTCTCACAGTAGGTACGCATAACCTTCAAAAAAATGATTAAAGGATCCTCAGTACTCTCGTAATTAGTGGAGAAAAAACTTTCAGGATTCTATTTCTTCGAAGAGTACTGTCACTGACCTGTCTGAATAAAATACTGAAAGGAACTATAACACAGTGGTAAATCCTGAGTTTTTTATTCAAGTGAGAAATCATTCCTTGCAAACGGTACATCTTTGAGGAGAAATAATTTATTCTGAATAAATGTCAGTCATTTGGAAAATTTTGAATACACATAAAATGGGACGAAGTAGATACGGATTTGATAGAGTTAAGAGCAAGTTTCTTCTTTTTTTTATTTTACAGACTAACAGAAAAAACTTTTATATTTGAAAAGAAAAAAGAGACTTGGGATAATCACTCCTCCATTCCATCTCACTTTTAGCAGTTGCTTGAATAGAGTAGAAATCAATGCAATGTTTCTTGCTGTTGCTATGATTACTCAATTCAGACCAAAAATTACTCAATGGAATAGCTTTCTGGGAGTTTTGTAATTTTGCCTTAAGACAGAAAGTTGGTGATTTTGACAACATGCGTTAATCTCAGTGTACGATTGAAATACTCATTGCGGGTGGGAGAAACTCATTTGAGCGTGATATTCCCTCACAGAAAAAATTCTATTTGGTGCAACACCAGCTACAAACGGTCAGGAAGGCCACTGTAAACGGGTTTCCAGTCTCATTCGACCCATCATCACTGCTGCGCAGCCTCCTGACTTTTCTGCTTCAAAGCTTGGAGAGGTCGAGAGAACCAGATCGAGATTTGGGCATGCAGTCAGGCATTTTACTCTATGAGGGAATATCATGCTTGAATATGGGCTTTTCCCTCTGGAATATGAATTTCAGTTGTATACTAAGTTTGATGCATGTTGGCGAAATCACCACCACTCTGTCTAAAAGTGACTTATGCATCGATCCGCATTTTGTTTGTACTAATTTTGCTTAAAACTAATTTTGTAATCACATTAAACGTTGTCAGGGTTGGAGATTGTTTTTATTGCAATTAATCTTCCGTAAATCTTACTTATTTGTCCTATCAGAGGTCCTTCTTGAACAAATTTTGATGAATTTGCATTTTTAAAATTATTTCCACTCCATTTTCAACCTGTCATTTCCCTGCATTGGTGACAATTTAATAATTTTCAAGAATTTAATTCGTTGAAATTTGAAAACTATTGAAATTTAATAACACGTATACATGCATACATGTAAAACATTTGATATAGTTAATTCAGATCTTTCTAAGAAGAAGCTTGGTACTTTGGTACTGTTTTTGGCCTCCAAAAGATTGCCGTTTAAAGGCGATAGTGCATTAATCGGGAATGTGCACAATGGTAATTTTCTTCGCACTTTGGAGCTGATAGGGAAATACGATAAAGTCACTCGTGAGCATCCGGCCAAAAGTAAAGCCAAACAACTGGATTGTGGCGACATGCGAGGCCAAGCACATTTCCTGTCATGGAAAACCCAAAATGAGTTTATTTCTCTTTAGTGGGGATAAAGTTCTGAAAGCCATTCTGGATAAAAAGGAGAACCCGATTTACTATGGTATTATTGCTGATGCGACTCCTGATATTTTTTAAATAAAACAAAAAGTCCTGATTTTGAGGAACATCTCTAAAAATGGCTATACGGAAAAATTTGACAACCACATGTTATAATGAAATTCCTATCTCATACAACAATAACAGCATGTTTTTAAGTCCCAGAACCCGTGTATTAACCCATAGAGGCACTGAATTAGACTGCACCAACCAGTTACCTGTTAAATTCCAAATAGATAATCACAGGTACCTATGCTTTCACATCCTGAGTCAAGACTGTAGAAGCACCTCCAAAATTGGAGGCAAAATCCTTTTCGTCTTGGCACTACAAAAGCCCCTGCAATCTTTTAAAAGCTGACATTTATAGTGAGGAAGACCTCACCGCTTATCAGCGCAGTATATCTTATCTGGCAAGGCAGGGTTTTCTGGCATGACGTATACTCAATGGAGGAACTTGCAAAGTCCTTAAATGAAACACATATTAGCGTCTCTACAGATAATGCTTCAGCATCTGAGTATGTACCATCAAGAGTAACTAATACTTCCATCGACACTTTACCACTTACCAGATGAAGTAAAAGATCTTCACCTAGGCGTTACAGTTGCAACTTGTAACATGCAAATGATGGAAAAATTTCCTAGAGTTTATCTGGGACTTGACAAGGAAACCATGTGCCTTGTTTCATTGTTACAGAAGCGCAGCCAGTGGGCTTAGAGAAACAGAACATTTTTTTAGCTCTTAGAAAAATATGCTTGAATGAATTTTCTAAACGTTTGGGGCATACTTTCTGGCCTCATCGGAGCAGTCAGCATCTTTGCAAGCATCTCTGATGCTTTAGATTAGAATAGAATTTATGTTAACTTTTAATCGATAAAATAAAAAGCCTGCAAAGCAACCCCCCTTTTTACTCCAAATTTTCATTTAACTATCGTTTTTTTACCAGCATGGCAACATACTATTCGCTCATGGACCAGAGAAAAGAAAGTTTATTCAACCAAATTTAAAATGACCGATTTAGGTAAAATTTCTAGATATTTAGGTATAGATATTGAGTACGATATGTCGAATAAATCCTCAAAATGAGTCAGGAAAACTATATTTTGTCAGTAGCAAAAAGATTTTCAATAGATTGCGACATGAAGCTTCTGGGACGTTCTTAATTTCTTTGTACTCAAACCAGTTCCTAATCACACCTTGTCCGGTCAGCACATTTGGAGTAGCTTTCATGTCATCCAGCCATGGACTTTCTCGTATCATCCTCCAGCCTACTGCCTATGATTCAGACGAGGGATTTTTGACGATTATCTCAACGTCCTTCAATAAGGACTGGAACAACCTTGCCCCACACCTTAGCCAAGCCGCCTACTGTCACCCAAGCAGCTCCGCCTGTATTCAAACGGCCATACCTCAAACCACGCTGTACCCGACCACTTGCTCCAGCAAAAGTCCAATATTGCAAGCTATGCTTACCAGTCATGAAGCGCTGGTCCATGACTTACTGCCCAATATGCTGCCAACCCGAAGACCGCAATAAGCCCTTCAAACCTATTCCAATTTGCTCTGTTGTTCCTGATCCAAATTTTAAACCCTCTTTCATTCCACCGCTGTCCATATTCATGACACAAATAACTGAACTCCCACCTCCTTCTGCACCGCCATCTCAGATACCTCATATCGCCCTGATAGTATCCTATGTTTTTCCATTGTCACCAGCCTCGATCGCTGCAATCTCCCTCCCACCATCTCCTCCTCACGCACTGTCGGAGGCCACACCCGCCGACACCAACCCTGCTGCTGTCGCACCGGCTGACTCCAATCCTGCAGCTGCCTCACCTGCTGACACCGCCCTTGCAGAGCCCTAACAACAAGTCATGGAACTCCTCCTGAAACTGGACCTTCCCTTGACTTTGCTGTTAACCGAAGAGAAATATGACCCCGAATCACCGGCAGTCGAAGCTTATTCTCCATCAAACCCAGGAATAAGTCCGCCTCGGTGACTCGGCGAAGCTACCAGTGCCGCGGAGGAAGCGAAAATACCTCCACCCGCACGGGACCTGCAGTGCAAAGAAGGCGAAATAACCTGCCAAACTTTTGTTCCATGTACACTCTGTCAGTGCATTGTTTTACCTTGTCAACCTGTTACCTTGTTACCTTGCCAGCATCACCATAGTCTTCATTCATCTGGCTTCCGATGTGAGCTCTCACCCTTTCCTACCTTTTAAATTTCGCTACTTTGCATACATTACACAGTTCTCTTTTCTTGTGTGCCTTTCTACTTGTTTTTGCCTTGTTTCCCATGTTCAAATCCACTAAGTTGCTCTCAGGCTCTCACTAACTTTAATGGCTGTGATCCAAAACCTGGAAAAGTTGAAACGCTTAACGCCCTTTTCTATAACTTGACCACCATGCCTGGCGTCACCCCTCTACATCAATGTTTTCCGTCATCTTTTTTTCGGTCATTATTCTCTAGTTGCACAATTTGTTTCGTACATATTTTTTGAGCCCCGGAGGTGTAGTATCCACGCTTGACACTATTGTTTAGCGTGTATACTCTGTGTTTAGAACCACAAACGTAGGGTACGTTCGCCACGCCTCTCGTAAAATCAGTGACGTCAGTCAGAGTTTCGCGGCAAGACCCACATAGCTGTTCCCCCACTTCGGTCAGTTGCCACGACCAAAACGGGGAGACGCCCGAAAGTTACTGGAGCTTGCCGAGTCGCGGCAAACTGCGACACCCGCGGATATAAAACCCGCTGCATGGCCCAGCTCGCCGTCTCTTCATCATTCTTTCACCTTCACCTATCATGTAAGTTCTAGGTTCATAGGTCGTTTAGTGCTTAAAATCTAGTCAGAACTAATGAGTGTCGCCATGTTTCCTCCTTTTGTATACAGCCATGTTTAGCCTTAACGTATCGTGAGCATTGCTGCGTGGTTACCCTAGCATAAATGTGATGAACCTAGAGCATTACCATTCTCCCTGTGTCCGCTTATGGAGAGAGAGGTTCCTTGTATGTCATTAAATATGCTAGGTACCTTTCTTTAAAAAATGGTCTTCCTCTGATTAAAAGCCCAATCATGTTCATACATTAGGACAACAACTTTACATTGTATCAGCATGAGATTTTAGCTTTTTCTCATCAGAATACAGCTCTGAGGCAAATTTTTATGCCAAGACAGTGATTTTCCTCACAGGAACAAAAATTAAGTCTGGTGACTCTATGTTTTAAAGACAGCGATGAAGCTTAACCACAGCTCTTTTCTTAGAATTTATGAATCATGGGTCCTTATTTACTGCATAGTACACGATATCAAGTGAGGAACCAGGCCATCACAGCCAGGACTGATTTGCTGCAACTGACGATTTTAATCTGATTTTTAGGTACCTATCAGTTTAGTTCTCCTAATGATGCCTACTTTTTTATTGTGGGATGCCACCAATGTTACAACAGTACATCCTGAAGATGGAATGGAAGTATTTCTGAAATGCATCCTTTATTGTCACACCGGGAGATCATTCATGTCGACAGATTAATTGTGTCTGCTATGATTATTTAGAGAACACACGCATTTTTTAGGTAACTTTTTTTGAGTGTTGAGAGAAAATTATGAAACCCTTTTTTTTTTGTAAAAATAAAGTGCATTTTAATTTTTTAAACACTTCTCACCAACTTTTATCTGATCTCCTTCTTGAGTCACTAACCAAATAGCTATCCTATCAACTTAGCTCCCCCTGGAGTAATTACACGTTTACCATGCTTTCAGTAACTCCGAACCTCCTATGAAATTTTCACACTTTTTCTAAAATTTAAGGACCAGTGAATAACCTCAGTAAGTGATATTCAAAGTAATGCTCCTGGATTCATGGTTAATTTCAGAAGCCCTTTTTCTAGGCCCACATTCAAAATGACCATTGAATCAACAGAAACTCGACTAGGTGGCATCATCAAACATGCAGACTGGTCCACGCTTGATTCTGAGGACTTAAATGAAACAATGAGAGACATCTTGGGCAGAAGATTCACTACAAACCACATAGCTGTCGCACTCAAGATTCCAGTCCTTGTGATGCTTACACTGATGTCACTGTGTAGTTTTTCTTCGGAGGCTTCAATTGTGGTTATGGAGAAGAGCTCGAATTCGAATGACAGCTCATCATATTCAATACTGTCTAAGTTGAGATTACAATGAATAGGAACCTGTAAAGAATTAAAAATTTAGTTAGTGGTGCGTATCACTAACTGACCCTCTAAATCTTATCTTTTTAATAATTTTTTTATTAAAATATTAATCAATCAATGGATCATTCATTTCATATTTTGGAAATTTAAGAAGCTAATAACTTTAAATAGAGAATTATAAGAGCTGAAACTAGGAATGGCTTGGATCAAAATTGAAAGTTTGCCCATAGAAGAGCCTACTGGGTCATGCACACTTTTCTGGAAATCAGTGATTTAACCTGTGCGCATTTCAGAGATCATATCCTTCAATGATCATAATCATTCGATCATTCTGTAAGGTACTAGAGACAAAAACGTAAGACATTATTTCGTCACCTTCCGGCCAAAGTATCACAAGTGCCATGCAAAGTTTCAAATTTCCGCCGCCATTTTATTTTTTTGCAGAGAAATTGTTGGTTGAATCTGTTTGAAAATTTTACTGCATTTATCGGCAGCACAGAGAAAATTCTGTGAAATTTTTGGACAGCTCCATGGAACAATTTCTCTGTAAAAAAAAAAATGGCAGCAGAAATTTTGAAACATCGCATGGTGCTTGTGATACTTTGGCCGGAAGGTGACGCTTTAGGCAAAACGCTAATTGTAGTTTGTAAAATGTGGTCCAAATGCAGTCACGCTTGCGGTGCGTTTAAAAAAAAAAAAATTACAGCAAAAAAAAAGTTACCTGATACTGATTCAAAACAGTTGCTATTTCAGATATTTCATTCTCAGAGTCTGGTACTACGGAGGACACTTTTGAGAGCCAATCACAGTTGATAAACTGACCCATGCAGGTTAGTTTTTCCGGAATGATGATACCATTGGTTTTTAGACGTTTCCTGAAAAATAAAAAATATTCAATTCATTTTGCTGTATCAAAGCTTATAGCCATATAAAAATTCGGGAATTCTAGGACAGGCGGGCGTGTCAGTTTATTTCATTCAGAAATGAAATGCGACTGCTGTGCGTAGATTTTGAGAAGTGTGAACACCTTGATCTTTAGGGTAGCGATCAGGAAGTTCCCAATAATTAAATTATTCCAGAACATCTGGAAAATACTGGAATACCTTTATGATGCTTAGGTGGTTGAACATCTCTAATGGCATAGGTGCAATCAGAATCAATTTCAAGACCTTGACTAGAAATCAGATGTCTAAGATAAGAGATTTTTTGAACTGCTAGTCGAGGCTGCTTGAGGTTAATGGTTATGCCAGCTTTTTTGAAACGAGACAAGACTTAGTCCAAAACTTCTGGCAATCCCTCGAGAATCTCTTGCTATTTTATTAAGAATAACTTTGCATTCCCCTTTACACACTTACTAGACTTTATACCTAGGGGGGCAGGAGGGGAAAACATTAATCAAGAAAAGGTACATTATCAAATTTTCTGCGTGAGCTTTCGGTCAAATCAGAGTATGCCATAACAGAGCCTAGCGTCAAAGGGTAAATAACATTTCTTTGCTTTTATGCTGAAAAGTCAAAGCAGATAACTCACCTGAGTACAGGTAATGCGAGGAACATCCTATCATTCAACGTCCCATCTGGCAAGACAAGGTTATTTACTATTATGATATCATACATTTCTTCATGCTGCAGAAAAAACGAGAATAGGTCCTCTGCAAAAAAAGGCTTCAGATCGAGAGGCAATACTTTGTTATCTTCAAGGTATAATTTCACAAAATTCTGAACAGTATCATCTCCCGTGAAGTATCGGAGATCACATCTGATGCCTCTGGACTTCTGTATGTCATGCATGAAGAGCAGGCTGAGAATGGGCACAGAAGATAAATCGAGAATAGAGCATGGAGTGTCTGATGGGCTATGTGAAAGGCTCAATTCTGCTGCTGCCGTTTTCAAGGTGTTCATTAACTCGACATCATTCAGTAAACGGATATTATCTTGCGAGAGTTTACTAAACTGTAAAGATTTATTTGCCTCCGTAATTTTTTCGTCTGGCAAATGAACACTAACTTTGCCTTTAAAACAATTAACGTTCAGAGAAAGCTCTTCGCCAGAAGTGACGTAAACAGGCTTCACACATGGAAAAATGGCTTGCTCCCAGCAGCTTGCAACATTCTCAGTGTCCAAAGGAGATGTAGACAGGACAATGTTCTCGTCAAGGTTTACTTTGAAGAAACATGCAATAGCATCAACTCTACCGCAACATGTAACTTTTAATACTTGAGAATTCATTTCTCTCGTGCCATATAGCTGTGATAATCCCTCAGGATTATTTAAATTGGCAGTAATGATTTGCACGGGTTTTGATAAATAGCAAACATTATTAGACAGCCTACGAAGGTCTTCTGAGTCATAAGGTTCATCTAGGATTGCAACAAAGTTCCTTAAGTTGACTGAAGATAGCTCTGGTTGGTTTTTACAGTATCTATATTTTTTGGCAAGGTAGGCACTTTGAATAGGCACAGCATAGATGGTGACTGCTTGTGGTATGCAGCAACTTGGAGGCAGGGAACTGACTTCAATGCCTTTGGGGTTCAAAACTAGAAGCTCCTTCCAAGCATGAATTACCGTCTCCAGCAGGTTTTCTCCAAAAACTCCTGCATCCATGGTTTCAGTCACTATCAATGAGACTCTGAAAAGAACAAAAAAGCAAATAAAGATAAATAACAAACAGTTATTGCGGCAAATGACACTTGTAAAAAAACAATTACTGATACTTACTAAAAATTATTCCCCTCAAGAGCATTTACATAAACTAGATTTTGAGTTTGCATTTAGCAGAGAGAAATCTACACGATCACAGTGTTTTCTAAATTGTGAAATTTTTTCTCTTCTCTAAAGGATACTAAATATCGGTCAATAATCAAAATAAGACAATCATTTTCTTATAAAATGAAACATTTTTTGGTAGAGAAACAAAAATTATCCCCTACTGTAGACGTTTTTTTAAATCTTAATCTTATAATATATAAATCTATAAATGAAATCTATGTTCGTCAATCAACTCTGAACAGTTGCTCCGATTTTTGATCAATTTTCATGAAAATAACTCGGTATAAGGTGTTTTTTTTACCCGAAACTCGGATTTTGAGTCAAATTTTCATAAGTCGAAAATGTAAGATGGAGAATTTGGCCTTCTTATAATACATTTATTAAGATGTAATTAAGCAAGGAACTTATTGATCACATCAACTTACCTATTGGGCACATCATTCGGTATAGACAGCTCTGTGGATGTTTTCTCTATCAACTTGACTTTGTTCAAATACCCCATTTTTTGGAAGATTTCAGAGGCTATTTCAACCATTACAGGTGAGTGATCACATGCATATACTTGTTTGGCGCCATTTTCAACAGCAAAAATACTGAAAAAAGGTAAAAATGTGACCCATTAATTTTACATGGACTTATTGTCGGACTGCAACAGTCAAAAGTTATTCAGGGTGATCCAGAAGTCCTGCACCATTCCTTTAAGTATCAGGGTTCTTGACCATTTTTCGGGCGGATCCCTCTAAAATTTCAGAGGGTCCAAAAAATAATTTCCTTTGACCTGGAAGCACTCGCAAAATTTCAAGCCTTTATCTTACTTTGATCAAAGGTTACAGGGGTGATGCCTGGCACTGGTGGTGCAGTACTTTTGGTTAGCCCTGTACATTGTAGCCATCAGTCTTGCCATTTTGTTCAAACAACATATTAGCTGCAATTAAAAGAAAATCAATTCATTAGGAGTGATGGAAAGAGATTACTTAAAAAGGTGGTCCAGGAGGGTCTCATTGAAGAGTCCAGAATTTTTTCTGAAGTAAGCAATTTCAGAGAACTGAGTTGAAAATTCGGTCTTCGAGTGAAGAACCCTGTAACCTCTAAAGAAGGCATCCTTCAAGTAGCTGAAGGGGGCAATTCTAGCATGGTAAGTAGGTAGATTCCTACGTAACAAGGTGGAGAAATAATGCTGGGTCCACACCATTCTCAGGGAAGCAAAGCCAAGAAGTTTCGTAAAAATTCATCAGTTTCGTATTGGTACCCATTAGAGTTCAAAAATTTAATTTTGACTCTAATTTTAATTTTTGGAATTTCTTGGCTTTGCTTCCCCGCGAAATGGTGTGAACCCAGCACCATTTCTCCACCTTGTTACATACAGTTCGGGCCACTTCTTAGTGTTTCTTTTTTTTTTTTTTTTTATTCTTACGTAACTACAGAAAGGGAGTTACAGCTCTGAGGCATAGTGGAGGGAACCAATCTAGGAGAGTGCGCTCTGACCATAAAGATTAGACTTCCATATTGGGGGTAAGTAATCGGGTTGAATTCCTAAAGAGTAATTGAACTAAACGAAAAGTCTGCTGGTTTTTTTGTTACAATTTGACATTTTGCTTTGGTTCAGCACTATGAATACTATGAGAATCCCCCTCATCATTTGATAAGTGTGGACAAAGAAAAAGGTACAGTGCTTTTTTGGTTATCTTTTGTTTAAATGTAATCTTGTCTTGCATAAGATAAATTCATTCATTCGTTCTTACAGATGAGAAGAAATTAAACTCACCTCAATAGTCCTGTTCCTGTACCGATGTCCAGAATTTCAAGATGACCTTCTGCAATTTTTCTTGCGATAGCCTGTTTGTATGCACAATTTCGGACTTTATCGTTGAGCATTCGGAAGTGCCATCGCTCCACCAGTTTGTTGTACACCCCAGCCAAATTATGAAAACTTGGTATATGATTTGAATCTAACACCAAGCATTTTTTGTAAAACTTAGCAGCCTCTTTGATGTGTCCCAGCCTGAGATGGAAACATTCTTTGATTGTTAGAAAGCTTATAATTTTATAGGTTTTATACACAGGCCAAACTTCAAACTGTTCAGAAAAAGATTATATAAAAGGCAATACAAATATTTTCATAGGTTTTTATAGGTACCGATTTGTACTCACTGAAGTATGTACTACACTCATGTAAGTTTCAATCAATATTTATATAATCCCATTAAAACTTGGCAAAGAAAATGTTCGACAAAAAGAAGAAGAAAATTAAAACTCAGCGAAACAGAGAGCTGCAGAGTCATATTTTGGGGTCAAGATTTACTGGTACAGACAAAACTGACGCTATCGGAATACTGGCAAAACTAAATTCAGATCTTTTCACCTCCTATTATGATACAAATCTGCATAATTAAAAGATCAGTTCCAGACTATCTCATTAATTCAAGATGAAGAATGGAGAATAATCTGAGGGCACACTCAGGCTCCCAACTACAGTTAATAATTTGACGAATACTACCAATGATAAATTTACCAACAGACCACTGGATAGGGAGAGAAATTAGGCACTGTGGCACGCATGCTAACTCAGAGAAATTTCAGGTGGAAAGCGTTGAGTATATCAAAAACTTCCTAATTTAACTCATGGATGAGAAGTAAACATTCATACCTAGTTTGAATTATAAACAGTGAATTCAAACTTGCAGCTAACAAGAAAACCATTAGTAATGAAGACCTTGTCAAAGGAAAGTTAGTTCACAGGAAAATGATTCCGTTGTAGGGTATAATGAAATCAGTTCAGTTCTCAATTTGATTCAAGTAGACTCTTAAACGTAGACTCTCTCTATGTGAGTAGGAGGTATGAATTAACAGAGATGAAAACCGTCGTTACTCGACTTGTTCGTTAAAATTGGAAAGTCCTAATGCGTCCATTGTATTCTACATAAAAATTTGATACAGATTACGGGACACAAAAATTTGATTAGGTATACATTCAAGGTTTGACATCAAACTTGGACTTCTCAAGAATTTGGCACCAAATGCAGCTTGAAAAAATATAATTCCCTGCCAAAAAATTTCAATGCATGACTCACTAGCCTACACTTACAGAATTACTGAAATTACAAGTTGTTTTCCATAATACTGACCTGTCATTATAATTTCATTGGCTAAGTGAATATTTCAACAAAATTTTACAAGAGCAAATTTTGGTTTTGAATTTGATCATAGGTATGCAGAAAGTTCTTGGCCATCCCATTTTTTGAATTGACCGTTTTCTTTTTAAAAGACCCCTATTTTCCTCAAAATTTCAAAGTGATGACCTGCTTGAGGCTCTGTACATACGAGTTGCTACGATTTTGCAAAAAACGCTCGATTTTTACCAACTTGAGGCAATACTTAAATACGCGATTCTGCACAAAATACGCAATTTTGCTAGCCTTTTCATTTGTAAAGCCTGTTTTTTGGGTCCTGCTCCTTCTTGTACGCAATTGATCACAACCTGCCGGGTTGTATGCTAAAGAAACTTTTGCACCCCTGTTTGATTGGACTAGCATTGGATTACATTAGGTTTTTACAGACCCTCCTTTTTGTGCAGAACTGATTTAATAGTACTTCATTCAGATAAGCCCATTGCTATGCATCACAAGCCACAGTATAACAAAGCCACTAGGTACCACTCATTATTTTTGTAAAACCAGCCTGAGCCTGAAAATATTGTATCATGTTACTTATTTTACAATGAAACAACCTTTTGATTAGACACGATTGATAAAGTTCAGAAATATCACAGCTTGCAATACTTTAAAACTGATTACAAACAAATTGTACCCTGTATTTTTGTCCGGATTACGGTTGAACTAAAGCACTAAAATTGGATAGCTGACAACTTCAGTTGATAATTTCATACACGAGAAAAATTTGTTGGGCTGAGTTTCAAAAACTGAGGTCAAACTTTGGAACCACTCATTCAATTTTTCATCATTTATCAAGTTGCTGGGCGTGCTGAAGGAATACAAATTGAAAATATATGAGAAATTTTCAACAATGTACGTTGCTGAGACTTTTGACAAACTTAGTGGCCAATTGGAAAGGCAATTATCTGAGGGGTCCTTTGACCAATAGACCGACGGATAATTCAAGAGTATACCAAATATACACGGTACACACCAATCACCATGGCACTTTAAGTCGAAGTAGTTTGATAACTTTTCAACATGCCGAGTCTCATTAAACATTTCTAACTGCTCCAGAAGGCCTTTGATCAAAGGTTTTATACATGAATCTATCTCAGAAGTGCACACAGTAATGGGTTCGGTTAAGCCCATTGAAACATCAATAAATTTAGTTTTCTTGAAAATATCACTCTTTAAATTACAAATGACAGCCTCTAGATTGATGACAAATACATCTTCTTTAACCTTCATGACAAAAACATTTGAGCTGAGACGACACTGCACTTTGAGATCCCAAATCAAGTTAGCAACAGTTTGAGCAGTCACTCTTGGACCAACATCCCAGAGGAAACTAGGTTTAATCTCGATATGCACAGCAGTGATATTTGAGATGAGAAAGTCAAAATTTCTCCTCCATTGGCGAGCCTTAAGGTGTTTCGAAAGGATCGATGTTGCCATTGATTTTTTCTCCATTTTTAAAGGCAGCTTACTCTGTTTGACCAAAACAAGGACAGAAAAATCAATTAAGCTCCAGGCATGTGCAGCTAAAACCAGTAAACCAGGAGAGAATTGTGATGTTCACTAAAAATATACTACGTTGACGCTATTTTGCTTCAAAAATTTTCACAAGAAACGATGTGCATATTCATATATTAACGCCCAGGAGGAAGAAACTAAAGAATGGGTTTCATGTTACTTAAATTAAATTATTGCAATATTTTTTTACTCAAGCTTCAGAGAAGTTACAGGGTTGGGCAAAAATTCCTGAATGGTAATCTAGGATGATGCACTGCAAAAGGACTTAGAAGTCTAAAACTCTTTCGTTAGGAATATATTGAAAATCAAAAAATATTTTAGACAAACCTTCAAAATAAACCTGCCATACTTAACTTCATTGATTCATATTTGTATCAGCTGAGATTGAATGAAAAACTTGGGATAAGATACTGAGTATTTCTTTTAAAAGTTAAAGAGATGTAAAATGTTTGCAAGGGTTCTTGCAGCAGGTTTTAGGATGGTTACAAAGAAGCAATACAACCAATGGGCTACAAATTTTATAGGGCATTTGAGCTACAATGAAAAAAAAGGAGCAACTGCTGTCAATGGTCTCCTCACTGGCTGACAAAATTATGCTCTTTTTGAGTTTACATTACTGACAATATTGCTGGCTAAAGAATGGTAAGATACCAAAACTTTGTAGGAAAATAAGTCAAATGTGCTTAGAGATCATGGTTTTCTATTTCTTAATTTCTTTTTCCGTCTTGAGATTCTTCTATTTCCCCAGATTTATGAAAAAGATCAAATTTCTTCCCTTCTTTCTTGCACCTCATTTAAATTATGACGAGTCTTCGGACATTGTGCAATTTCTTATGACTACGCAAACAAGTCTTTTTATTTGCTAAAGTCCTTCAGACGCCTGTCCATTCATGTGCAAAATTATCTGGTGGCGCTGTTGCTATTGAAAAATTTCTACACCCTGAAATATTGATCACTATTCTGGTGATGGTCACATGATCAGGTAGCTGATAATAATGAAATCTTTTTACCTGTTCAGTTGGTTGGCAAGACTAAAATGTACGTCAACGCTGTCTCCATATGAAGAAATTGCTTGCTCATAACACACAAAAAGTTCACTGAGTTTCTCCTCAGACTCTAGCTTATCACACCAAGTATCTGAAAATTTCCATTATTATTTAGGCAACTGATGTGTGACTAAGTTTTCTGAGGTTACCAGGAGCAGCGAAGAAAACAGGGTAAAAATAATAGGTAGAACTGGGGAAAGAAAAGCTTGAACGAAAGTCACATCAACCTGAATTCATGAATCATCAGTCGGCTCATTAGTTAGCACATAAATTTCTCTTGAATGGAGCCATTTTCTGTTGTAACATTTGTCCAATCTTTTTCCCCCCCAGGTCTAAGGGTAATTTTTTGGCAATTGACTTTTGGTTGAAAAACACTCCATATAGATTTATTAATCAATTTTTTTTAAATCCTGAGAAATTAAAAGTTACTGAGGATGGGTCATTTTTGAACACAGATGTTGAAATAATGCACAACAACCTGTTTTTCCTCTTGCTTAATACCATTTTGTTTCACTTGTCAATGCTGAAACTGTAAAAATACGAATATCTGTTACTTAGGGTGTTTCCAGATCGCTGCTTCTCATTTTTCTTTAAGAGAAAGCTGGACCAAAATCATAGCTTTAACTCTTCACAGAATATTCTTTACAAAGTGAGAAAAAGTCTCCGAAGTTTTCAAGAAATGAAGTACAGTAATATTCTATGTAGAAAATAAAGAATGATAGGAAGTCCGCGACAAGGAGAATTACAATATGCAGTTATAAAGTTCTACCAGCGTCATGTTCTTCCTTAGAACTGCCGCAGATTAGTCCGCAATTTTTTATCAGTCGAACTGTTAGAATTGAACCAGTTATTTATTCTTTGATCTTGAAACTCATCAGGCAACCAGAATCTTTTTCATAATATCAAAATATTACCAAAAATACGATTCCTTTCCCAGATGCTGCATAAGTTTCAATTTTAGGAAAACTTTTTCTACAGAGAACACAGAAAATCGTGGGATGTTATTTTCAGGTAGCCCTTTGTGATGTACTACTGCCACCCTAGTACTCAGGTTGAGACATGCAGCGACTGTCAACATTGGGCGGTGCTTGAACAAATTTTTTTAGCGGTGGCCAGAGAAAATCTTACGTTTGAGTGAACGTATTCAATGGCTAGGTTCAAATAGTTGGTTCTTGAAGTTACCCTTCGTTTCAAACACTTATGCATATTTGGCGCCATCACCTCCAGCCATGTGTGTAGCTCCTTCACAATAGAAACTACAGTTTGAGTTTGCGCAAACCAATGATGTTGACCTTGATGATTTTGTTTTGTAGGTATGAAGGGTATGGAGGTTGAAAAATGTTTCACTTTCGTTGGCCACAAAACTCTGCGTTGAGCCAAATGTAAATCAAGGCGATCTCTAATAACAGGCTAAAGGTCACTATGTTCTAAAATTATGAGGAATCAGTTCCCACTGGTGAATTTACTGATTCAAATGAGGAATTTTTTAGTTTAAAAGTACTCACATAGGCAGGCTAAATAGACGTCTCGCAGGTCAGCTTTCAGTGCTGGTTCTAGAGTCAGAGCTAGGGAAAAATGTGCAAATGCTCTACCATACTGCCCCTCTTCAAACATTGAGAGCCCAAGATTTCTGTGGATGCTGGCAATCGACTTTGCATTTGCCTGTGGAATCATTGCTGGAGCCGAGCAAAAGAAGAGACATAAGTACCTGTTCCGCTTGACCACTAATGAAAGTTAGGAGGTACGTACATGAGCTACCTCACCAGTTAATGAAATGTAACGAACGGAGCCCTTGTAGTTTCTTTAAAACCAAATTATATTCCAAATCACGAATACTTAGATTATGTACTATAATGAATCAAGCTTATCGGAGTGAATGTGAACAGATAACGAAATCAAAACGAAACACAGATGGCCCCCTCGCCGGGTTCACAAGATCAAAACATTGAGTTGCCAAATTAACGCAAAAATATTGAATTGATTTTAAAGAAGGCAACACCGCACTAGAACCAAAGATTATCTGTAAAGAGAAATAAAAAAAAAAACAACAACAGAATTTCCGATATTCCCAAATATTTGATAATCTCGGTGTATCTCGTTGGCCTCTTGTCTTATTATCATATCAGAGGCCCCTCACCCCTCATGTATGTCAATATTTTAATTAATTTAATTGGACAAGCAACTCCCCTCGTTCCTTGTGTGTAATGAAGTAAATCAATTGTAAGAAATTGTTCCTCATAACTTGAGTTTTTGTGTGTCGTGTATGCTGTTGAGTCTTCACTTTTCCCGAGATGAATTTAACTGGTGAGAAATCTAGTACTTTTCTACGAACCATTTTCTTATGTTCATCCTTTTTTAGGTCTGACAAAATTACTTGAGATACCTTTTTACTATCAATTACTGGACAACATTATGTACATTGGTTCTTGCCCAAGGTACTTCTTGATGTGTGGAGTGCGACAATATTTGCATTCTTTCAACTCCAACGCATCGCCCATAGGCGAATCGAATTTCCCTCCGAAGCTATCGATTAATAACTCGACCTATGCGCTCCTATACCGGTCCCCATTTAATTGTATTCATCCGTGTTGAACTGACAATGAACAGGAAGGATTACAATGTCAGTACGATTTTGAAACTTTGAAGGAGTTGGACCTTGTGAACTGGTCATCAGCCGCAAAGTTCCCTTACGCCTTGTCCCTTGTCCAGGAATCTGATTTTAATACTTACCATACCCAGCTGCTTGATTTTTTAAATTCCAGTCGGCATGAGGAGGCGTCTGTAATCGATATATTACTCTGCGATAGAAAGGGCTATGTCTCATCTTACCTTGCCAACTAAGTCAAGAATAGTTTTAAGAAATCAGGCTGCCAGAAGCAGCATAATTATCTACAGGGAGTGCAGAAAATCATCCCTTTAATATGGGGGTAATCGCATACTTCAAACTGAAGAAATTAGTCTACCTAGTTTGTCTCAACCTCAACAAACATAACCTGTTAACTATTTCCATGGAGCTCAATTGGCGGGCAATTTTACCGCCCATACGACTAGCACTCTCTGAGAAAAATATTGCCTACAATTTGCCTTTGGTGTTCAACCTACTGCCTGAAGCCTTCAGGCGTAGGTTGATCACCGAGGGCCAGTTGAGTGCACCCAGTCTTCTCAGAGAGTGGCTTAGTAACGTATCCTAAACCGAGCAAAAACTCTCTATGCCTTCTTGTTTAAATCATTCATTAGGGTCTTAAATTTTAATGTGTTCTTTCTTTTTCTTCTCTTTTGTTTTTTACTTTGTTATATTGTCACTAAGTTCTTAGAAGACTGAGCTGAGTAGGCAGTGGTGCCAATCATCTATGATTTCTTTTATTTCTTTTTCAATTAGTTTATGTTTTACTACTTTTGCCACACGAGGCTAGACCTCTTGGCATTTTTTATTTTGTAGTGGCCTTAATTTAAATTGTATTATGTTTTTTTCTTGTATTAATAAAATGAATCTGAAATCTGAAATCAAGAACTAGGCAAACACCATTTGAAGAAATTCATGTCATTTGCCACCATGTATGAGTGATATATTCATGTGTACTTTTAAGTAGGATAGGCGGAATTGAAGGAAAATGTAGCAAGTCGCATTGTGGTAACAAATAAGTCGGGAAAAGTTTTGGATTCAACTATTCATTAATTTTTCTCAAGTAAGGTTTGCATTTCTGTAAAACTCCGTCCATGTGATACTGAATTTTTTGGAACCAAAGATCTGACGGAGGACACGATTATTGTAAATTCTACTTCAGATTTGTTCACTTTGGTGAAGGGTTTACTGATTTAAATCAGGGTTCATTTTCTAAATGTTCAAAGAAGTGATTTCTTTAATTTGTTGTGTAAATCTGTGCAAAAGCTACATCAGACCAAAAATTTTACTTTAACTTTGAAAGTGATCCAAGATATGATACTTTAAATTTTCATTTGTATCAATGAACATTTTCTAATCTGTTTTAAGTAAAAATCCTTTCATTTTGTTTTCTACAGAAGCAAGAACTATTCTGAGGAGATGGCGGGAAGAAAATGTCCGCAAAAGTCAGAGTGTCGTAGACATCTATGAGACAGTCGTGGGTTCAAAAATTCACAAATTAGGAGATGAAAGTAAGAAATTCTCATTCAAAATTTCTTTTAGCCAATTCCGTTTTTATAGCTATTGTAATATATCTTTCATGTCTAAGATGGAAAGAATAAATTATTATTTGCTTTTATTCAATGCTAAATAATGATTTCTGCTATAAAAGAGTAAACCGTGATGAAGGAAGTATTCTCTACCACAAGATTTTTGAAAAAAAAAACTATTTACTTAGCTGTAACTATAACCTAAGCTCAATACAGATAGTAAAACTTTTTGTTGAACTTTCCTCTCGCTTTTGCAAACGAGAAGTTGGATCATGTGTTAGTGACAAGAGACCACAAAAGTCAGATGGAAATTAGAACAGTTACTTGAATTTGACGTCACCTTCAACTTTCTGTTCAGCTGTCCATCCAATTAGACAGAAAGTTTGATAAAAAGTATCATACAATCTCCAGATTTCAAGATTTATTTATTTCAAAAATCTAAATTTACTTTTGTACAATGAAGTACAATAAAACAGCTCCATATGTCAAAAGTGAGCTTGTGTGGCATATGTTACTAAACCAAATAAAATAAACAACAAGAAAATAACAAAACAATGGTTGGCATAGCCGGACAGATCAAAAAAATAATATTTTTAAGGCTCAATAGAAAGAGAAAAATTTACGACAAAAAAAAAAGTGAAATTAAGAATGCAGAAGAAAGACAAAGTATGAATGAATAACTAGAAGAAGTGGTACCTTAATTAATTGTTAAATTAAGAGGAAAATGAACAGAATTTATTTCATCGCCTGGAGTCATCAACCACACCACATTTTAGGTCGCACAAGATTTGATTAATGTAACAATAACTTAGAACTTTTGTCAGATAAGTTGGCAGTTGCTTACTTTTAACTGTATACAGCTTTGCGCCTCTGCGCAATGGTGATGGTCAATCCTGGCTGGTTAATGAACAACTGCAACGTAGTTGCTTGCAAACAGAAAGTAAACAACTGCCAATTTATCTGTCATGAGTTTTATCAATTACTCGATTGCTAATGCTATCAATGTTTTTACAGAGTATTTAGTTTTAGAGCAAGTCACTGTCGCAGCATTTGATTGTCATCGTATGGAGCTAGCCCGTCAATGTCTAGGACAGCTTTCCAACGCCTTTCCTGGAAGCATAAGAGTTAGACTTCTCCATGTCCTTGGATTACAAGCTGCTGAAAAGTAGGTTTTTATTTGTACTCTTCCCTATCTTGTATTCACATTTATTTCATTAAAGCACATACATGTACATCTTCGAATGTGCCCACTTCTTCAAGACCTCAATCCTCCGTCTTCATTACTTGTCACTCCAAAGAATAATACTTGATAGAAAGAAGTAAATCCAAGGGGAAAATTGTGGAAACAAAGCTGAAAATAGACATGGGATCAACCGTTGGTTGTTTGGATGTCTTTCATCATTACCAACTGCCGAGAGAAAAAATTCAACAAATATTCATAGAACCAATTAGGTGGTGATGTATACTGACCATATCTAAGAAAGCAGGAATTAGGTCATCTTAAGGTTATTTATGGTGTCGCGGATAAGTTGGTACTGGGTGTTAAACGGACTGAAAAGTTTAAGAGTCCAACTTAACGCGCATGTAAAATGTTAAATTATGGGAGAGCAGAATTTGGATAAATAGATGAGTCAAACTTCGTTGGATGGAAAACCGGACGCTTTATTCAGAACTACTAACAATAAGATTTGACTTTGACTTTGATTGAGCGAAAAGAATATTAGCACGAGGCTTACGCTAGGATGGTAGGAATCGAAGTAAGGTACAGAAATCTCTCCAGCCCTTATGAGGGGTGGAAAAGCATGAGCAAATATCGGTTCACATTGCATCAGCCTGTCGTTACAAAGATTAGATTAATTATTAGATGAATTAAATGAATTTGCTGATAGGATGTAAAAATCGGAGTGAGGCTCGAAAAGTTGAAGACTGAGAATTTAAGAGAGAGATGGAAGAAATGTGTAAGAAAAGGATGGATGAAAAACTTAGAACGTTGCATGGATGCGACATATGGCATCCAAAAGTTGAGAAGAATTGTTTTATGGTATCCGCTCTTCTACACAAGATTTGATTGAACACTGGCAAGACATTTGGATATCCTATGGGAAGATGTATGAACTGAACCAACAATTAAGCGCATAGACTGGTCCGGTCTATGCACTTTTTTTAACCTGTGATTTTGAAAGACAGAAGGATGATCTTCTGTCAGATGTTTAAGTGGATATCCATCAGTGTCTTACATTTTTACTAACCTCATAATTTTAATTTTTAGAAAGAATTGAAACAAACTTTCATACCATTCTGCGTAATAATCTTTCTTCAATATTTTTTGTAATAATGCTCTAATTGTAAGTACAAATTTTTTACTTGTTTTCTGCCTAAATATTAACTTTGAATGGTATTGTTTTGATAGTTATGATGTTGCCAAGGATGTCTTGGACTCAATTATTCAAGCTGATCCAACGAATCCTTTACCAAAGAAACATGAAATAGCGATGTTTATTGCACTTGGAAAAAACCAGCTGGCCATTAGAATGCTAACGGAATACTTAAAGAGGTATATCATTTAACCTGACACCGGTTTTTACGTTACTCATATTAAATGCTCAGTACATCTGTTTTCCTTATTTTTTTCAAAAAGCCACTTTTCGGAAAATCGTCCCCTAGGTTAAACAATTGCACATAATATTCTGTAACCACTTGAAAAGTTATTTTCTTCCTTTCTTTGATCTGTACAAAACATACTAGAAAATAATTCTACATTACTGAGAATTGAAAAAAAGAAAGATTATCTCATCAAGTCACAGACGCTCCAGGGTTATGAACAGCCCCTTTATCAATAGGCTTTACAAAGAAAAATGAACAAAACTGGAAAAGGATGAAAGGAATTTAAACCACCATAGAAGGTCTCTGGAATTTTTTTGTTTACTTAGTCCACTCATTCCTCTTTTTTATTTCAAAAACAATTATGGCTATTCTTTGGCTTGTTTTCTTGTATTTGTCGCAGGCAATTAGAAATTGCTGGCAATTTGCAAGCAGCTTGTTTTGACAAACGGCAGTAATGTGCATCGGCACAAGAAAGGTTTGGTTGGTAATGGCCTTTGAAATCAGGATCTTGGCTTAGAGTGCCGTCATTTTCCCATAATACTCTAAAGTTTTGTTGTGCAGTTAGTTCAGTTTCCTGTCTGACCCAAACGCAACTAAGGTGACTAATTTCACCCTGCTCATGTGCATGTGCCAGTTCCTATCATGTTTTCATAGAGGACAAAGAGTCTATTCTAAATGGAGGCAAAATAATCAACTTACTCTCTGCTTGTTCCTTGATTTCTGAATTTTTGATTCTCTATTTATCATTTGTGGCTTGCCAATTGTTGGCAATTGCTGATTGCCTTGATATATCTATCTATCTAGAGGAAAGAGCATGGTCTGGCACTTGGGTGGGAAAGGGCAATCTCTACATTCTCACTAACAATTCCCTGCATTTCTCTGTCAATTTTCGACTTATTTTTTTAGCAGAGTCTGGCGATTTATAAATTAATCGAAGGAGATGATGTAGGTGTTTTATGCCTAATTCATAAGTATGTTTCTTTTCAATAATGTTTTCTTAGATTTATGGCTGACCAAGAAGCTTGGCAAGAACTGTCCTCACTTTATTTGATCGAACAAGACTATGCAAAAGCTGCATTTTGTGCTGAGGAGCTTATTTTACACGATCCCCATAGTCATTTATTACACCAATATCTAGCGGAGATAAGATATACTCAGGTGAGTAAAAGAATAATCTTTTTTTCATATTTTGTTTTTCTTCCAAAGTTGCTCTTCATGCTGAAAGTTGAATGAAAAGTTGAATGTTAATGAAAATTGAAACCACCTCCATTTAAACAAATCGCACCAATCTATTTCATTTCTTTTCATAAGTTATCAAGTGCATAACAGTGCAAGTAGGTATCACATTTCTTTATCCATTGGATAAAATGCTTTGTTTATGGCTCCTTTTTAGCCTTGAAGAAATAATTAATAGGGAATCAACAAGTGATGCGGCTATCATACCAATTCGAGGATGCTTCACAATGAATTGATAGATTTGCTATCTAAACCTATTGGAAAAGGATCGGTTATCAGGGTGTTCACTTCAAACACTTTAATAATGGATTCTTTACCACAGCAACAAATGGAAAAATATCGATTTTCGATTATATATGCCTTACCACTGTTGTTGCGTCATGAAGAAATCATGGTATTATTGTGCAAACCAAGTTACGAACATGCCAGCACATTACTTTGTTAGCTCTGTGCTTCTCTTCCACCTTTCATCAGGAAATAATCTTCTTTCTTGAGTCTGTTTATAAAGATTTTTTGTAAGGAAGTTGTCAAGTATTTACTCATCTAAAGGAGGAGTAACGTTTTGGGCCTTTTCCGGCCCCACCTGGATTTTGCTAAATGTTTCATATTTTCAAAGTACTAGTCTTAGGTAGACTCTGTGCCAAATATTAGACGGAACGGAGCCCATGCAAGGGCGCAGCAGCGCCTCAAACCCAAAATCCTGGAATCGAAAAATAATTATTTTTGTCGACTTTTTCGACCATTATCACTCTTCCAGCAGATGATTCTTATGTAATTTATTGCGTACTTTCCGTTTCTGGACATTTTAAAGTCCTCCAATTAATTTTAAGGGGCCTAATGGCCCATTGTTGCCATTTTTGGCCCATTTTTAGGGGTTTTTTCCATTTAACACATTCAAAACTTAATTTAATCCAAAAACTGTGTACATTTTTTGAAAAGTACGTAATAAAATGAATAAATAATGTTCAGTAAAATTTTTTCCTGCGTTGCCAAATTTCCGAGAAAATTGGTCCCAAAGTGTCAAAAACGGCAAAAAATCGATAAATCGCCGCGTCTAAGGTTCAAGAAAGTGGAGTACAACTTTCATATTGTACCAGGTATTAGCTCTTATCCATCTATACAACATATTAAAATATCATAGTTGTACCTGGATTCCCACGATGTGAAAATTGACCGAGATGTCGATTTTAGCGGCCTTTTTTTACTTGAAGGTAGCTCTTTTGAATGTTTTTCGACCTTAGTCACCCTCTATGGTTGTGAACTATATGTATTTTTCTACGTACTTTTCATATCTGGCCATAAAAATGGCTTCCTGTGAATTTTAAAGGGCCTAACGGTCCATTGTTGCCAATTTTCACCAATTTTTAGGGGTTTTTTCAAGTTTATGTGTGTGAAACTTACTTTAATCGAAAAACCGTGTACATTTTCGGAAAGAACGTAAAAAAATACATAAAAATGTGATTTGTACCTTTCCCCTACGTTGCCAAATTTTCGAGAAAAGTCGTCCTAAAGCGCCAAAAATGCCAAAAATCGGATTAATCATCAAGTCGAAGGTTCCAGGAAGTGAATTTCAAGTTTTCTTTCACTACAAATAACGTATCGAAAATGGAAAATTGCAATGCATCTCACGGAACATGTAATGGCGCAGATGAACGTAACAAAACGGGCCCTCAAGGTGCTTTTACTTTATCCTTCACTCCAGTTCACCTCTTTATTCCTGTAACCTCGAGATAATCCTTGGTCCTCAAGATGCTTGCTACAGGCCAAATATACCGAACAACAGAAAATGCGTGGAAAAAGCGTCTCACGATCCACATGAAAGTCATAATTCACTTCCTGGAACCTTCGACTTGATGATTAATCCGATTTTTGGCATTTTTGGCGCTTTAGGACGACTTTTCTCGAAAATTTGGCAACGTAGGGGAAAGGTACAAATCACATTTTTATGTATTTTTTTACGTTCTTTCCGAAAATGTACACGGTTTTTCGATTAAAGTAAGTTTCACACACATAAACTTGAAAAAACCCCTAAAAATTGGTGAAAATTGGCAACAATGGACCGTTAGGCCCTTTAAAATTCACAGGAAGCCATTTTTATGGCCAGATATGAAAAGTACGTAGAAAAATACATATAGTTCACAACCATAGAGGGTGACTAAGGTCGAAAAACATTCAAAAGAGCTACCTTCAAGTAAAAAAAGGCCGCTAAAATCGACATCTCGGTCAATTTTCACATCGTGGGAATCCAGGTACAACTATGATATTTTAATATGTTGTATAGATGGATAAGAGCTAATACCTGGTACAATATGAAAGTTGTACTCCACTTTCTTGAACCTTAGACGCGGCGATTTATCGATTTTTTGCCGTTTTTGACACTTTGGGACCAATTTTCTCGGAAATTTGGCAACGCAGGAAAAAATTTTACTGAACATTTTTTATTCATTTTATTACGTACTTTTCAAAAATGTACACAGTTTTTGGATTAAATTAAGTTTTGAATGTGTTAAATGGAAAAAACCCCTAAAAATGGGCCAAAAATGGCAACAATGGGCCATTAGGCCCCTTAAAATTAATTGGAGGACTTTAAAATGGCCAGAAACGGAAAGTACGCAAAAAATTACAGAAGAATCATCTGCTGGAAGAGTGATAATGGTCGAAAAAGTCGACAAAAATAATTATTTTTCGATTCCAGGATTTTGGGTTTGAGGCGCTGCTGCGCCCTTGCATGGGCTCCGTTCGGTCTAATATTTGGCACAGAGTCTACCTAAGACTAGTGCTTTGAAAATATGAAACATTTAGCAAAATCCAGGTGGGGCCGGAAAAGGCCCAAAACGTTACTCCTCCTTTGCATGTGGCAAGTCTCATCTCATCAAATTAAAATTAGAGGTGTTTGACCTTCATACTGTTTTAAAAGTTTTATTTTAGATTTCTTTAAAAAGAGAAGAAAATTTAACACTCCAATTTTTATTTATCAAACTTTTATAGTCCTATCTCACTGTCAACTAATTGAAATTGTTCTATTGCCACAGGGTGGATTTGAAAATTTAGAATTAGCACGCACACATTACTGCGCTGCCATTAAACTAAATCCCAACAATATGAGGGCATTGTATGGTCTTTTACTGGTAAGTATCTCTCTTTTTAGTTTAATTATTACGTCAATTTTCTACATACTTTCAAGGGAATCATTTTTATAGAAGTAAAAGGATAGTAGAATAGTGCTGGGTGTACACCACTCGTTCACTATTCTTCACCATTCCCCTTTAAGATTGAATCTTTCTCCAGCAGTCCTTATCATGCAGTCTTTGTTATAGTCTAGTTTGATGCAGTCTTGTTGCAATGTGTGTTACAATGCGGGAAAATAATTAAGGGAGCTCAATCTTTCTACTGAAGAGAGATTTTTTTCCTAAAGATTGTTACTTTAGAAGAAGTGAATACTGTTTTTTTTATCTTCTGAACTTTCATTTTATACATCATTTTGTCTCACAATATCTCAAAAAACTTCCGCACTATGTTGCCCCTCAATATCCATTACAAATAATCAAATTCCCGTTTTTTTAATTGCAGACGGTTACCAATATAATCGGTTCACCCAAGTGCACTGCTACGAAAAGGAAAGAGGCAACTAAATTACAAACCTGGGTGTCAAAGCTAATCCAGAATCGGTAAGTTCTCAGAACTCTTTTGTAGACGCTAGTTTCTTCATAATCGTCTCCTGATTTTCACAGAGACACATCTAGATCAGGTGATAAACCAAATCAAGGTTTAAATTTTAAGGATTGCGTTGAATTTTGCTTTAGAAAGCAGTTGTCAGGAACATGAACAATTGATATAGTCCTAGCCTTGTAAATGAAGTGTTATAAAACTTTACTTACTTAACTTACAAAATGGCAAATTAGATATATAAGTCTATTGCCTCAGAGAATGTCAAATCGGCCTATCGCACACTTTTGCTAGAGCAAAAATTAGAGTTGTCTTTTGTAGAAAATGTCTCAAAAATCATGATGAGCGCATTGGCAAATTCTGAAATTCACCCCTAACTTCATAATCTGCATAAGAAATTTTCATTTTTTTGAGCCTCCCGCTTCAAAAACAATACTGCGGCACAGGTGAACATTTTGTCAGAGGAGGTGTTCCATTCAACCCCTGCTCAATAGGATGTTTCGCAATATTCATCATGGCTGACGCTTCCGCGTGTAGGTCGAGGAAATCAAGGCAGATATCTCTAAACAGTCCTAACGCAAGGAAAATGTAAATGTAAACACCCCAATTGTTACCGGGTGGTTAGTACCTGGTCCTGTCACTCACGTTTTGGCGGAATGGCGTCTGCCATATTAAATATGGAGTAGCATCCTCTTGAGTAGGAATTAGATGGAACAACTCCTCTAATGGAATGTTCACCTGTGCCATAGTGTCGTTTTTGAACCGGCAAGCTCAAAAAACCTCAAATTTCTTATGCGGATTGCGAAGTTAGGAGTGCATTTCAGACTTTGCTGATGCACTCATCGTAATTTTTGAGATATTTTCCTTAAGGTTTAACCCTTATTTTTGCTCTAGCAAAAGTTTGCAACAGACCCATTACATCCCTCCATTCACAAATTTTTGCTCATTCTTAATAGCACGGAACTACTGTCAGCTCGCCTTTCATAGCCCAGTAGTAAATTGCGACTGACACAGGGTTGCAGATAGTGAAACCTGCAGGATTACGTGTACCCAAAAACCCATGTTGTATGTTTAGTTTGTTGTGTTACATGTATGAAAACAAGCAACTTCTCTTTCAGGTATAAAAACGTTAGTGGCAACAAGGATGTCAAAGCTGTAGAGGGTCTATTCAGTTCTCTTCAAATTAGCAGTGTCAGTTCATCGTCTTCATTGTCAGGGTCAAAATCTAGTTCACCCCGTGCACTAAAAGACAAAAACTCAGACTCCTTATGAAAATAGGCCCCTCCTGGCAATTTTGATCGATTTCAAAGGTAATTCACAAGGTCTTTTTTTGTAGTTAACACACACTGACTTTCAACCCATTTTAAAGAATATTCGGGAGGATAGTCGTTTTATTAAAAGGCTCATAATTCTACAGTAGGAATGACTGTTAGTTGAGATGCAGGAGAAATAAAAATGCCGAAAATGAAAGTCATCAGATTGGCAAAGTATGTGAAAATGTTTTTTGTTCCAATTAAAAAGAAGGAGAGAACGTAAGTGATGATGAGTAGAGAAGCAGAAATATTCGGATAAATTATTATTTTCCATATTAATGCGCTTGAGTTATGAGATGACCCTGAATTTGATTACACCACTGCACATACTTAGATCAAAACTGGCGTGATAGCTGAAAGGTGTAAATTATCTGTTACACTTTCTAGGTGGACTTCTACAGGATTTTTTTCATCCAATGAAATTTTTTTTCCTGGATTTCAAAAACTTGTACAGCAATGCTTGGATTATTTGACCACTGATCATTTGCCGCTTCAGTAATTTGCCACTGTCAAAATTTAGTTTTTGGTCAAGAACAAGTTAGTATTTCACTATTCGTGGCGGCGCAAATTTTGGCAATTTACGAATAGTGCGCGAGTCAGATGAAGCGAATATTCGCACAGCCCTAAAAGTTTTACTTACCATAATGAACAATAGCCAGATTTATGATGAATAGCTTTGACAGGAAGACTGCAAATGCGCCCATGGGCTGCTAGTTGAGTATTTAAAAAAAAATTGCAAAAATTTTAAGTTTTTCAATCTCTCTTTCCATTTCTTTTCTGTTTTATGATTCTTCTTTTCTTCTTGATGAATAATTTTTGTTCTGTTTTTTTCCATCTCCAGGCCACTCATCAAATTTGGTCTCCATTACAACTTTCACTGGTCCCCAATTTCAGTGATAATGCTGACATATTTCATGGAATTTCGTGCTGTTCAAGTATATTCCAAGGCTTTGTCACTCTTATCAAAAGTTCAATATCAAACCACACCGATATACTCTATAAACATGCACCAAATTCTAAGCTGTGTTGGAAATGGCTCGAAATTCAAGCTTTTTCTCAAATGGAATTTTTGCTGTTTTCTTTTTTTTTTGTGTGTGTGTGTAAATAACTTTATGATCCTCATATTTTATCTACACTGGCTTTTTTTAATTGTTATCAAGAACTCCTGCTTGATATTTCTACTTCTTTGGCTTTTTAAAAATTTTCTGATCACTCTTTTTTTTGTCATTGCCATAGACTGATTCAGACTTACATCAGAGATATCATCTGTGCAATATGTACAGTTCTCTTTCTCTATAACGACATTTGTTAAAACCAAAATTTCTTCATAGTAAAAGAACCGCCCAGTACATGACCTGCCCTTGTTACTTATCACCGTTTGTCACAAGGAAAATTTCTCCATTACGAAAAATCGTTCGGTCCTATGCTGATTTGTTATGGAGAGAGAGTATTTTATCAGTTCATTTCTGTTTTTAAGATTGAAAGAGGTTAGGCTTATGTAATAGGTTAGATCCAATTTAATTTGATATATGCCTCTTTCAATGAAGAATACCACTGGCATTGTAATGTCTGAGCTGTTTTGTAATAATTTACATTACTTTTCAAGTACTCGTGTTCCCTTAAACCTGTCGTGCCTGGGTTATTTTTTACAAATGCTTGTTGTCCTTGGTCTTGTTTGTTAAATTTATTCAAGCAAGAACTGAACTTTTCAATCTGCTAGGAGACTCATCAAAAGTCATTTTTGATGAGAGAATCTTCTGTATTTCCTACGATCTTTATAATTTGTGGAAACATGAAAGTGATGAATTTCATTTTTGTCTAACAAGTTTTTTCATGTCTAACATGAAACATATTTACACGTAATTCTAAAGCATGGACTGTTAGAAAGTCATCCTCTTGAAATGTTACGTTGGAATAAGTATTCAAATTCTTACTTTTCGCAGCCTATTTGTTTTTTAAAACTGACTTTATCATGTAATTTTTTGGTACTTTGTCAGCCGTTTCAAATATTCTATACCGTTCTTTTAAATATTTTTGGAAAGGAACTGTCAGATTTCCAGCACTAATGTTCATTGCTGCGGGGATAAGTGGAGAATTGGACCCTCTTTTTACACAACATTTCAACATGTACCTACAGGGTGTCTCACGAAAAAGGAGCCACCTTGAATATCTGCCGAACGCGTCGGAATTTCGAAAAACGGTAAAAGACGTGTTCGTTTATATCGAGGGGGACACCTTTTGGCGTATTTGACATTTTCCCAAACCGCGGGAGGGGCGCGGGGCGGGGGGTGCCCCACCCGTAAGTCGAACTTTTCAAATGGCACCCCTACTTTTTTATTTCAGAAATCAATTCTACGCAAAAAAACAAGCCACCCTGTCCAAACCGAATGTAAATCGGACAATTTTTCAGTGATTGGCAGAGGTTGAAACATTTTTTTCATGCTCTTTTCAAAAATTTCCCACGCCCAATGGAATTGCCGTATCAAACCAAACTCTCCGCCAAAAAAATTCTTAAACATTGCACTTTCGATAAAAAAATAAAAAAAATCTGCTGCACTCGAAATCTGGAGTACGCGGAGCCCTTCTTTGCGACATTAAAATTTGTTTTACCAAACATTTCCGAGGGGCGCTCATCGGGAGGGAGTAGTAAGTTTTAGACAAGAATTATTATTCTTTTTTCTGAAGCATAAGAAACCGTGTCCATGAAGAAGCAGCTAAGTAGAAAAACAAATGGATTAGCTTTTTTTTTTTGGGGGGGGGGGGGTCAATGACTTGAGCCGGACCTTGATACTTCTGAGGACGCTATTTTTCCGCGGGGCGTTGTTTTTCTACTTAGCTGATTCTTCATGGACACGGTTTCTTATGCTTCAGAAAAAAGAATAATAATTCTTGTCTAAAACTTACTACTCCCTCCCGATGAGCGCCCCTCGGAAATGTTTGGTAAAACAAATTTTAATGTCGCAAAGAAGGGCTCCGCGTACTCCAGATTTCGAGTGCAGCAGATTTTTTTTATTTTTTTATCGAAAGTGCAATGTTTAAGAATTTTTTTGGCGGAGAGTTTGGTTTGATACGGCAATTCCATTGGGCGTGGGAAATTTTTGAAAAGAGCATGAAAAAAATGTTTCAACCTCTGCCAATCACTGAAAAATTGTCCGATTTACATTCGGTTTGGACAGGGTGCCTTGTTTTTTTGCGTAGAATTGATTTCTGAAATAAAAAAGTAGGGGTGCCTTTTGAAAAGTTCGACTTACGGGTGGGGCACCCCCCGCCCCGCGCCCCTCCCGCGGTTTGGGAAAATGTCAAATACGCCAAAAGGTGTCCCCCTCGATATGAACGAACACGTCTTTTACCGTTTTTCGAAATTCCGACGCGTTCGGCAGATATTCAAGGTGGCTCCTTTTTCGTGAGACACCCTGTATATTTGCACCAATCTGGTCAAAAGCACAACTGCCATGATGGGAAAAATATGTTTAATACATAAGTGTATGTGTGTGTAGATCTGGGAGACAAATTTGGAATGGGACTTATACATACATTGCTTGTTATGGATCACATTACTTACTTTTACTTAAATTTTTGTTCTGCTTATTGTGTGTGCAAAAACTTCGCTGTCTTTATGGGTTATTGATCGATTTGGAAAAATCATGTCATTCAATCCTACTTTCAATTGTGTTTCCACTTAATTTTTTTAAAACCATTCAATTTGGAGGTTTCCCATATTTTGAAGATGGCTGATGTCAGTGAACCTGGTATCTTGATGGCAAAATTGGAAGAGTGTGTACATATCTCAGAAAAGTTTATTTTTCAGGAGGGCTTAAAAACTATCTATGTTTCTCATTTTTACAGCAAAAAGGTGATAATCCTTTAAGACAGCAACGAACAAATTCTCTCAAATACTCTTCAAGCACTTTTGGAAATAACTTCAACTACTTGCCATTATGAGAGAGAAAGTGTGTTTGCAACTTAGACTCCAATTCTTTATCCCGAGATACACAACTTTAGCATCAAGGCTCTGTGCTGGTTTTTTTTGCCCAATTCAATCAAATCAAAACCGAACAAAGAGTCTGAAAAAACATAGTGTTTGAATGTACTAAGTGAAAGCCTCGAGATTAATTCAAAAAAATCTTTAATTGTCTTGTTTGTCTCTAATTCCAGTAAATTGATCTAGGGGCATTCACTCAGCGCTATGACAGTAGGGTAGAGGTAATTATGGATGACTCGATACCATCTTCGATCACTCACTCTAGGAACACCGGTTATCTGTGCAGTCTCTAGAAACGCATAGAAGCCAGTATGAGGTATGCGTTTGACGCAGTAGCGCCAAGATACCGAGTCACTGAATTATGTTTTTGGGTCACTTCCCACTTTTTTTCAAGTCAAATACTTCGATGTAAGACCAAAGACATCTCCAGACAAATGCAGCTAATTCAAAAAGGTCCAAAATCGAGGTATGAAGTTTGATTGTTTCACCATCAACTGTAAAATGATAATCTTATTAATGCATGAATTCTGAGGATCCTAACCTCACGCTCTGTAGCATTAAGTTTTTAATTTAGATAATGATGCGTAAGTGGTGTGGTCCAGATTTCAGAATTTGAATCTGTTGGATGTTATGTAAATATTCTCATTGTTTTTGCAAAATCCAGTGATATCAAATTTATAAAAAAAATCTGAAATTGGATAGTGTGTAAAATTAATTTACAACTACCATCCTACTTGCAAATCAGTATTAGTTAATTTAATTTAAGTAATCGCTTGTTTTTTTTAGTATGGAGGGATGTGTACATAGTTTGAGATTCCAATATCTTGTTAATTTGAATTCTAAGTCTGTTTCTTATTCTTTTTCCATTGTCAGTTGAATACCAATTATAAAACAGATTTGTTAACGAACTTTGGTCAGTTTTTTGCTTCATATCCCTCTAAAATTCAATTTAAGTTTCAGTTTAACTCAGTTCTTAAAGTGGATCAATTGGCTTCACTTCAGTGTTACGTGCCTCTAAAAAGAAAAGTACGCTTGTAGATAACTGTATCATTTTTTAATTGGGTATCAAAGAGATTTTTGGTACAAATTTTACAACAATACAAGTAAACTTACATGAGTTTGAAAATAAAAATTTAAATCTGTACACAACAAGCCTTAAAAACGAAAACCATAACTTGAAACAACAACTGGAAAAACGCTTTACATGCATAAAGAGGAAAAATTACACTTTCTATTTAATTAAGGTGATACGACAAACTGCATCAAATTTCCACTCCAAAAAGCAAACGAAAATCATAGTTTGATCATAGCACCTCAAATTTGAAGGCACTTCAAGACACAAAGCGTATTTTTGTTGTCGTTTGGTCGAGCCATAGGATTACAAGATTTGGTATTTTCTTTGACGCAATCATAATTTTTCATAACTCACCAGACAGATGCACAGAGGAATTCTATCTAACGTTGAGGCTAAAAGTAAGTCCTGAAAAAGAAGGATTTACAGTCTTCTTGTGGTTTTTTTCTTTGATTGTTCAGATTCTGATGAGTATTTTACGACTCTACAATTCTTTCTCATCCATTTATGCTAAAGCGATGAACAACAAAAACACGCTTCAATTGTTGTAGCTTGTATAATTATAGAAAGTGTGAGTACTGAAGATATTTTTTTTATGATCCTAGATTGATAGAGAACTTATATGCTCATTTGATCAAACCCTCTTGGAATCGTGGGTGGATGAAGAAATCAAGGAAAATTGAATTTCAGTCAACCAAAGCTAAATTTTTTGACTGGCTACGATCTTTTCTCTTATCCAAGATGCACAGTTATGAATGATGAAAAGACCTAAAATTCTAGAGTTTCTTTGCAAGCTTCCATTAAGTTCACTCGGCAAAATATATCCTAAAAACATCCATATTTGACCCAATGTTTCTCTTGGGGGCCCATGTGCAAAACTCCAAGTCTTGAGAAAAACGATTAAGAATGTGCCATTCGGCTCGCATTCAATCTTTTGAGTCCAGTTTCAGTAAGTATTCTTCAGACACATACATATTACGGGCTCAAAAGATTGAGCACTTGCCGAATGGCACAGTATTCCCAATTTTCCTTGAAACTTGGATTTTGGCGCTTGGGTCCTTCCGAATAATATTGGCTCAACTGGATAATTTTATAAGTCACTAAAAAAGACAATTTGGATGCAATAAATGAAAGCCCAAAGAGTTTTGAAGAAGGCAATCAGAAAGAGGCTTTGAAGATTTTTTCGGTTTTTTGCAGGTCAATCAAGAGATTTTCACTCTACCTTAAGGAGAGCCATAGAATCTGATACACTAAGTTGTACTACTGATGGCTTATTTATCATTGAAATTCCAATCGATTAAACTTACTAGATTTCAATTTTGCATAAAACTTAATCACTAACGGCACAAGCCAGAAGAAAGGCAGATTAAATGAATATAAATAGAACAAAACAAATCTAAGGTTATCTACCATAGAAACAGTTTCATGCCTTTACATTGTAGGTCTATTTTCCTTAATGCGCACACATGTTCAAACATGACCATGACGTTTAGAATCATATTTCAGGACTGAGTTGATATTACAAATTATAGTTTATGAAAGAGCAAATGTACGGACACTTTCCAGGATAAAACTAGGAACTACTCTGGGATGGAAAATTATGAGTCTCTTTGATTACAGGAATAAACAAGAGTAACAGTAATACATGTATAGAAGCTCAAATAATGAATGGCAAAATAATTGATCTTAAAAATAATATCTAGTCAGAATGACTTTCACGGATTACTCATTAGGAACAAGGAACATCGACCAAGAGACTCCTTATCGATGGTGAAACTACAGAAATATGAGTCTCAGTTTGCGGCATTGCAGACTTCCTGTAATACTTTACTTTTGACATGGAAAACTACTAAAAGCCATTTTTTGAAATCTTCGTGATTTTTCTTTTCTATGTATGTACAAAATATTCTGTGAAAATTTCAAGCCATGATGTTGCTTTGGGGTCCTTTTAAAAATAAAGGAGTGAAGAGTTTGAAACAGTGCAACAGAGATACGCATTTTTGTAGTTTTACCATAGTTATATTTCTACCTGAGGTGAAATGTTCCTCAAACTGAAGATATGGTGCTAAACTTCATTTTACAGTCAGTTCAAGGGACTTAATGAGATCTAGCTATCTCTGAGAAAAACTGCAGAATATTATCAATGGTAAAATCAAGCGTTACCATAGATCCTGGATAACAGCGCTGAATCATATCATCAATATGCTTATATTGAACAATGAATTCCTCTTGCATTGCACGCCACACCACCTGCAGCAAATTTTCTTCTTCGCACAGGTGTTTTTCCACTTTTCGATACAGCTGCTCTAGTCCCCGATGGACTTCTTTCCCAGGGTACTCCTTGACCACTTTACGTAGCTCTTGCTTGCTAAACGCCATCTGGTAGCTGATTTCCGACTCTTTGACACCTTGAGCAACTTTAGCTTGAACACCCTCAAAGAACAAGTTCAACTTTTCCAGCGGTCGGCCGAAATACCTAGTAACATATGCTTTCAGAGCCTCATTATACTTTACTTTGGCTTCTTTTCTTTGACTGTCGAGGACGCCGATTTTTAGCCGTGACAGCAAGTCATAGAGATGGTGGAAATTCTCCATTTTAATAACTTCTGGTGGTGTTTTAGGATGGTCCGCTGCAACAATCGGGATTGCTTCAAATATTGCCCCTACAAGTTTGATGTACCATTTGTCCAGATCAGCTCTCCTTTCAGTGTCTTTAAAAATCTGTTCTGTCGTTCGAGCAAACTCTTCAAAATTGTAAACAAAAGGTAAAATACCACATTTACCTTTCCGAACTGGACGGCAGTCTTGTATAGAGTTCAGTTGTGTTTGCATGTAACGGTCATAGTTCCGTTTGACTTGCACTAAAATTGTACCAAATGTCATACTAAGGAATGATCCTGTATCTTGCGCGGACATGACATGCTGGCTAAGCCGCACTAAACCGTACATCCGAAAAACAGGGTCAATTTTCTCATGATGGTTGAGGAAATTTAAAATCTCAGGTTCAATGCAATTAAATATCTCAGCCATCATTTTTCTGACTTCCTCATGCATTTGCTTTTCAATTTTCTTCTGTGGGGTGCTAGGCGTTTTAGGGTCATCTTTTTTGGCACTGAGAGCATCTTCAGACTGTGACTGGGACATTCTCAGTTTTTGAATACCTAATTCAAAAAAATGAACACAAAAGTTTTGCTCTGAGAGGCACACAGGCTCCAATTCAGATAAGACTCTTTCAAAAACTTGATCAAAGCGCAACCTTTCTGCCGGGCTTACTTCTTGTGCCCATAGCTCACGATCAACACCAAGCAGACTAGCTGATGGTTGAGATTTGCTGGAGACGCTAACACTCAGCCATGGCTTTGAAGCAACATCCTCCTTTGACCCACCCATTTTTGACTGGCCAGCTGCGACTCTTTGTCTTGCATCTTCCAAAAATTGTTTGACATCTCGTTCATAGAGCTTGCTAATTGAGTTCGTGTAGACTTTGGTGAGACTATTGAATGCTTTCCGGTCCATTGCTTTGCACCAGTGCATTAATTCTGTGTACGCAGACAACTCCCTATGCATGGCAGTATGCTTCGGTAGAACCAAATCAGGGCCAATCATAGCTCTGAATTCACCTGGATCATTACCCAAGTAAATGAACATGTTATTCAGATGATGAGAGAGGATTTGGGAGAATTTTGTTTTCCACTTTTCAAATCGCTTTTTTTGGTCTTGAACTGCTGCCAGCTGCAACAAACCAGGGTGAATCTTAGCATTCATGACTTTCTGCAATGCTTTAGCTGCTGCGATAGCATCCTGCAAACTCTGCGGGCTTGTTAGGTCAGCATCCGTCAGGGCGATTTGGTGTTTTGAAGGTAACTCTAGCTCATGAACTATATTCTCCAATTCCATGAGAAGTTTGTGATTATTCTTATTTGCAATAGCAATCAACGTGTTCTTTTCTTCCATTTTGTCCATGGCAGTTCGAATATGGCATAGGACGTCATCATACGACTGGAGCTGAGCCTCCACTTTTGACACCTGCTCCAGAGCTGTGTCGATCTGACGCATCAATGCTGCTACTTGCTGCTCTGAGGCTAGGACACTTTGAACATTTTCCTGAAAATAAAGAGCAAACATTACTTAAAATGATACTCTTTGAATAGCTCTGTCAAGAACGTTCAGCTAATGAATATTAACATGGTTGATTTACGTTATTTTTTAGGCCCTTCACCATTTATCAGTGTGTGGAAATAATTGAGCATTTGATAATCCTTATTTAAGTATACCTAAACAAAAGTGTTTTTAAAATATACCTTTTCATGGTAAGGCACCTCTATCAAATGAATGAAATTGGGATATTAAACACATTCTTGGCATTCTTTGAGGTAATGATGATAACAAAGCAAACTCTTCCCCACTTTTCATCAAATGTTTCTTTTAAAATTTAATGACGGTCTTAGAAAGTAGTGGTTCCCCATTATTATTTCACATATATAGAGAAACTTGAATGGTTCAAACTTACTCCATCCAAAATTGACAGATGTTTTGCAAGAGTGTCAATAAACTGCTCAGCGTTTGATACAGCGAAACCACACTGTGACATTAGCTGTTGCAAATCGGCTTCTTCTTTTTCACTAAGGGCTTGATAATCTTCTGCATCAGCACTAACCTCTGGAAATAAAACAATTCAAGAAACATGTGAGCTATTGTATACTAGTCCAGTGATCTGACGGTAGGTGTTCCTCATATTTTTCTGGCCCGGTGATTGCAAAAGCTTTGGAATTACAATGGTTTCATCCCATGGAACAGCAGGGGATAATCTTCGAGATCACATCAAAACTTGGAAGGCCCGCAAAATCTTGGAAAGCCACGCAAAAAATAACAAAAATATGTCATTATACATTCCCGCAAAATTTTGTGACAATACCTATATTATGAATCTTGATAATTTAATAAATATAGTGCAATGGACCACTAGACAAGGTACGAATTTAAGCGATCTGATACATGTTTCTTAACCAGAATTTCACATAGAAAACGATTCACACAACGAAAATTATGGAAACCAACTCCTAACGAAGATATTAACGTTTTTATTTCACATTGGTTACGAGGAATTCGAACTGCCCGCTCACAAGAAACTCAAAACTCTACGTGAGTCAAATCGCCCACTACAACAGTTTCAGCAAGCTTCTCAATCGAGCAATGTTCATTTCCCATCATGTGTTGTTCAAACTATTAGCAATTTGCTATAACTGAGCCAAAGCGTCAAGATTGAGGTTGCCAGATTTTTATATCACAGAGACTGTCATGATAACGTTTAGCATGCGATGTGAATCACGTAGACCATTGAGTTTTCATAAGCGGGAGATTTGAATTCACGCATCACAAAATACTAAATTTCTTGGTGAGGCGTTAATTTCAGTAATTTTTGAAGTTTGAAATTATGAGTTGTGACTCATAAAAAGTTTCTTAAAAATCACGATGAGCGCATTGGTAAAGTCTGAAATGCACTCCTTAATTCACAATTTGCATAAGAAATTCGCGTTTTTTCGAGCTTCCTGCTTCAATAACAATACCCCCTGCTCACAAGGATACTACGCAATATTCAACACAGCCAACGCCAATCCGCCAAAACACATGTGACAGGACGATGATTCTAACCACTTGATAACAATTGGCGTCTTTACATTCACATTTTTTTCGCGTTGATAGATAATCGCCTAAATTGACCTCGTGCTCTCCTCAACTTGCGCGCGGAAGCGTTGGCCATGTTGCGCAGGGATTGATTGGAACTACTCCTCTGAAGAAATGTTCGCCTGTGCCATAGTATCCTTCATGAAGTGGGGAAGTTAAAAACATGCGAAGTTCTTACGCGGATTGTGAAGTTAGGAGTGCATTTCAGAGTTTGCCGATGCGCTCATTGTGATTTTTGAGACATTATCTATGGGGAACAACCCTTGCTCTATAAAAATTTTGCAACAGGCCCATTGTGTTCTACATGAAATTTTGATTAAGCAACATGTATCAGAATGCTTAATTTTGTACCTTGTCTGGTGGTCCATTATGGAAAAACCATCTACAAGAGTTTGCTTGCATGGAATCATTCTTTTTGCATAGGCTGACTAAATATATTCTTCATTCTTTTGTGCTTTATTCAACCGCAATTGAGTTGTTACTTGTCAAAAAATTGATTTTTTGTAAGTAAAACAACCATTTGGGATCTGAAGCACTTATGACTTACCCATGGGCACAGCACCATTGCTGACAGGGACATCCAGCATTTCAGTTGTTATCCACTCCTTAGGAACTTTAATGAAAACAGGTCTGTCTTTGGAGGGAAAATTTGAGCTTTCCTGAAAATATGTGATACATTTAATGATGAAGCGCAGGAGTAAATATGAAGCAGAAATAATAAAATTTATGGAGACGTCATTGATACCAATATCACTGAATGACTGAAATGGAAGTTGTATACAAGGTGGCGGAGTATAATTGAAAGACCTGGGTTCCAAGAATTTTTGAGAGAAAAATTCCTTGACCTCTCAGGTTTTCTGGGTCCAAGTGACAATTTCCTCTAAATTTTTAAAGAGAGAAGAATGCATATTTAATAAAAAATGCAAAGTACTAGACAGGTTTCATACTGAGCCAGCTTAATATTGATTTTTACTGATTTTCTATAATATATATATAAAAGTCGCTTTATAACGCACTCTGGCGTCCTACGACACCCAAACGCCACATATGCCTGTCTTCCCAGAGGTTATCGGGCAACTGACACCGCAACATCTCTTCGTCAACGCCCTGCCGCCAACCCTTTACGGGACGTCCCCGTCGCCTCTTCCCAGGTGGTACCCAATCCAAAACTTGTTTGGGCAACCTCTCCATTTTCTATAATAAACATAGGATTCAATCAGAGATTCTATAAGCTAACTATTATACATGAATACTGACCTTGTATAATACTGTGATAAAGTTCTTGCGTTCTTGTCCATTTTCTGCTGTCCATTTGTATATTTTATCTAGATGAAGATCAAAATCCAACGTTTCCTAGAGATAAGAATATTAATATATGAATAATATTAAAGTTTAAAAAAAAGTTTAAGAAAACAACTATACAGGAGCTGGGACTGCATTCAAAATTATCTGCTCTAAATGATGCAGAAATCTATTGTTATAATATGTCTAGCATTGTCAGGTAAATTCTCAATATCAATTAATTTATTTGTAAATGCAATTTCCAATTTTTCATTAATTTTTCAGATTTTTAATATTTTTCCAGGTCCTAATTTAGTTCACATTCAATTTTTCTTTCAACACACACTTTGAATCCAATGGTATAATGCTGAAATTGTGCAATGGCCCATTAGTTGTAAAAATTGTGAATATTAAATTATAATTAGATCATATGCATATTGAATAATAAAATTATGAATTAGTCAATGACTTCTGAGTGGCTTTTAAAAATATGCTACTTTTGAAGTTAAACCTCTGACAAAATTGATGACACACCAAAGAATCCCTTTATTTCCTATAAGGGGTTTTCTTTTTTTGATCGGTGGTACCGCCGATCACCAAACTGTGTTCGTTAATTGATCCGTCGGTGCTGACGTCACGACCGGTGGAAGTACGACCGGTGGATTTGGTACCACCGATCAGTGATCGGAGTGATCGGTCATTTCCCCGATCACAGCTCCACCGGTGGACAACCTAACCTTACTTCAGCCAGATCTCAGGCCAAAAACAAGCAAACAAACGAGAAATCGTGAGTATTTCGCGCCTCCCGCCGTCGCTGAGTCTGATGATTCTGCTTGGATCGTCATTGTCGCCTATGTATTGAATTATGTAATATTTTTAGTGATATTTTCCCCCGTACTTTATTTGTAGCAAAAAAGGAGTTAATGCTGGTACATTGAGTATATATTTGCACTATTGCAGTATCATTGCGGTAAAGGTTTGATGAGAGGAAGAAATCCATTTGTTTACATTGGTGGAAAGTGTGTTCTTAAACTCCCGACTGATCGCGGGCAATTTCGTACCAAAATGGCGGCCGATGGATTTCCATCGGTGGATTTAGGCAGATCTACCGATCAAAAAAAGAAAACCCCTATAAGCTACAAAATTGGGATGATGTGTTTGATAACAATGTTTTCTTGAACTGTGTTTATTTATATGAGTAGGTACATCTCCTCAGATACCCAGCGTTAAGATTTGCTAGGGTATTGACATAGCTGAATGAAAGATGTGAACCATCGAAGGAATTGAAGAATTGGTTTGAAATGATTACAAACAACTTGAATAATTTGGATGCACTAAAATCCATAAAAAGTAAAATCGCGTACTTTGACAAATATCAAAGACATGTTTTCTGCAAAATATTTTGAATCCTAAACTGTTTTATTCATACACTATTTGCCAGAGGTTTTTTCTTTTAAAAGGGACTTACAGTTGTAGAAGATTTGCCATCGACAGCTTTCAAAGCATTTAGAGGCCATGATTGCTTCTTCTTTAACGTGTACTTATCACTTTTCTTCACCTGAAATCAAGAAAAAAATTAAGCGCGAAAGACTAAGATAATATTATAAACACATACAATGTTGGCTAAATGAAATGGCACAATACTTGACGAATAATTTGAGAAATTTGAAACTAAAGATTAGATCAAGTCAAATATGTTCTCACAAAGTATGCCCTGAAAAAATATTGATTTACTTGAATTCCACAAGGAACACACTTGACAGTGACAGCCAAAGGAAAAAGTTGTCCTTTAGATCTTTGAAGCAATTCATTGGAGTAAAAAAGTGCATTTTGTTGAACAATTGCAAGACAACGTAATACTGAATATTTTGGATAATTCTTAAGGATAATTAATTTCTTATTTCTTGAGGCGCTTTTGACTGAACACAGAATCTGCCATCTTGATTTTTGTATAAACTTTTGATGCTAAACGGAAGACAGCTAATTTTCTGTTGCACTCTAAAAGTGCATTATCTCATTTGGCGTGAACTATAATAACATTTTATCATGTCCGAAACTGATGCTTCTGTTTTAAACTGATGGGTTGACACTCAATGAAATAGAGTGAGAGAGAAAGATCTCACAAATACAGAGAAAAATATAGGTATTTTGTTTTCCATACCTGATGTATGTACGCAACAGTTGGAGGGTCTTTGGTGACAGATACAACAAGATAACTTGGCTTATTCTTCTTCTTCAAAGCTTTGTTTACTTGAACATAGGCTAAGAGCCGTTCATCCAGAGGTTGCAGGATTTCCTGATGTAAGCTGTGCCGTATCGTAGCCATGTTTGAGAGGACTGAAAAATAAACAAGGAATATGAACAAGCGCACTTTCTATTAACTTTTCAAGCGCAGCATTCTCAAAATTAAATACGATACTCACACTCAAAGCTTTTAAAGATATTCCTCCCATTTTTATAAAACAATTGTCTGATAGGCCTGTAAGGCCATCTATTTACAACCTTTCGGTGTGGAGCTTCAAATACAAGCTTTCCATGTGGGAAAAAATTGAATTTTACTCCGCAGATTTCTCTAGAAAAAATTGTTTATTAAAATTCTTGATCAGAGCAATGTGGCATTTGAAGTGATGAAAGTGGAGAAATATCAAACTGAGTGGCAAATAACCATGGAGGTAGATGGATAAGAATAAAATCATGCTAGAGATGTCGTCAGCTAAGATGACGGTTGTTTACTTTCTGTTAACAAGCGCCAACGACGAATTTGGGCCTCTGCACAAAGCAGCTACTGTCCACCTTGAAAACATCCGTTTCATGATCGTATCGTAAAAAATTACTTATCAGTTAGGATACGCAACTTTTATGTGGTTGTGATTTCTGTGTGGCTAAAAATTAAAGTGTTACAAGGTTTGAAAGGATTAAAAAACTTATCTAAGCTTGTGTTCTTGCTTCTGCGAGAGTCAGATGTTTCCATGTAGATAGTAGTGATGCAGAAACGCTTGCAAACCGAAAGTAAACAACCGTCAACTTAGCTGACAACACCTCTAATTACCATTAAATATGATGATGGTGTGCCAGTAAGTAGTACTTTATCTACCTTTTGATCTAACTTTACTTCCCTAGGATCAAATACTCGTCTAGCTAACAAGCTGATAATCAAGTCATATTCACTGATAAGAAGTTTCTTTTCAACACCTAAGAAAGAGTAGTTATAGGTGCGGGTTATCTAAGTTCAAGTCATTAAACTTGGTCTGGAGTTGGTGTCATGAGTTCAAATCCCTCCTAATATATTTCATCTGATTGAGATATTCGGGATGAAGACGTTCATTGCTCATAGAAGATTAAAATTCGGTTGTTACAATCATACTTCCGAAAACTACGGATCATCTCTTATAATTTGGACAACGAACCATCCGCAAGGGCGTCTTCAAAGGATAACATTAGAATGTGAGATTAATGCTATGGGTGGGTTGCACTTACTGTTAATTAAAGAATAATCCGGGGAATAAAATTCGTATATTTTGTCATTATATTACGACAATTGAGGACAACTGCACTAGATAAACTCCTGTTTCAACTCTGCTTCTGCTACGGCCAAGCTTCACTCACAAAAGTTCGGTGTACGGTGTTTACACTTGCTCGCCGTTTTTGGAGGTTAGTTTTGATTGTTTACATTTGGCTGCATGCATGGATCAAGTGAATAAAGTTTGATTTTTGGCTGTATATTTAAAAGTACATATTTGCATCGCATCTGCTTCTGTTCTCGGGATATTGTGTGAATTTTTCATCTCAAAAGTGCCAAAGTTCTGCATCAATTCTGTTTCGCATATCATCTTGCATTTTATGATCCAATCGGTGTTGATGATCGATACATTTTTCACATCATGGAGCCGTATTCTATGTATCCTTTTCATTTTACATCATGAAACTTCAGAAAAATGTATTATTTCTGCATCCATCTACTGAATAATTTACGTACCTAGTAGGGGATTATATTTAAGGGCCGATCAAAATAGGTGAGAAGAGTTTGCGTTGGAAACGTTGACATCTGTATACTTTACGTTTGCATCGCAAGTAACTTCTCACTGCCCTGCTCTGTCATGTCATCAGAAAAGGAAAAAGAAAAAACATGAAATTTCCTAAAAATAAACCTAGCACTGCGTAAGCAAAAAACTTTTTTGACTAAGTCTTCTGATGTAAACACACTGCCTGCTGAAACACCGAGAAAAATACACAACTCCGGTTGTAATGTTACAAATTGCAGCGGATGTTTTATCTATCTAAAGGAAACCAGAGATTCTTTTTTTCCTGAAAATTTCATTAAATTTTCTTCACACACTAAAAAATATTTTTAGAAACTGAAAAAATATTTCACTGCTCGATCACAGTGTTTTAGAATCTCCACCAGCTATTCTTTTTTATTTTTATTTTTTTACAATTTAGGAGCTACTAGGTTTGTAAGCTCAAAATTTGTGATCAAGGTTGTATCATTAAATTACGAAGAATCTTCAGTCAATTGCCCATCTCTCTAGAAGCACTTATCATGTCCCCTGTTGAGAGCAAAAATCTGAGAGGAAATTCTAAAACACCGAAACTAAGAAGTTCTGTTTTAGCACTCAAGTTCTCAAGTAAGGGCAAATTCTTTTCCAAAATTTGTCTCAATTGAAAGGGACACTTTTATTTCCTTCAGCATAATAGTGTGTCGCCCTAGTATGGCCTCCATGATAACTTTTTGCAATTTTTATCCTTAGCATATGTTCCAGCTCTATCTCATGTCCTGTTCAGACTGAAAGAGAATCTGAAATCATAAGTTCTGTATTAGACACTGAGAACATGGATTTACCCAATGGTGATTTGAAGAAAGAAATTGCGATCAAGGACAAAAGTGTCTGCGTGTAAGTTTCATTTGGTATTTTTATGCTCGGTGAGAAAAATGTATTTTCCGACAGTTTTTCTACCTCCAAATGCGAATCTGTCCATGAGCTCCATGTGGAATGGCTATGTAGCCCAAGAAGGCTAAGTCAGCTAAGACTTTCTAATTTCCTTAATATTACAGAGGAAATTCTATTTATAGGAAGTAATTGACCTGTAAAATTTTCAGTAAAATTTCAGTGCAACCAGTAAGTAAATTATAAAACTTAAAAGAGGAAAATCACACCATCCGAAAAATTTCTATCAGTTCCCTGCACAATTAGAGGTGGTAGGATTTAGAGCTTTATTACCCTCTATAACATTTTGGGTTAATTTTCCAGCAGTGCAGAGATCAAATTGTTTTATAGAATGCCCTTCACTTAAAATCACAGTAATTTGTGTGGACTTTTTTCATTTGAATTTGAAATTTCTCATAAAGGAAGAAAAAGCATTATATCTCCCTTTGGATTACATCGATGGCCATTGGCCAAAGTGCTTAGTCACGTAGGTATCTCCTATTGGAACGTTACAGAATTCCTGTCACAGGCACTGTATTTTTTCTTCGGAAAATTTGCGTTCAATAACGTTTCATCAATATAAAATTAACATCAAAAATTCCCTTAGAAGTACAGGATTCCTCTTTGAATGTTTTTGGAATACTTACATTCTGTTTGTGTAATTTGAAATTTTTGACTCAACAAAATATTTATTGAATTATGTATATTGATCATCATTTTGTTTTCTTACAGAACATTCTCAACAAAAGACATCAAACTTTTGAGGAACAGTGCCAACATGATCATGGATCATATACCTCTCATCAAAGAAACAATAAGTCGCTTTGGACCACCACTTGATGTAGACAACTCAGCGCAGTGACATCATGCATTCATCAAATCTGTGTTAAATTCAAGCGTTACCTCCGAGTGAACTAATTTATTACTTTATTTTGTAATTATTCGATTCAGGGCAAGTGCATGAAAGGAATCTTTTTCTTGAAACAAAACTATACAACGAAAGGTTTAGTTGGTTGATTGCATGCTGTCAACTCTGTTTTGCCTGGAAAAATCTATTCTTATCTTCATTTTTTAATGTAATTTCAAGTCTTCAGGGAGGCGGTATCTGTCTAGTCCTTTAAAGATGCCTGAAAGCACACCCACTCCTACCCCTAGCCGAGCAAACTATGGTTTTGCTCTTTATTTGGCTTCTTATTCAGCTTTTGGAATTTTTTTAGTTTGGGCAATAGTACCCGATAGTTATTTACATGCTCTTGGGTTAACGTACCTACCTCAAAAATATTGGGCTCTCGCTCTTCCCATCCATCTATGCAACACGCTGGCTCTATTCGCCTTTGTTTTTTATCCTGCATTGAATTTGATGCTTGTTCCGGATCCAAATGATATGAGAGTTATAACGGACTCTTACGCTTTAAAACCTCGAGGAGCACCTAAGCAAGGTGGAATACCGTCTGTGTCTGACATACCTATTAGTGAAGTTTGCAAGCAATTGTATTCTGGTGATGGTGAACCAGAAAGAATCAATGTAAGGAGACCTAAAAAAAGACAAGGCGTTTTGTAATTTATTATCTAAGCTTAGGGTTATTTTTAAAGCTAAGTTTTGTACCTTTTGAGTGTAAATAAATAGTTCGTTTTTTATAATCACATTTTTTTTTGTACCACAACATGAAGGAGTCTCTACAGAAAGAACTTATTCGTGCCTCTGGGGCTGACTGTAGGTATTTTGCCATCCCTACCCTAAACTCCAATGATAAGAGACATCTGTGGAGGGTAATCCCTCAAAATGTTGGAGTAATTTAACACATTAGTTAACTGAAAAAGAATGAACAAATGTAAATTTACAATTAGTATATCAGGCAATATAACTAAAACATACATTTTTTGTCCTTGCTGGAAGCCTTTTAGGCTTTATCCATCTTTAGAAGCACCATAAACTACAAACACTACAAAAGACTATCAATGAAAGTATAATAGGTCAAAAGTTTGGATAATTAAATAGAAATATGAAAAAAATGATAGCAATTAATACCTAGCAATGTAAATTCAATTATAGGAGGTACTGAGTTTAAGCAGAGGAAACAAATCCGACCGAGTCTTGATACTTAGCGAACCAAATTACTTTGACAGTTGGACCACATTTTGCATAAAGGAACCACTACTTATTTCTGGCTCATTTTAGAAACAACATATATGCCATTGGTTTCCGTATGTAGGAAGGTGCTTTTACAAAAGAGCCAGAGTTTGTGGTTCCTTATTGCAAAATGTAATCCAGTTAATCCTCTATGGCAAGGTGTTACTTATTTGTAACAACACAATTTTTGGTTTTTTAGAAAGCTAATCACTCCTCCGTGGTATACTGTTCTAAATTTTTATTACTGTTTTTCTCTGAAAAGCTGTTTTCCAAAATTTTGAAATTTTAAGGAAAAAATTTGGGATCCTACCTATATTCTTTATAAAAGCTACAACAGTGATTTTTGTCCCTCGGATTCCAAGACCCAAATTAATTTATATCATAGAGGATTAAATCTTGCTATCAGGTAGAGAGAGGAAGCCTCAAAGGAAATGAAAGAAAAATGTAGCCTTTTCACTTATGGGAAGATATACTTTTTAAGAGAATGTTTGTTCCATATCATAATTTGCTGGAAGAATTCTGGATTTGGTATTTTTTTAAAATGTGGCCAGTGTTCCAATGTGTTGCTGAGTATAGCTGCTGCAGAATTTGCTGCTGCCACTGCCTCAATACCTTAAAATTTTTTACATCCCTTCCTTATTATGGTTGGTCCTTTGGTCTCTCATATGTAGCTCTGTCGGAGGAGAGCAGCACAAGTCCGAGTCCAAGTACTCACTTTTTTGAATATTGCAATTTCGAAGCGCCTTCAATTTCGGAGGATACAACTATTCATACCCGAAGGTCTTGTTGCCATGGCATGCTGTACTGCAGGAGAGCATAATAACATTTTACTGGCTAATGCTCTCAGCTCCTAGCTTCGCATCGAATAGACCGAAAAGTAAAAAAAAACTTTGTTGCCATGCAACGCAAAAATATTCATATTTCTATTAATGACAACTTGCAAATTATGTAAATTTTTGCATATCAGTCAAAGATATTTTGCGTCAGTGCGCGTACTTGCTGTCGTCATCCCTTGTCTGATTGGTTGAATTATTGATGATGCGCAACATGGCTACTGAAAACAAAAACATCTCAGCAGTTTGGTCATTGATAGGGTTATGAATTTTGATTATCAGTTCAAGTACACATTAATTTATTTCTTTTCCTTTGCAAGTAGTCAAGTACTCGTATTTATTTTACGACCGACTTTAGCCGCGCATTAGTAAGTCGTCGAGCTTGTTCGAAAACTTGCTCCTCCCTCCGTAATATTCTTCTGTAATTTTGTGCCCGCCCAACTTCTCCAATCTCGCAGTTTTCGGTGTTTACCTTGAGCACTTGAGCGTCTCGCTCTCGCGATCCACGAGCTACGGAGCTAAACCTGAACACGTTTTGTTCAGATTTGGACATCGGGAATCACTCGCCAAATTCGCCAGGTAAATCCGAGAGTGTCACGTTTTCTGCGAATCGTTTCGCTTTCCAACGGAGAACCCGTGTTCTCGCTCATGGTGAAAGTGTTGATAAGGAAGATCAGTCTATCAAAGCCCGCCGGTAATTTCGCTGCTGTTATCATTGTTCCGTTCTTACGGTGGTCGGCTAGGTCAGTTCCACCCACGCCACATCGCTGATTTCATCTGTAAATCCACATTTATCGAGTTGTAATTTTCATTTTATCCCTCTGATTTCATCTCTGCTGGTATTACTGTGATTCTTCAGTGATTTTTCGTTCTCCTTGTAATTCAGGCTTATATGCTGTAATATGAAGTCGATAGGTAGTCAAAGTTTAGAACTTTTAAGACACTCAAGTGATTCAAACAAATTTAAAGCCCACGAAAAACCCAAGATTGGATGGCGCAAACCAGATCCCGGCGACTAACACAAGATTCATTGCAGCATCCCTTACGATGCCGACATCTGCTGCGTGAACTTTTGCCGAAGACTCTCTAAACACTTTAGAAACTGTTACAAGTGTAACTCTATCCCGCCGTGTACAATAAACTCTTTATCAAAGGGTTTCTCTGATTTAATACAAAGTATTTTTTGAGCTGTGAATTTTTTTTCATTAACCGGTGAACTTGAAGTTTGAAATTCAAGTTTGTTTTAAGTATTCTTAGTGATATCTAGTGATTAAGAATTTTCTATTTTTAATTCGGTTATCTTTGCTTCTTTGGGCATCAATTTTTCGATTCTTTTTAAAAATGGGGTCCTCCAAAAATGGAAGATATCCCACAAAGTATTCTAAAGTTGCCTTCGTCAACCAACTGAAGGAGAAAGATACCAAGGAAGACTGCATTACGATGAGTCCTACATCAACAGAAGGTAACAATAAGTCATTTACATTTTCATCTTTGATTTTACTTTGTATTCAACCGATTGTGGCAAAACTTTTTTCTCAAATTAACCTATTGTTCAATTACTTTTATGATTACCATCCAAATTGGAATCTGTAATTGTGTAGAACGCTAGTGTTTCATCAGTTTTTCAAGTGTCTACAACTTCCCTGTATTATTTGCGACTCTCTAACTACTCCTTCACCAATACCAGGATACCTTAAAACTTGCATTTTTTTTCCTATATTACTTACTTTATCTTTTCATTTCTGGTGCTATGCAACCAGTCCCAGTGATCAGCTCCAGTTAGAAACAAGTAAACCTTGACAACTGTAAAATAGTGAAAATGATTATCGAGTTAAGCTTAATTTTTAAATCTAATACTTGTTGTGAAGAACAAGTGAAAGGTGAGGGGAAGTTAAGAGTCTTTTAAAGTAACAATCGTATAAATAGTTTGGTACCACCCTAGTTTCACTCCTGGCTCCCACTGCTTCTGCACAAATTTTGTTTAAATCTTGCGAATATTTTCTATATTTATCTAGTAATTGATATTTTCTGGCCTCCACTTCACGTTTACACCCACCACGTTCGCCAAAATCTACTAGATAGGCACAAGCCATAATTTGATTGTCTTCCATTTACTTATAGGAGAAAAATAAATGCGAACCCTCTAAAGATGATCAGATAATTTTTCACTTCCCCTTCTTGGTCCCCCTGTTTATTTCATACTTCATCCTGAAAACAGCTCTCAAATCCAACAAGTTATCACATCTCCCACGCTTTCAGCCACAGAAAATGGGGCATAATGTTGGAGGATTCTACATTCAGGGACAGATTCAGGACAGAGCTGGGGGGGCCGCTGCAGCTCTGGGTGGACTATTGAAACTAGGCAACAGATTCCGTTAATCATTAATTTTTTTATTCCCTGATCCTGTGAATTCTGCAATACAGTAGGTATGACATAATGGGCATGAAAGAAAAGAAGAAATAATGCAATTTGATTAGCCTCGGGCGGTGTAATCGTAAATCTGTCTTCTCGTTTACACTCTTGCAAGTTGTTATTAGTAGGAAAGGCTAATAGGTCACTAACTATGGAGGCTTCTCCACATACCTAAGTACTGCACAGAATGTCATCAGTGTGTAGTGGGATGTGTAGCTCTTTTTCAACCCTGCGCTACTAATTTTTTCACAATTCTAAATAAATATATGACTGAATTTTCTTGTAATATTGTTTATTTTGTTTTTTTTTAAGGGTCAACTGACAATGGAATCTCTTATATCAATTTAGGAGAAGAAGATCAAATGGTAAGTCATCGACTTGTCACCCTCTGGCCAAAGTATCACAAGCTCCATTTTTACTGAAATTAAGCGGTGAATAGTTTTGAAATAACGAGATGCATTTATATTCAAAAATAGCAATTCTTTTTAAAACCTAAACGAAGAAATATGAATAAAAATTGATTGAGGGTGATGTACTTTTGTATCACAAGCATCATTTGGGAGAGAAGTATCACAAGCGCCAAGTTCGGCAACTGTCCACCTTTCTGATTGTTTTAATTTTTATTACAGCAACCCTCGGAATGACTTGAGGCTTAATTATTTTCGTACGTAAATGTATAAAAATTTTTGTCTAAAATTAAGAATGCCACTACATCACTTAAATTACCCTCTACATTGTTAAGCAGACAGGAACTTTTTCATCATGGGTGTTGTAAGTGCTTGAGTCCATGAAACTTGGCTTGCGCATGGTGGGAGGAAATCAATGACCTAGTGAGAACATTTTTCAATGAGGAGGGTTGCATTTCATCAGCACAGAAATGTCGGGGGTCTGGAAAACTTGAAAAGTTAGGGAATTTGTGGCAAAAGTCAAGGAATTTCTGACACGTAGGTATCACTAAAACATATCACTGATCTTTCAGCTGTTGACTCTTAATGGTCTCTTTAAGGCTTCTCGTCTTTTTATCAGCTACTGATTGCTTTTTCCCATAATTAGATCTCTAAATAAGAAAAGTATGCCCAAGTTCAGCAAAAGTTAGTACATTACATTTAAAAAAGAGAAAAAAAGAGGCAATTTTGTTGAAAGATTAGAGAAAGTCAGGGAATCAGAAAATATTGGAGTCAGGGAATTTGAAAATGAAGAAATTATGGCAACCTTGTTAGTAGTAAGTGAGCATACTCTAGTATTTGAAATTTATTTTGCTCAATACGTACTTCTAATGTTAGGGGAATAATGAAAATTTCCAGGATAGAGGAAATTTTGAAGGTGAGACAGTGATTACTTTTCTGCAAAGTACTCTCTGCCCACCTGGTTCTTGTGATTTAACTTTGCATTTGTCGATGCGAAGCACCCTGAAAGACCCCAACAGTTCATAGTTTTTCCTTTGAAGAAAGTTTAAGTTTACCTTCTCTTATATAGATATTTTTTTTTTTACAGCCAAGTACCTATTCTAGCGTAGATTTTTTTTTTGGTGGAGGGGGGGGGGCTGGGAGGTTGGTCTAGTGAGAGGTGAAGGTGCTACAAACAATGAAGGGCTAAAAAAAGCCCAGAAAAAATCCAAACCGGAATAAGGTATGGCATTTTAAAGTTAGCCATTCAGCAAATGCTGTTTTGAATAAGACTGCACTTGCACTGTCTCGCGGCACAAAAATGAACTAAATTGCTCGCCAATTATTACCTAGGTATTCAGAATACGAGGGATTTTTTTTTTTTCTTTTGGTTTTGTTAGGTAGAGTCTCAAAATCCAATTTTCAATTCCAGCCAACAAAAATCGCTTCACCCAAAATGTTTTTCATAAGAACTAATGCCTCTTTTTTATGACTGGCCACTTGCAATTTAGTTCGCCATGAGGAAGCACTATTTCTAGCTTTTATTAGAAGCAGCACTTGTGTCATTAATTTCCGTATGCAGATAAGTGATTTTACGAATGAGATATCCGGTAAAGTGGTTCCTTATTGCCAAACGAAGTTCGTACAGCCTCACCGTAGGCGCCAAAACCCGGAGTCGCCCCCGCACTACTAAAGCTTCACCGCTACTTACTAGCCGCAAGACATCGCATCAGGAGAGGCGTGCGGTTGGTTAATGCTCTCAAAAGTGGCAAGAAAGCCCACAATTTTATGGACCCGGAAACCCGCAGCAGAAAATGAAAAACTCATCAGGAATTTTACCGGATAGCTTAAGGTGGTTCGTCCCGGGTTTTGAGCGGGGTCAAACTCTGCCGTGCCAAGGAGGAACCACGTATCTTCATCGCGATGTTTCAAAATTTCCACTCCTATTTTACTTTTTCGAAATGAAAAAAGCCGACTTCATAGTTTCGAATTCATGCGAATTACTCCGCAAGTTTCCTAGATTTCATTGACTAGTTTTCCGAAGGGAAAATAAAGTATGACAGGAAGTCTGCAAAAATACACGGTTTCGCACTCTGGCCAGAGGCGCCGCGTGCTTTGCAATATATCGATATTTCCCCATTTGATGCTGTGGTAAATTATCGATTATTAAGGTGTTCGCATGTTTTATCGATACTTTTCCATAGGTTTAAATGGCCGATCAATTGATATATCGCAAAGCTCGCCACGCCACTGACTCTAGCCATCGACGTGGGGCACCAAAGTTTTCAACTGAAGTTTTTGTTACTCATACCAACATGCATTAAGACTCTAATTCTTTACGATATACTTTGTTTTTCTGAACTGTGCTTCGGTTCCATGTCACTAAAGTTTTTCACTCCGTGCATCAATTGCAACGTTCTTTCAAAGCCAAATCCTGTCTTCATATCTCCGATTTTTTTATCTTTATTTTTATATATTATTTAATTTTTTAAATTTGAGAATGATTTTTCTGCCATGAGATCTGCCAAGATTTGTCACGCAATCTATGTGATTTGCCCCATGTCAGTTCGATCACGCCAAGAACCCAGGACAAATAGATCGCGTTTTGCCATAAGGAACTAAAATATCTGGCTCAGGATGAAAACACCTATCTGCACAGAGAAAATTAATGGCACTTATTTTGTTTCTAAAATGAGCTTTAATTTGTATTCCTAATTTGCAAAATAAGGTTCAAATGGACCGCGTTTAGCAGAAAGGAACAAAGCAACGTCAGCTATTGCTAAATTTAACTGGGCAATTTCATTTTTTACAAGGGAACATTCGTGCGGATTCCTGTGAAAATTTTCAGAAAATTGCCTCGTAATATGCAGAAAGTTCACTGAAATCTGCACAAAAATCCGCACAACCGTTTTCATGTGAAGAAATTAAATCTGTCAACAGCTGATGTAGCTTGGTTCCTTTCTGTTTAACGCGGTCCAAATCATACGAGGATGAGCTTCGAGCATATCGGCCGTAATTTTATTTGCGCTCAGCTTCCGAAAGCTGCGAGGGGCTTGCCAGATAGTTGCCAGTTCGTCACTTGTTTTTTTCTTCTGGAAATCGCCGTGCTACTTGACGCTAATTGACACCTCAACCGCGAAAAGTTCTCGCATTCCATGATCGAGCGCTCTCCAAAACCTATCGCTGAAACTAAGGTCGGAGGTGTGTTCCCACAGGTGTTTTGTTTGTTACGCAATCGCGAATCTTTCAGTGGCGTGGCGTGCTTTGCGATATATCGATAGATCTGTCATTCAAACCCATAGAAAAGGATCGATAAACAGGGTGTTCGCAGTGAATACATTAATAATCGATTCTTTACCATAGCTTCTAACGGAAAAATATAGTTTATCGATCATTCACGCCTCGCCACTGGTCTTTCCGCTCTTCGTTCGAGCTACACAGGAGCCTTGAGCAGTGATCAAAAGAGCTCTTCTTCTCGTCACGTTTTGACGTTATATAAGAAAATCGCCCGGTCATTGCGCTTAATTGCCCCCTGAAGGATGAAAATGGAATCTTTATGTGCTGTTGAGGAAAAAAATTGCGAGAAATTTCCGTTCTCGGGGTTAGGAAAGGTCACATTTTCCAGCAGATGTGAAAAGTTGCTCTTAGTTGATGGCTCCATGGGTAATATGAATTCCCAGGCGTTTCCTCTTCGAAGATTCTCAAAACGTTTAATAGACTGATTGAGTAACTACGTCGAGAAAAAATATTTTGAATGTGAAAATAGTAGTCAAACTTTTTCTTTAACATTGAGCTTTGAAGCTCCCCCTTCAACCCCTTTTTCTCGGTTTTCACTTAACGCGACGCAAGCGTTTTTCTGTTAAAATGTGGTCGCATGGCCTCTCCTCGAATATTAATTGGAATTCCGGAATATTTCCAATTATTCGAATATCCGGCAATAGGAAATAGCCTCGAAATCGGTAAATTTTCTCGCTTCATCACATAATGCCAGCAAGTAGAAGACAGGAAAAAGTTTGATCGTGGGATGACTTTAAAGGATTATTGGTAGAGTTGAACTTTAATCCTGCAAACGACTAAATTTTGCGTCAGAATAGCCTTCAAGTGCCACTGAGACGTCCGTTTCCCAACATTTTCGTAGGGAGACCTCCCGTAATGCATTAATGCCTCTTTGTACTGTGGAACGACCTACCTATTGGAAAAGTGCGAAGTCAGGCCACCCCCAAGAAATTACTCTGAACATGAGTTGGGGAAATATTTAACTTGACCATAAACTCTCAACATGTTACGAAGTACTTGAGTGCTTGGAAGTGCAACGAATTAAGCCCAACCCTCAATTCTCAGTCTACGAAGGTGGCACACTTTTATCGTAAAGGGTTCTAAAAGCAGCTAGGAAGGGCGGTTCGGCGCGAATGGAGATTAATTTATTGAATAGGAGTGGATTGCTGACACGAAGCACAATATCGTCGTTAGCTCAGTTCGCCATTCATTAAACGCGAAACGATTTGTGTGTCAACCAACAAGCGTATCGACCCATTCCCTTTTAGTTCGTTTTTCCATCAATAATGATGAGAATGGGGTAGTCGGTAGGCTCTGATTGCTTGGCGCCGGGTGTCTTTAGTGGATTCTCTGAAGGCGAAAACGCACCACTCAGATCCCCATTGATACCGAACACCTATCTTTAAAAAGATACCAACCGACAGGCGTGAAAAATTGAAAACCAAATCTGTTAGGATCTTAAAAATGACGTGTACCTAGAACTTAAGACGCTTTGTAAGCGTAGGGAGGAAAAGGAAACCAAAATTTTGTCTTGAGACCTGTGAGTAAAGGTGCAGGGTGTCTACAGGTCCGGACTTTTCGGAAAGTCCGGAAATAGGACTGATTTTTTAAGGGTGGTCCGGAAGTACTGAAGAAGTGCGGAATTTCGCAAGGAGGTCCGGTACTCTTTTCATTTATTTTTCACCTTTGTCCCAATTTGAGCG